GCTGGGACCAGAACCAGCGCCCATATGGGATGCTGACACCACAGGTGGAGGATTAACCTACTGTGTCACAGCGCCTGCCCCAGTTGTTCAATCTTTAAATTTAAAGACCAAGAAAACTTACTAAAAAGGAGCATTACATTTTGTTTCGCAACATGTTTAACATCAGCAAATAAAAACTGTCAACCTCAGTGGTGGTAATAAATACATATTAAAAGACACCTTCAAGAAAACAGATTATTACTCTATTTTTTATGTAAGTACGATAAAAACTAACAGCCTAACAGCAACACTGCTCCCCCAAAACACCTAGGAAGTATTGCCACAGTGTTGTTCATTCTAGTCAAACTGTATTCAAAGGCACCATATTTCTTCTTCAGTGACATTATAAATTAATTTATGTTTCTGTTTGATGGTAATGACTGAGGAGGGCAATTGGTACAGTGGGTAAGCTGCCACTTATAACGCCCACATCAGAGTGCCTGGGTTTGTGCCCCAGTTCTGCTTCGGAGTTCAGCTTCCTGCTATTGGGCATCCAGGGAGGCAGCAGGTGATGGCTCAAGGCCTTGAGTCCCTGCTACGCACATGAGAGACCTGGATGTAGTTCTCTGCTCCTAGCTTCAGCCTGGCCCAATCCCAGCTGCTGTGAGCATTTGGGGAAAGAACCAAAGATGGAAGATCTCGCTCTGTGTCTCACTCTCTCTGTCACTTTGCCTTTCAAATAAATCAGAATTTGACCCAACTGAACTTTCTCATTTAATTCCTCTTTAAAATTAAAGGAGGTATATTAATCCATATATTAATTTCACTTTGGGGGAAGGTTCTGTCAAATGACTATTATTAGTTTTGAAAATGAGTGTACCAGAAATAAAGCTACATATTTACAAAAAAGAGTATTTAAAATATATCCAAAAATGAGCAAAAATTTGTATGAAATGTAGATTGCACTTATAAAGATAAACTGTGTGTTTTTAAACTGTGTATGTGTATTCATAAGCAATGTTTTTGTTTTTATTTTGACAGGCAGAGTGGACAGTGAGAGAGACAGAGAGAAAGGTCTTCCTTTGCCGTTGGTTCACCCTCCAGTGGCCACCATTCTAAATCAATATAACCACTCAAAGGATGAACATACAATACCTATTAAAAATTGTGTTATTGGGCAGGAGCCATGGCTCACTTGGCTAATCCTCCGCCTGCTGCGCCGGCACCCCGGGTTCTAGCCCTGGTTGGGGCGCCGGATTCTGTCCCTGTTGCTCCTCTTCCAGTCCAGCTCTCTGCTGTGGCCCGGGAAGGCAGTGGAGGATGGCCCAAGTCCTTGGGTCCCTGCACCCGCATGGGAAACCGGGAGGAAGTACCTGGCTCCTGGCTTCGGATCGGTGCAGCACTGGCATGTCTCATGCCATTAGGGGAGTGAACCAACGGAAGGAAGACCTTTCTCTCTGTTTCTCTCTCACTGTCTATAACTCTCTCTCTGTCTCTAACTCTGCCTGTCAAAAAATAAATTAAAAAAAAAAAAAATTGTGTTATTGAAGACCAGAGTGCCTGGGTTTGTGTCCTGCCTCCACTCCTAATTTCAGAAGCAGCAAGTGATGGCTCAACTAGTTAGGTCCTTCCCACCCACATGGGAGACCTCCTAGCTTCAGCCTCACCTAGCCTTGGCTGTTGCAGGAATCTGGGGAGTGATTCAGGGATGGGAGTGCTCTCCATCAGTCTCTGTCTCTCTCAACTGATTTTAAATTGTGTTTTGAAGAAACAAGAAATTGTTAAATGTTAAAAGAAAAAAGAAGTATTAATATGGTTTGATCCAAAGTTAACACAGAAGTTTTAGGAGGAAATATGTCAAAAAATTAACAGTAGTTACTGCATGGTAGTAGATTTACAGGTGATATTTTTCACTCTATTATGAAGTATTATTGTTATAATAAAAGTAACAATGCCACACTGCCTGCCTCAGTAAGTATTTTTTTCAATGGACAAATGATAAAGAGTTATGGGCTTCTATTTAGTCTTCTCAATAAATTGTCTTTATGATTCGTAACAGACTAACCAAGAACTTTCCTTCATGCATTAAATTCAAAATTCAAAAGATTCTAGGGGCCGGCGCTGTGCTGTAGTGGGTAAAGCCTGCAGTCCCAGCATCCCATAAGGACACTGGTTCAAGACCCGACTGCTCCACTTCCGATACAGCTCTCAGCTATGGCCTGGAAAAGCAGAAAATGACCCAACTCCTTGGGCCCCTGTACCCAAGTGGGAGACCCAGAAGAAGCTCCTGGCTTTCGATTGGCCCAGCTCTAACCATTGCAGCCATTTGGGGAGTGAACCAACGGATGGAAGACCTCTCTCTCTCTCTGCCTTTAACATAAATAAATAAATCTTTAGAAAAAAAAAAAGATTCCAAAGTCTTAACATTTTTCTCATGAATTATAGAACATTTGCTTCGTTCTACAAGCAAGAGCATAAAAGAAAATAAATTTCCTACTTTGTGACAGTTCTCTTGTGTTAATTATTTCCAAGAGGAACTAAAGGATTTTATATTCTACTTCAGAATACTTTTAAAATTTAAGTATGTAAATATTTAACCAGGGGACAGTGATCATTCTTTTCATTCAAAGCTCTATGTCCTCACCCAGACTTTCCCAAGATTCTACTTAGATTTTTCTATCTACCTTCAAGGCATTATTTCAAATTCAACAGGCCCAAAACTGCACTCTTCTCACTTCGACACTGTTATCTTTCTTCTTCAGGTAAGAAACTGTAGTTCCACATCTGATTCTTCACACTTTTATGTATTTCAAGCTCATCTAACCTGAATTTTCTCTGAAATTAACTTACAATTCCCTATTCTATCCTCACTATAAACATCAAATAAGGTAAGCTGCTCACCTTCATTTTACCTTGTGTCCTTAAACAATTCTCATCCTATCACTTGGCAACTCTAAGATCATTTCATTATATCTATAGTTTTTTTTTTTTTGCAATCACATACTTTCAGTTTATTTTATAATCACAAGCTTATAGTTCTTTTTTTCTTTTTTTAAGATCTACTTGAAAAGCAGAGTGACAGAGATCAATCATCTATATCCTGGTTTACCCCCCAAATGGCCAGAACAGCCTGGGCTGATCCAGGCCAACGTTAGGAGCCCAGAACTTCATCCTGGTCTTCCACATGGATGGAATTCAAGCACATGGGCCATCTTCCAGCAGCTTTCTCAGGCACGTTAGCAGGAAGCTGGACCAGAAGTGAACAACTGGAATGCGCACCAGGATATAGAATGCCAATGTTCCAACAGTGGCTTAACACACTGTACCACAACACTGGCCACTCTTTATCACCTTAAGACCAGCGGCATCTGTATTACCTGTAACTATGCCAGAAAGTTTTGGGAAGAGCTGGTGCTGTGAAGTAGCAGGCCAATCTGCAGTGCCGGCACCCCATATGGGTGCCAGTCCAAGACCTGGCTGCTCCACTTCCAATCCAACTCTCTGCTATGGCCTGGGAAAGCAGCAGAAGATGGCCCAAGTCCTGGGGCCTGCACCTGCATGGGAGACCCGGAGGAAGCTCCTGGCTCCTGACTGGCACAGCTCTAGCTACTGTGGCCATTTGGGGAGTGAACCAGCAGATGCAAAACTTCTCTCTCTCTGCCTCTCTCTAACTCTTGCCTTTCAAAAAAATAAATGAATCTATAAAAAAAAAAAAAAAAAAAAGGTTGTGGGATTCTACCTCAGACCCATAGTATCAGAAACTCTAAGAGTGGAGTTCAGCAATCTATAATTCTGATACACACTAAAACTGCAGAACTACTGATCAAAAGCACCAAATCTGGATTCTCTTACTTAGCTTTGGAGGCTGTAACCTGTTCCATCTTCCCTAGTACCCTATTGCCCTCTAATAGACAGCTTTCCCTGCGTGAAGATGTATTCATGAAATCCCAAAGGTTCATTCTCACCTATAATTGCACTCCTGTCAGTCCCTTCTCATGTCTAACCAACCACTTCACACTCTAAAGGCTCCTTTCCTATCCTTTCTACTACAAAGTCTCCAAAAATCATAGTCCACAACAATACCACACTTATCTAAATTATATAGCTGGCAGAAATTGGCTCACATTTTAACTGTTGCTTTGCTTTAACATATAAATCAAGTTTTTTTGTTTGTTTGGGTTTTTGTTTTTTGCACTATAGCTCTAGAGCCAGGGTGGGTATGTCTTAGTGATTCTTCCTTCTAGAGAGTACTAAAGGTCAAAACATCCTTCCAGCAGCGATTATTTGTATGACAGGAAAGTCACAAAATTCCTAGTCCCACCGGAAAGGTTATAAAGCAGTGCAACCGTCTAAATTCTGGCCTCAGCACCCACAAAACTGAAGGGCTTCTGTGACTCTGGGCGACACCCCGACAGCTGTTCCTCCAAGTGGGAGGAGCACAGGGAGCCTGGGCACATGACCCACCGAAATGCAGCAACCTGAGTCAAGGCGTTCTCACGCCATATGCAGACTTTGTAAAAGGTTATTGGAAAAGACAGGATGGAGACGGTGGGCGTGTGGCAGATGGACAGCCACCCGTCTTCTAAAGAAAGGCTTCCTCCGGAAAGGGGCAGACCAATGTAGACGGGAAGAAAAAAAAACAAAACACAAAATCAGCTGGCAAGTTCACTGCTTACGGTAACAAAAATGGGTTAAACTGCAAACGAGAACGGCGGTGGTACCCTCGGAAACTGCTTTTGCTGGTGGGCGGCAACCAGACAATCAAAAGCTCTAAGGCCAGCGCCCAGAGAGCAGAGGAAACAAACTTTTTCTGAGAGCCTGAGTCTCAGGGCTTTGGCTGCACGGGGCGGGCCGGGACCCGTCCTTGCGAGACGCACGACGCGGAAGTGGTCCGCAGCTGCCCACAGCGGACACGAAGCGAAGACCCGGGGCCTGACCGACTTTTCCCACAGAAGTGGCGTCAGGGTGCCTGTGTCTAGTTAGGACGCAGCTGCAAGACGCCGGGGCCCAGGGTAACTAAAGACGCGGCTCACTCACCTTTCCCATTCCGAGGCAGTGGTGAAGTCCGTGATTTCAAATACCTCGGACTCGGGCTGCGGGAGGGGGAAGGAAACACAGAGACTGAGCCCCGGAAGATGACACTGAGGAGCGAACTTACACAGTGACAGGGGTAAGTAAGAAGCAAAGCTCTCACCTCACTGTCGGCCGCCATCTTGAGGAGCGCCGGGCGGGCGCTAGGGCTGCTGGGAAGAAGAGCCGAGGAGAGGAGAGGAGGCGGAGGCGGCGGCGCGCGAGAGGCGGGGCCTGTTCACATCCCCGCCCCCTGACGGTATCTGGGCTCGACTCCCACTCTGGCTGGTTTAATAAACTTTGAAAATTGCTTGTAGAATAATGAGTACAGGAAGGGAACAAAAGAAAGGATAAGGGCCTAGAGTCACGCGTATAAGACTGTATTAGAAAACCTAATGCACATTGGGTTTTTCGTCGTTCAATTTCTCTTTATTGATTGCAAGGTACTGAGCTAATTACTATAATACCCTTGAGGAACTTAACCCACTTTGATTAAGTCATAAAATAAAATCATAGGGGCCGGCTTTGTGGCACAATGGGTTTAAACCACCCCTACGAAGCCAGGAGTGCCAGTTTGAGTCCTGGATGGTCCACATCCAATCCAGCTCCCCCATAATGTTCCTAGGAAAACAGCAGAAGGTGGCCGAATACTTGGGCCCCTGCCACCCACGCACAAGATCAGGATGGAGTTCCAGGCTCCTGGCTTCACCCTGACCCAGGCCCAGCTAATGCAGTAACTTGGGCATGAACCAGCAGTTGGAAAATCGCTCTGTTAACTGCCTTACAAATAAATAAATAAATATTTTTTAAAAAGAAATAAATAAATAAGTATATCTCTGGATTGACCTGGCGACACAGCAGATTAAGCTGCTGCCTGCCAGGCAGGCATCTCATAGGGGTGCTGGTTTAAGTCCCAGCTGCTCCACTTCCAATCCAGCTCCCTGCTAATGCATCTGGGAAAGCGGTGGAAGATGGCCCAAATCCTTGGGCTCCTCCACCCACATGGGAGGCCCAGATGGAGTTCCAGGCTCCTGGCTTCCTCCTGGTTCCTCCCTGGCCATTGGGGCCATTTGGGCAGTGAACCAGCAGATGGAAGATTTCTCTCTCTCCCCCTCTCTCTCTTTCTCTCTCTCTCTCTCTCTCTCGGTAACACTACCTCTCAAATAAATGAATAAATCTAAAAAAATTGTATTACATATACTGAAATATTTATAGATGAAATGAGTCATATCTGAAATTTGCTTTAAAATAATGGAAATGTCTAGGAATGAAATAAAGATTAGGAACATGTTTATTATACTGTTTCCTCTACCTTTGCTAATACTTAAAGGAATAAAAAATTAAGTCTCATCTTTTACTCAGGACCGGCCAACATGGACCACATTCACATGGAAACCATGAAGAAGGCAACCTGGGTCACCCTGAGAAGTACTGCACTCACGTGGGCACGACTTCCACACCGGCAAGGACATGCGCGAGGAGAGCACCAGCATTCCCTGCAAGAAGCTCCGCACAGGATAGCAGGCTGTGTCACACCCCCGATGAAGCGGCTTCAGAGAGGCCCGCTTAGAGATATCTCCACCAGGCTGCAGGAGGCGGGGAGAAAAAGGAGAGAGAATTATGTTGCTGAGGTCTCAGCCCTGGATCAGATCACCGAGGTAGGTCCTGGCACTAAGGAAATGCTGGAGCTTTTGGATTTTGGCAGTCTGTCCAACCTGCAGAACACTCAGCCTACAGTTGGGATGGATTTCAAAATGCCACGTGGGCCCATTTCAACCTTTCTGTTTTTTTTTTTTTTTTATCTTTTATTTAATGAATATAAATTTCCAAAGTACGACTCATGGGTTACAATGGCTTTCCCCCCCATACCGTCCCTCCCACCCACAACCCTCCCCTTTCCCACTCCCTCTCCCCTTCCATTCACATCAAGATTCATTTCTTTTTTTTTTTTTTTTTTTGTTAATTATTTTCTTTTTTTCTTGACAGGCAGAGTGGACAGTGAGAGAGAGACAGAGAGAGAAAGGTCTTCCTTTGCCGTTGGTTCACCCTCCAATGGCCGCAGCTGCAGCCGGCGCACCGCGCTGATCCGATGGCAGGAGCCAGGATCCAGGTGCTTTTCCTGGTCTCCCATGGGGTGCAGGGCCCAAGCACCTGGGCCATCCTCCACTGCACTCCCTGGCCATAGCAGAGAGCTGGCCTGGAAGAGGGGCAACCAGGACAGAATCCGGCGCCCCAACCGGGACTAGAACCCGGTGTGCCGGCGCCGCAAGGTGGAGGATTAGCCTATTGAGCCACGGCGCCGGCCCAAGATTCATTTTCGATTATCTTAATATACAGAAGATCAGCTTAGTATACCTTAAGTAAGGATTTCAACAGTTTGTTCCCACACAGAAACATAAAGTGAAAAATAATAGATGATTTTTTTTTTAAATGATGATGAAATCAGATCAGACCTATTGTCATGTTTAATCCCAGTGAGAGTCAAGTTGGGAATTGATAATTTCTTTTTTTTTTTTTTTTTTACAGAAGATCAGTTTAGTGTACATTAAGTAAAGATTTCAATCGTTTGCACCCCCATAGAAACACAAAGTGAAATATACTGTTTGAGTACTCGTTATAGCATTAAGCCTCAGTGTACAGCACATTAAGGACAGAGATCCTACATGAGGAGTAAGTGCACAGTGACTCCTGTTGTTGACTTTACAAATTGACACTCCTGTTTATGGCATCAGTAATCTCCCTATGCACCAGTCATGAGTTTCCAAGGCTATGGAAGCCCCTTGAGTTCTCCGACTCTTATCTTGTTTAGACAAGGTCATAGTCAAAGTGGAGGTTCTCTCCTCCCTTCAGAGAAAGGCACCTCCCTCTTTGAAGACCTGTTCTTTCCACTGGGATCTCACTCACAGAGATCTTTTTGCCAGAGTGTCTTGGCTTTCCATGCCTGAAATACTCTCATGGGCTTTTCAGCCAGATCCGAGTGCCTTTAGGGCTGATTCTGAGGCCAGAGTGCTATTTAGGACATCCGCCATTCTATGAGTCTGCTGAGTATCTCACTTCCCATTCAACCTTTCTGTTAACACTGTCATATTTTCAATAAACCTGGGGTAACAATAACAACAAAAATTTAGTCTCACTGAGTTTTGTGACTCGGAGAAGGCATTTGGAGGTTAGGGCCTGCAAAGTACAGCTATGGAAAGTGCAGTAATGAAAATACATAAAATCAGTTAGAGATATCAAAAACTTGGTGATATAGGTGGAGCAGGTGACAAAACTAAAGGTCAGCAGAATTTTGACAACAGATATTTGTTGCCGATGGCAACCCTTGGGCTCCCACCTCCTGATGCCCCTCCTAGTTTCCACCCACTTTATTAGAGAGGAGCTGTGTGTTACTACTGCTGCAGTCTCCCCCAAGAGGTCTCAGCTTGCACCTTCACTCAGTTATGAGCATGTATTAAGCACCTAATAGAAGCCAATCACTCTGTTAGCCTCCAGAGATATGAAGATGTATTGTAGATACAGTCACTGACTTCAAGGAAATTGCAGTCTGGTAAGAAGACTGGACATTAGCTGCATGGCCAGCAATGACATATGATAACCTTGACAAGACAACTCTTGGAGAACTGAAGGAAAGGATGGAGATAACCAGGTTGGAGTTGGAGAAGACTTCTTCTTTTTTCTTTTTTTTTTTTTACAGGCAGAGTTAGACAGTGAGAGAGACAGAGAGAAAGGTCTTCCTTTTCCGTTGGTTCACCCCCCAAATGACCACTACAGCCAGTGCGCTGTGCCAATCCGAAGCCAGGAGCCAGGTGCTTCCTCCTGGTCTCCCATGTGGGTGCAGGGCCCAAGCACTTGGGCCATACTCCACTGCTCTCCTGGGCCACAGCAGAGAGCTGGACTGGAAGAGGAGCAACCGGGACAGAATCTGGAGCCCCGACCAGGACTAGAACCCAGGGTGCCGGCGCCACAGGCGGAGGATTAGCCTAGTGAGTCGCAGCACTGGCCGGAGTTGGAGACTTCTAAGCAGAGGGAGTAGACTGTCCAGAGGCTCAAAGGTGGGCAAGTCCAATCTGTCTAGTGAACTGAGCAAGGGGCTTGTACCTGTAGCATAATGTTTGCAATTAAGATAGAGAGGTGGACGTAGGTTACGTTGCATAGGGCCTTTCAGATGAGGGTTGGACTTTATCTGAAGTACTATTGAGGTCACTAAACTATTTTAAGCAAGAGAGCCGTGTGATTAATTTACAATTTTGCATAAGTCTGGACGCAATGTGAAGAAGAGATAGGAGTAAGGCAAAAGAAGTAGAAATGGCCAAATGTTGCTAATGCATCCAGGGACGGGTAGGGTGGAGGCTTTGATGAGAGAGGTCACCTGACAAGTTGAACACATTTGATATGTACAGATTTTGAAGATAAGATAGACAGGGTTTCCTGAAGGACTGAACTTGGGGGTAATGGAAAAGCGGAATCATTGTTTTTAAGATGTCTGGCCTTAACCACTGTGTGAAGGTTCTGCCGTTTCCTGAGATGGGGAAGGCTGGAAGGAGCGAGAAAAATGACCAGAGCTCAGTTTGGCAGATGTGAAGCGTGACAGGCCTGCAGGACGTTCCAGGGGAGCTGTTGAGGAAAAAATACTGAATATAGGAATAGGCTTCAGAGGCAAGACCAGGGTGATGATGTCAATCTGGGAGTTGAAATAGTATTTCAGATTGCAAGAATATGTAAAGGAACTGGCACTGTGGCAGGTTAAGCCCTGCCTGCAGCACTGGCATCTCGTAAGAGCAAAAGTTCGAGTCCAGCTGCTCCACTTCTGATCCAGCTCCCTGCTAATGTGTGTGGGAAAGCAGTGGAGGATGGCTCAAGTGCTTGGGCCCCTGCACTCACATGGGAGACCCAGAAGAAGCTCCTGGCTCCTGGCTTCAAATTGGCCCAGCTCCAGTCATTGCAGCCATTTAGGGAGTGAACCAGTGAATGGAAGACCTCTCCCTGTCTCTCCTTCAATCTCTCTATAACTCTGCCTTTCAAATAAATAAACTTTTTTATTTTTTTATTTTTAAAATATTTTTGAAGATTTTATTTATTTGTTTGAGAGGTAGAGTTACAAACAGAGAGCAAAAGAGATGAGAGAAAGGTATTCCATCCACTAGTTCACTCCCCAAATGATGGCAAAAACCTGAGCTAGGCTTATCTGAAGCCAGGAACCAGGAGTTTCTTCTGGGTCTCCCACATGGGTACAGGGGCCCAAGGACTTGGGCCATCATCTGCTGCTTTCCTAGGCAGTAAGCAGAGTTGGGATCAGAAGAGGAGTAGCCGAGACACAAACTGGTGCCCATATGGGATGCTGGTCCCACAGGCAGAGGCTTAACCTACTACCACAGCACCACAGCACCGACCCCAATAAATAAATCTTTTTTTTTTTTTTTTTGACAGGCAGAGTGGACAGTGAGAGAGAGAGAGAGAGAAAGGTCTTCCTTTCGCCATTGGTTCACCCTCCAATGGCCGCTGCGGCCAGCGTGCTGCAGCCGGCGCACCACGCTGATCCGAAGCCAGGAGCCAGGTGCTTCTTGCTGGTCTCCCATGGGGTGCAGGGCCCAAGCACTTGGACCATCCTCCACTGCACTCCCAGGCCACAGCAGAGAGCTGGACTGGAAGAGGAACAACCAGGACAGAATCCGGTGCCCCGACCGGGACTAGAACCCGGTGTGCCGGTGCCACAGGCGGAAGATTAGCCTATTGAGCTGCAGCGTCAGCCCCAATAAATAAATCTTAAAAAACAAGAATAGGTGAGGTGATTACAGAAAAGGACGTAGAAAGAGGAGAAAAGGCACCTCATGTAAAGCCTTGAAGAAAGGTTATGTTTAGAAAATGGATACAGAAGAAAGTATCCAGCAAGAGAGAGGGGAAACAAATGGTAGAGAAAACAGAAAGGAAAAAGCAGGGAAGAGAGTTGGCAGTGAACCTGAGAGGGGACGCCATTGAAGATGGCTAACTGTAGACTCCTGTAAAAGCCAGTGAGAGCGGAGAGCAGAGAGAAGTTGATTGGCTGACCTTGCCGAGGTGTTTGCCTTTCGGGCAGTGGCTAACAGGCAGGCTTGTTTGCTGGAGTAGCTTGAGAGACTGATGAAGGGGAGGTGGGAGAACTAAAGGAGACAGTTCTTAATAAGGTGAGAAGGGAGGAAACCCACCCAGCTGGGGGACACGGAACACCAGGGTTCACCACTCCACCATAGTCTAAGTCCTGCTTGGGAGAGATCGCCTGCAGAGAACCTTGTGAACAGCGCCCTCTGGAGTTGGGCAGCAAGGCAGTCCAAGGAATTCAGAATACCCACAGAAACAGGAAATGAAGCACCTGTGGTAAGCTTGGCCTTTTGTGTGAAGAGAAAGAAAAGAGAGATGGACAGATAGTGAAATTTGTACATATGAAAGGAAAAGGGCTTTTTGTTCACTTAAAGATTTTTGCCAACTGCAGTCAGTCCCATGATTTTCTTTAAAGACTGATTTATGGGGCCAGCGCTTTGGCATAGTGGGTAAAGCCACTGCCTACAGTGCTGGCATCTCATATGCACGCTGGTTCGAGTCCTGGATGCTCCACTTCTTATCCCACTCTCTGCTATGGCCTGGGAAAGCAGTGGAAGATGGCTCAGGTGCTTGGGCCCCTGCACCTGAGTGGGAGACTGGAAAGAAGCTCTTGGCTCCTCTTTTCAGATCAGCACAGCTCTGGCCATTGCGACCAATTGGGGAACGAAAGAGTGGATGGATGACTTTCTCTCTCTGCCTCTCCCTCTCTCTCTGTGTAACTCTGACTTTCAAGTAAATAAATAAATAAATCTTTATAAAAATGTTTTTTTAAAAGAGAGAGAGAGAGAGAGAGAAAGTCATCCATCAACTGGTTCACTCCCCAATTGGCCGCAAAGGCCAGAGCTGCGCTGATCCAAAGCCAGGAGCCAGGAGCCTCCTCTGGGTCTCCCATGCAAGTGCAAGGGCCAAGGACTTGAGCCATCTTCTATTGCTTTCTCAGGCCATAGAAGAGAGTGGGATTGGAAATGGAGCAGCAGGGACATGAACCGGCAACCATATGAGATGCCAGCACTACAGACAGTGGCTTTACCCGCTATGATATTTAAGGTCAGGCAGATCTGAGTTAGTCTTTTATTAACTATATGACCTTGGGCAATTTATTTATTTCATTTAAACCCATTTCTCTATTAGTAAAATGGAATTTGTAATACATATTACTGTGTAGGATTGTGGCAAAGATCAAGGTCTATGTCCATAGGTAAAATGGTAAGCACGCTGTCCTGGATCAATTTTAGCAACAGCGTTTATAATGAATATACCACGAAAACCATAAAGTGCTACTCACAGCTAGAGCATCACTGTGTTTTTTTTTTTTCTTCTTGCTTAGCCATTAAGAAGTTTCAGGACCTACAAAAATTGGAAACTAAAAAATCCCAAAGACTTTGCTGCATGAAGTTAAATTTTAGAAATTGTATGAAGCAGCCTTATCAGGTTGCTAGGTAAAGTTTTCTTCCAAGATATTTTTGGCTCCATGTCTTCTCCCTGGAGAAATTTTTAAAATAAGTTATTTGTTAAAGTGAAGTGTGAATCCAGCATGCTAATGATGTAAAATACTCAGGGGAGACACACTTTTATTAGATTTTCACTGGTTCACAAAGCAGAAAAGATTGTGTTTCTTTGGGTATTGAGCTATTTTGCTACACGTCCAAGGGCAAGGGCTTTTCCATGCAAGTGTGTTTCCTCTCTGGCATAATTCATTTATTTCAAGGTGTTACCAATAATGGCCACAGGGAGATATTTTGCCGCATAGGCAATTTAGGAGATTAGAAGCCTGGAAAAATCACCCTCAGCTTAGTCCTCAGAGAAAAGTGGGGGGCATAACAGTTTAATTAGGTCTTAGTGATAGAGCAAACATTGTTTGTGAAAGGAGCCACAGCCAGGGAAGTGTACCGTTCTCATCTGTCTTGATGGCCTCTTCGCAGGGGAGAATCGGATACTCTTCATGATTCTGCCATGAGAATGATTGCATGGACGGGGCAGCGGGAAGAGGAAGACAGGAGACAAGAACAAGGAACCGTTTGGAGGGAAATTCTCTGCGCCAACATTATTAGACACTGTTTTCCCCGTTTATTCAGTCATATTTATCAAGGGCCTACTGTCATGGCACGGTGGTCAATCCCATGGAGGGATTCAAATAATCCCTGCCCGCTGGGTTGCCACAGTCTGAGCACCAAGAGATAAGACGTAAGTAACTATAAAATGGCTTAGAAAAGGATGTGTGATAGTTACCCAACTTCCTAAAGCTCTTTAGAAAATCAGAGGTAGAAAAATATTCAAGCGACTTTTAAGAACAGGCACACGGTATCTTATATTCTAAAAAATGCAGTCCACTATTTCTTGAAACAGAAAGCAGTACAGTTACCCATGTGAGAATTTCGAAAGCAATAATGCAGCCTTCATTCGCTCATCTGCATTCAGCCATGTCTTCATCGCAAACTCTGTTAGAAGCAACTGCCATCTGCCTGGCCCTGGTCCTGAAACTGGAAAATGAAAAAATAAAAACAAGGTGCCTGCCGTCAAAAAGCTTCGCGTATACAGTCATTGCATGATTCTCAAGGCCTATAATAAGTCAAGAGCACCTAGCTTCACTCCTTAAGCTTGCATCTTATTATCTGGCAGTTTCAGAAGGGACAGTGCATGGTAACAGTCTTCTATTTTTAAAGATATTTAAATGGATCTTGAATCAGACTGTAGGAGACAAAATAATTGAAAAGAGTAGTAAGAATGAAATGCAGATTTGGAAAATAAAATTATTCTGCTGAGCATGTATATGCGTGTGCACCTATCTACAACTAATTACTGTATTTTACACGTATAATCTTATTTAATAACCAGTATTTCCTTGTTCATGATGGTGAATTATTCCAGCTACAGATGATTAATAAATGCAAAGTATCAGGCCTCAGCCTCACCTTACATGTCACACTGTTCTTAGACACTACTTAAAAAATATATTTATTTATTTATTTGAAAGGCAGAGTTACAGACAGGCAGAAGCAGAGAGGTCTTCCGTCTGCTGATTCACTCCCCAGATGGCCGCGCAGCCGGAACTGCACCGATCCAAAGCCAGGAGCCAGGATCCTCCTCTGGGTCTCCCACGCAGGTGCAGAGGCCCAAGGATTTGGGCTGTCTTCCACTGTTTTCCCAGGCCACAGCAGAGAGCTGAATGGGAAGTGGAGCAGCCGGGATTGGAACAGGTGCCCGCGTGGGATGCCGCTGCTGCAGGCGGTGGCTCTACCGGCTACACCACAGCACCGGCCCCACTCAACTACTTTAGCAGCAATAGTATCTCCAAATGCTTGCCGAGTCCCTCCTCAGATCCCTTGAACATTCTCCCCAGTCCAGTTACAATGGCTTAAGGATCTCGACCTCTGCAGCTTCTGCTATGCTGCTGCCCTTAATCCAGCATCTTCCATTTATGTCTGTTCTTTGGAGATACTTGTCACCAAATGTAGAGCCTGAGAATCCGCATTTTAATTTAAACTGCTGTAATATTATACAAGTAATAGGAATGTTTTCTCATGGAAAAAGGCTCAAATGATATGCATAAAGTAAATGATCTTGACTGTTTTTTCAACACTTACACAACCTACATACAATCACTGATCTCAGTTAAGTGTGCATCTCTTCCGACCCTATCATATGCACGTATATAAGTATCTTTTTATAATTTGTTGTAAAGGTAGTTTTTAACCTTCTTCTAAATCAATTTCTTTCACAAATAAGGATGTCTGGCACTTAATATGAACACACTAAGTCAGTACTTCTATCAACTCACTTAATTGTCACAATAATCTTAAGAGGGAGACACTATTACCATACAGCCCTATGTTACCAATGAGGAAACTGAGACAAGAAGAACGTAGACAACTTGCCCCGTCACACAGTTGGTAAGTGGTAGGGCCGGTTCCATGGGCATGTTCTCTGAACCTCCTTATCACAGAGAATCATGCTATACATGTTATTTGACAACTCAATTTTTGACTTAATTATGTGACTTGGAGCCCACATAAGACATTATGTAAAGCTCTTTCCTTTTTTTGTACCTCTGCACAGCATTCCAAAATTTGAAGTAAAGATGGATGACCTTTTGCTTCATTGTCTCCTACAGCTTGATATATAGACTGTTAGTTACCTCTGTTAAAAAAATAAGTCTTACTTGGATGATGAACTTACAGGGATTCATTGTACTATACCATTTACTACTTCAAAATTTTCCAGAATGAAGGTTTTTTTGAGGTAAAAATTCATTCTACCTGCATCTTAGTGATCATGTATGAGAATTACTGTAGGCTAAATATTGAGAGGTAGGAACACTGGGTTGCGAGTGATAGAACAAAGACGTAAGCCTCAGCCATTCTCGCTCCTTGCCCAAAAGATAGATAAACATTGGAATGTATTCCCTGCCCTTGAATCTGAATTGGGTCTCACATTCTATTGCCCTCATATCCCACCCCCACCTGAAAGACCAGTTGCTGGAATTCCCCTCCACCTGCTGCCCCCCGACCCCTACCCCCCTCCCTAGCCCTCCTAAGATATAAAAAGGCCCGGTCCCTGGGGGTCAAGGACTTCTGCCAAGTGTTCCATCAATGTGTACACGGACAGTGGGTCACCCACCTCTACGAATTTCTTTTCTCTGAATAAATTCTGTCTGGCTGTAAATTCATACAGTGCCTTCTCTCTATTCTGCGCCTTTTTCCTAATGTTTATGGTGCCCTGAGTGAGGAGGCACCAATCTGCAACTCTTTTCCTAACAGAGAGTGTTGTAGGCACAAGGGGTCCATTTGCCTGGGGTGTCAGCAATCAATCAGCCCCAAGTGGGAGTTGCCCAGAGGAAAGCTTTACTGACTTGGGACAAGTAAAGGAGATGGGGGGAGCGGGGGGCAGGGGAGAGGAGATGTGATTCCCTAGAGAAACTGCCTCCCTATAATAAGAGTTGGGGAAGGTCCAAGATATAGCAAAGAGGAAAGGGGGCTCCTCCTACTCATACATGCAGGCAACATACAACTGCATACATTTTGTGTTCAGAAAATCACTATAAACAACTCCTCCCTTGGGTGGAAAATGCAGTGTTATGGTGAGAAAAGTTCAACTCAAGTCACTGAGACCCAACTCCAACTGGTTTCTTGCAGCTTGAGCTGCTCCTTGCTTGTGGGGCTTTTTTTTTTTTTTTTTTTTTTTTTTTTTTTTGACAGGCAGAGTTAGACAGTGAGAGAGAGGGAGACAGAGAGAAAGGTCTTCCTTCCATTGGTTCACTCCCCAAATGGCCGCTATGGCTGGCGCGCTGCGTTGATCCAAAGCCGGGGCCAGGTGCTTCCTCTTGGTCTCCCATGCGGGTACAGGGCCCAAGCACTTGGGCCATCCTCTACTGCCTTCCTGGGCCACAGCAGAGAGCTGGACTGGAAGAGGAGCAACCGGGACAGAACTGGCGCCCCACCCAGGGTACCAGCGCTGCAGGCGGAGGATTAGCCTAGTGAGCCGCGGTACCAGCCGTTTGTGGAGCTTCTAAGTGCCATGTTGAAAAATAAGTTCTTCTGAAACCTTGTCTGAAAAACAACCTCAGGATAGTAGATTCTCTGCCTGCCTTAGTGGCCTCTGCTCTCCCTTTTGCCTGGATGTTGTAATTCTTGGTTACAACATCAACAGATTGCAATATCCAAAATGATCTTTACTAACTTACACACTCACTAATAGTGTCCTAGAGTACATATTTCCCTAGGTATAATATTATGAGTTTTATACATTTTTGCTAACATGATGAGCAAAAAGTGGTTTGATTTGCTTTTTCCTGATTGCTGGTGAAGCTAAATGATTTTACTTGTGTAAATTTGCATTCCTCACCTATAAAGAGTAATTCCAAGTGTCTTGCATGTTTGCAGTGGAATTTTAGGAATCCATGATTTTACAAAATCTCTCCAAATGAAATTGATGGTCAACCATATTTGGGAGCCAGGACTTTAAAGAGTGTCACCATTGGCCCCATATCATGGAATTGAAGACTTTTCTGCTCACAACGGTTTTCTGATTTGCAAAATACCTTGGTTAACGACCCTTTCAGAGTCACAGAAAATCTCGATCTCTTTCATATATTTCCAGGCTGCTGTGATCCTTGGATCTCAACTACCTTTTTTTTTTTTTTTTTTGACAGGCAGAGTGGACAGTGAGAGAGAGAGACAGAGAGAAAGGTCTTCCTTTGCCGTTGGTTCACACTCCAATGGCCACCGCAGCTGGCGCGCTGCAGCCGGCACACCGCGCTGATCCGAAGCCAGGAACCAGGTACTTATCCTGGTCTCCCATGGGGTGCAGGGCTCAAGCACTTGGGTCATCCTCCACTGCACTCCCGGGCCACAGCAGAGAGCTGGCCTGGAAGAGGGGCAACTGGGACAGAATCCGGCGCCCCGACCGGGACTAGAACCCGGTGTGCTGGCGCCGCAAGGTGGAGGATTAGCCTAGTGAGCTGCGGTGCCGGCCCTCAACTACCTTTTAAGTCTGTTCTCTGCCCACTGAGATGTCCTGTCAACCTTATTTCCTTCTTTTAACACGCTACTCCTTCCACCACTTTCTAGGTTGAAAAGGAGAAGTTTTGGGTAAAATACTCCTAGGAAGGTAGTGTTTCTTAAAAACAACAGGCTCCAGGCTGGCGCTGTGGCATAGTGGGTAGGGCCTCCACCCACAGTGCTGGCATCCCATATGGGCGCTGGTTCAAGTCCTGGCTGCTCCACTTCCGATCCAGCTCTCTGCTATGGCCTGGGAAGATGGTTCGAGTCCTTAGGCCCCTGCATCCACATAGGAGACCTGGAAGAATCTCCTGGCTTTGGATTGGTGCATCTCTGGCCATTGCTGCCCTCTGGGGAGTGGACCAGTGGATGGAAGACCTCTCTCTCTCTCTCTCTCTCTCCCCCTCTCTATGACTCTGTCTCTCAAATAAAATAAATGAATCTTAAAAAAAAAAAAAAAAACAGGCTTCATCATGGACTTTCTGAAAAGAACTCTCACCTCTTCCCACAACAATGTCACAAGAGACAAATAGATGGTGCTTAATATGCAGAAGATGCAGCTTGCATTCAAACCGCTGCTGCCTCGGCAGAAAAGCTCTTTTTAGAACTTTCAAATCCTTTAATCCTCTCCTACTCAATAGTTGAGGTTGCCCAAGCATTCCAGAATTATCCATTATCTCTTACAGACGACATTGGCCTCCAAACTGTAACTGTCATCCCTTTCAGGCCCACCTTACAGCATTTCACCTGGCACTAGCATTCCTTGACATCATTTCTCTTCCCCTCTACCTACCCAGAATTAGTAAAAGCATAGCTCTGTTGAAAACTAGAGATTCTCCTATAGTGAGCAAAACACCAGTGCGTGAAATTCTCCACTGTTTTTTATTTTTCCCCGAGGGTATATTCAGTTCAAAACATTTGCTGAAAACATTGTATATATGAATCGCTAATGCAACAAACAAAGGCAGTTAAAACTTGTTCCTCATCCTTCAGACATTACATTTGAATGGCGAGAGAAAAACAACTCTAAAACAAGGCTGACTGTTAACTGTCATAACAAGAGGTCTTCCAAAAGTTCATGGAAAATGCATGTTAAGAAAGACTATGCATGGATTTCAAATCTTTTTCCAGCACAATTAACTTATCTCTTAATTCCTTTCTTCATAAACTTTCTGAAGTACCCTCATACAGGTACAAAATGACATGGGAATTCAGTGGATTGGGGAGAGTCTATTGGTTAAAGAGACCAGTGGTGGGGACATGAGGGGGCCAGTGTTGTGGTGCAGTGGATAAAGCTGCTGCCTGCAACACCGGCATCTCATATGGATGCCAGTTTATTTCCTGGATGCTCCACCTCCAATCCAGCTCCTTGCTTATGGCCTGGGAAAGCAATGGAAGGTGGCCCAAGTGTTCAGGCCACTGCCACCATGTGGGAGACCTGGATGAAGCTCCTGACCCCTAGCCTTCATTTTGGCCATCTGGGGAGTGTACCAGTGGATGGACGATCTCTCTCTCTCGCTATCTCTCCTTCCCGCTCTCTCTCACTCTCTCCCTCTCTCTGAAACTCTGACTTTCAAGTAAATAAATAAATGTTTTTGAGAGAGAGAGAGAGAGAGAGAGAGAGAGAGAGCGCGTGAGCAGTGGGATAGAGCAGTGGGGATTGGGAGATACCTATGCCCTCACAAGAGCAGCTAAAGGAGGGTGGGCTTTCAAACATTTTGACCACCAGAGGAAGACTAGACTATTGTCCGGGTTCTTGTCTCTCTCTTAGTTCTGTATAAAGAAATTACTTTTCTTACTGTTTTAGAATTCCAGCTTTTTAAAACCAAAGGAGGCCGGTGCTGTGGCTCACTAGGCTAATCCTCCGCCTGCAGTGCCGGCACACCGGGTTCTAGTCCCGGTTGCCCCTCTTCCAGGCCAGCTCTCTGCTGTGGCCAGGGAGTGCAGTGGAGGATGGCCCAAGTGCTTGGACCCTGCACCCCATGGGAGACCAGGAGAAGCACCTGGCTCCTGGCTTCGGATCAATGCAGTGCGCCGGCCACGGCGGCCATTGGAGGGTGAACCAACGGTAAAGGAAGACCTTTCTCTCTGTCTCTCTCACTGTCCATTCTGCCTGTAAAAAAAAAAAAAAAAAAAGGGATTTCTGAAAAAATATTGTTCAACTCTTTCATTTTGTAAATGGAAAAAGTAAGCTCATCATAGAGATAAGAAGAGGAAGATGAGAGTTCTGTAATCCTAATTCCTGTATTCCAGGGCTCTTTCCACCAGAAATACCGTCTTTATTGTCTTTATAATTTTAATTTTTCTTTTCTTCTGCCTTCAGAATATCAGTATCTGATCTTACCTATTGGAGGAGATTGAAAGGCATTTTTCAAAGATGACTGTCTCAGTAAGCATGGTGTGTGTGTGTGTGTGTGTGTGAGAGAGAGAGAGAGAGAACACAAAGGATCATATTGGCACATCAGACTCCCACAATCAGAGATCTTACCCAGTTTCAAGCTTTACTAACAATTCCAGGAAAGCAAATGCAACCAATCAACAGGAATAGGTAAGCAGGGAGCAGGCTGGGGCAACATCCAGACCCTTGCTTTCTGTAATGAAACGTTTCCATTTTATAGTCATATGGCTGAACAGCTTATCTGACATTTTTAGGAAGCCAAGATCCTTAAATCCATATATCCACCATAAGCCATCCCAGGGTAGGGATGTCCTGAGAAAGCATTCCATGCATAAGGATTCTCCTCTTAGCAAATAACAGCATGTTTGCCAGGGCCCAGCTATAAACATGTTTCCTCATCTTTCTCAGCTTTTGCAGAATTGAGGAGAGTTAAGGTCTAACCTTGGATCAGGCTTTGACTTAGGGAAATAGTGTGGCTGAATCTATTCAGACCTCTAAAACTTTCTCCATATCAGCTGTTGCACTTTCTTATCATTTGTGTGTTCACTGGAGAGGTACTTTTAATGTCTTTCAAGAACTTTTCCCTGGCATTCACACCTTGCGTATCTGGTACAACAGGCCTAGCTTTTGGCCTATCTTGGCTTTCAACATAGATTCCTCACTTAGCTTAATCATTTCTAGATTCGATTCAAAGTGAGAGACAGGAGACTCTTCCTCTTACTTGAACAGTTACAGAGCATTGTAGGAGTATTAATTGGCCTGATTTCAATATTGTTGCACCTCAGGACTAGGGAAACCCAAGGACAGGGAGAGAGACGGGGGAACAGCTGTGAGTGGAGCAATCAGGAGGCACAAAACATTTATCAAGTAAGTTTGTTGTTCTCTGTGGGACATGGTTTGTGGTGCCACAAAACAACCCCAATAGTAACTTCAAGAATCTATGATCACACATGTCTCTAACAGATAGAATAGTGAGGACAATTTTGACTTACCCCAAGAATTACCAAAATGTGACACAGAGACACAACGTGAGTACGTGTGGAAAAACAGCACTGACAGGCTCAGTGGAGACAGAGGTTCCCGCACATTTTCCATTTGTAAAAAATGCAGTGTCTTTAAAATGCAGTAGAGGAAAGTGAAGTAAATGAGACATGACGGTAATTTTTCAATCAGCTTGTTAATACCCCTAAAATGACTTCAATAGTTTTGATTGTGATCATTTGACAGAAGTTACATCTTTGCAATATATGCCTCTTAATCCATGGATAACTATATATTTATATCTTATTGAAGTCTATGGAAATAAATTTTATAGTTTTCCAAAGTAAGTATTTTAATAAATATATTATTTTAACTTATTAAAAATAAATATTTACCTATTGGGCATATTCCATTAGATTTATTCAGTTATTAGATGTTTATTAACAATACTATAAATGGTAGTTTTTCAAAAATTTTCTTTTCTTTTTTTGCCAATATATAGAAATATAGTTGATCTTGGTACATTGATTTTTAAATCAAATCCCATTGATAAATTCTTTTATTAATTCTTAAAATCTGCCAATAAATACTTTTATATTTGCTACATATACATTCATATCAACTGTGGAAACGGCAATTTTGTTTCTTCCTTTCCAGTATTTAATTTTTTGTTTCTTTTTTATCTTCTTCCTTCTCTTTTGCCCTTACGTGCTGGTTAAAAAGAAATGGTGAGAGGGGCTGGCACTGTGGTCCCCATTACATCTCTTATTGTATTTCTCTTCGACAGGCAGAGTTAGACAGTGAGAAAGAGAGAGAAAGGTCTTCCTTCCATTGGTTCACCCTCCAAATGGCTGCTATGGCCAGCACACTGTGCCGATCCAAAGCCAGGAGCCAGGTGCTTCCTCCTGGTCTCCCATGCAGGTGCAGGGCCCAAGGACTTGGGCCATCCTCCATTGCCTTCCCGGGCTGCAGAAGAGAGCTGGATTGGAAGAGGAGCAACCGGTCAGAATCCGGCGCCCTAACCGGGACTGGAACCTGGGGTGCTGGCACCGCAGACAGAGGATTAGCCAAGTGAGCTGCGGTGCCGGCCACACATACAGTGTTTTCAACAGTCTGTGCTTTCTCGTTCCTCTGGACATGCTATTTTTTAATCTCTTTCCAATGTCCTTGTGTCTATAGTTTATCTGGCAGACTGTCCTTCAAGTTCAGGCTCAGATATTACCTTTTCTGTGTAAACTACCTATGTCCCCTGTTAAGGCTGAGTTATATATACCAAATTTCATGTATCAAAGTACTAATCCCTGGTCCTTCAGAATGTGACTACATTTGGAGAAAGGGTCTCTAAAGAGGTGATTAACATAAAATCAGGCCACTGGGCTGGCGCTGTGGCATAGTGGGTTAGGCAACCTCCTGCATCACTGGCATCCCATATGAGTGCCAGTTCATGTCCCTGCTAATGGCTGGAAAGGCAGTGGAAGATGCCCCAAGTGCTTAGGCACCTGCACCCATGTGGGAGACCTGGAGGAAGCTCCTGGGGCCCCTGCACCCATGTGGGAGACCTGGAGGAAGCTCCTGGCTCCTGGCTTCAAATTGGCCCAGCTCCAGCTGTTGTGGCCATTTGGGGAGTGAACCAGCAGATGAAAGACCTCTCTCTCTCTTTTTCTCCCTCTCTCTGTAACTCAGCCTCTCAAGTAAATAAATAAATCTTTGGGAAAAAAAATCAGGCCATTACCATAAACCCTAATTCAGTGTGGCTGGTGTGCTTATGAGAAGAGATTAGGACAGTCGGAGAGACACTGGGGATGCACAGATGCAGAGAACACGTCACGTGTAGACACCTCAAGAAGGTGGCCCTCTGCAAACACCGAGAGAGGCCTCAGGAGACACCAATACTGACACCTTGGTTCTGAACTTCTAGCCCCCAGAATTGTGAGCAAAGAGCAAATATATTTCTGTTTTTCAAACGACCCAGTCTACAGGATTTTGTTATGGCAGCCCTGGAAAATGAATATCCCCCTCCATCCCAGAAAATTAAACACTCCTCTTCTTCCAGGTGTCCTTAGAGTTTTTTACAGTTCTCTGGTGTCTTTAATGCCTAATATTGTCCTTGATAGTGTCCTTGTCTGGTGTGTCTGTTCACTGTTTCTGAAAAAATTGAATTTCTTAAAAAAAAAAAAAAACACAGACACATACACCATGATTTGAATAAGCAATTATTTCTCAAAATGAGAGACGAAGGGCAGGCATCGTGGCACAGCAGGTTAAGCTGCTGCGTGGGATGCCTGCATTCCATAGGACAGTGTCTAGCTCAGGTCCCAGCTCCTCGGGGATTCCAATCCAGCTTTCTGCCAATATGCTTGGGAGGCAGCAGATGGTGGCCCATCAGCTTGGGTTCCTGCCACCCATGTGGAAGACCTGGCTAGAGGGCCTGGCTCCTGGCTTCAGCCCAGATTGCAGCTGGCTATCATGGGAGTGAACAAGCTGATGGGACATCTCTCTCACTCTCTTGCTTTCTCACTCTCTCTTTCAAATAAATAAATCCTCAGGAAAGAATGAGAGGAGGATTACTCTTTAGGAAACCAATAAAAAATTCACTGATTATATACCAGCTTGAAACCAAGGATCACCCTGCAGAAATTTAAAAGTCAGAAACTGTAGTACTCACCACTTCTTGACATGGAACCTAAGAGAGAGTACTATCCCAGCTGCGAGCCAAAAATAAGCTGGAGTGCAGAAAGTAGAAGAGAGAATAACAGCCTCGGATCAGTGCTAAACTGCTTTAGACTGAATTGAAAGAGTCTATGTAAACCCCGAAATCTTTACCATAAAGTCTTCATTCACTGGAGAAGCATGTGCGTGAACATGTGTGTGTTTGTGTGTGTGTGTGTGTGTAACGCATGCACACATTGCTGTGTTAGCGCAGTAAAACATTGTTGTCAGGCTGTTTCATCCCTGGTTCCTCTATTCATTAGTTTAAATTTCTAAACTTCCATGTTATCACCCATAACGTAGGCTTGATGGTGGTTGATGTATCAGCTCTATAGCATTGCTCTGGGGTTAAATAGTATCATTCCTGTAAAGGACTAACCTAGTAAGTATTCAGCAAGTGTTAGCTGTTGTTGTTATACCATGTGTACCCCAGTGAATGAAGAGCATCTTTAGAAGGGAAATCCCCCGCATCCTTCAGTGCGTGGCAGAAGAAAACCTGGCCGCCCACAGACGCCAGGTGATCTTACGGTGTGGAGCGCTCTGAGTCTACTTCCTCTTGAGCATGTTTTTGAAGTCCATGACCTGAAGCTATTTTAGCCTGGTTTATTGCCACTTAGGAGTCAGACAAAACTGTAGCCCATTTAATGAAGCTTTTGCTTCAAAACACCACAAACCTGTCTAGACATGAAGCATGTTCTAATGTAAGGATTTCTACCCACTGGTGCTTTCTTAAGTCTGAGTCTAAAAATACAACCAGCTGGCTTCTCACTCTGTGACCTATATTCAGGCTTGTAAAGGGACCCTACTGGCACAGTACAGGGATTACAAAGGCATGACTTCCCATAGAAAGTCTCAGTGGATAAGGACAACGGCAATTTTGTCAGCCAAGGGAATGCATGGAGGTCCGACTTTTTGATTCACTGAAACAGCAGCTTGGAAACGTGTCTCAACTCTTGTTTTCTTTCCTGGATGAGATTGTCCTGCTTTCAATTCTCCAAGCTAGACACACAGTGGGTGGTTGCCTGGGTGACAGCCTGTAAACTAAACAGTCTCATTGCAAACAACTGAAGGGTTTGTGGAGGAGGAACTAGCTTTAAAAGTTACTAATTTCTAAAAGCATTTAGGCTGTGTAATACTGGAAAATAATCAAAGAAAAAAATCTAAACTTATGCTGCTTTTCAGCGGATCCCTGGCTGAAGTGTGGGTTAAAAACTGCCCCAGAAGTCAGTGCCACAGTGAATTAGGATGATGTTGGCTGGTGCTTCTTCAGCTGTGAACTAACTCCCTTGGCAAAACACCCCATAGGTAAGTCAAGTAAATCTTCACTTTTCATATTGTTTCGGATAATAGCTATGTTGCAGGTTTTTTTTTCTCCCCAAAGCACTCCCTGAGAAGAAATATCAGGTAAACTGATAGAGGAAAGCAGATGCTAATCACAATGAATGATCTGCATAGAGTTGTCATAAGTAATTTTTGACTTTTCAAATATTGTGACAATCCCTTCCAATAGTTCTAGAGTACAGGCTAGCCTAGTGATAACAAGAAAGGTACATAAATACACTTGCTTCCATTGACTTATACCCAGGATCAAAATCTTATTTTAGTTTCAACACCAACACATGTAAACTTTACAGATTATAAATTTTCTTGTAACCACTCAACATTGTATACCTGTTTTCTTGGCCAGGATCTCTCAGCATAGAATGGGACTCCTATTGCTTTCAGTCTATCACATAAGATTCCAAATTAAATATATAATATAATAATAAGCTTTGACTGACTTTACAGGTAAAAAATCTATGCATATAGTTAAAAAGACTGGGCATCAATAGATGCTAAAGCAGAAAATTCTGTGGAATGAAACATTATTGCTTAAAAATCACTGCTCAGTGGAGGATGGCCCAGGTGCTTGGGCCCTGCACCCCATGGGAGACCAGGAAAAGCACCTGGCTCCTGGCTCCTGCCATCGGATCAGCGCGGTGCGCCGGCCGCAGTGCGCCGGCCGCGGCGGCCATTGGAGGGTGAACCAACGGCAAAAGGAAGACCTTTCTCTCTGTCTCTCTTTCACTGTCCACTCTGCCTGTCAAAAAATAAAAAAAAAAAAATAAAAATAAAAATAAAATAAAAAATAAAAATAAAAATCACTGCTCAAAACAATTCTAAATGGACAACTGAGAAGTTTTCTTATGAAAAAACTTTAAATGGAAATGTACAGATTGAAGGTCAGAGGAGGACAGGGAGCCCGCTGTAAAAAGCTATGTGAATCTGTGCTTGTTATCTGAAAGAATGATTTCTCAACAAACCATCAGTGCTGGTGAGGATGTGGGGGAAAAGGTGCCCTAATCCACTGTTGGTGAGAATGTCAACTAGTACAGCCACTGAGGAAGACAGTATGGAGATAACTCAGAAAGCTGAAAATAGATCTACCATATGACACAACCATCTCATTCCTGGGAATTACCCAAACAAAATGAAATCAGCATATGAAAGAGTTATCTGTGCCCCCATGTTTATTATAGCTCAATTCACAATAGCTAAGATAGGGAATCAACCCAGATGTTCATCAACTAAAGACTGGATAAAGAAATTGTGGTATATATTCACTATGGAATAAAAAGCATGAAATCCCGTCTTTTGCAACAAAATGGATGCAACTGGAAACTGTTACGCTTAGTGAAATAAGCCAATCCCAAAAAGACAAATACTGTATGTTTTCCCTAATCTGTGGTAACTGATAGAGTAGCTAGTAGGTAGTATATAGGAGTGAAATGGACATTTTGGGATTCCATGATTGTTTACAGCCCTGTCTCTACTGTTGAGGACCACTGTTTTTTCTTCTTACTCTTTACTTTGTGTGGGGTTAATCTTATGAGTATAAAGTAAGCTGAACCAAAAGTTGTACTTTAGAAATTTATATTTATTAAATAAAAGTTAAAAAACAGAAAGTAAACTGAAAATAGATCATTGTAAAAATTAAGAGATGGGATACGAGAGGAAAGAGAAGAAAGGGTGGGAGCGTGGGTGGGAGGGAGGGTAGGGTGGTAAGTATCACCGTGTTCCTAAATTTGCATATATGAAATACACAAAATTTATCCACCTTAAAAATTTTTTAAAAATAGAATTGTTTCTGCATTAGAAAATTGCTAAGTGTTCATTTGATGTTCATTGTCTTTCTCCAGTCAATAATTAGTGTTAAGACTCCATGGATGATCAGATAATGACCATGTTGCCCAGTATTGTAGTGATTTGATTTAAGTTTGATTAAATCTAAATTTTTATTTTAGATGCTAGAAACTACTTGTGAAATACTCTCTCCTAAAGTTTACAGGAAAGAGGTAAATCAAAACTCCCTAACATATGAAGGGTCTTCAAAAAGTTGGCAAAAATTCATGTTATGAGAAAAAATAAACTATGCATGATATAAAAAATTTTTGCACCAAAATAAACATCTTCGGATGAACTTTCTGAAGTACTCTCATATATATAAATCCAAATTGTAAAGCAATTTGCTGGGACAGATATGTTATTTGCTTCAAAATTTTTCTGATGTTTGATTTTGATAATATAATCTGCTCCTCTGGCCTTAGTGAAGTTCCAGGTTCACAGCTTGTTAAAAGCTAATGATGGCTGGCGCCGTGGCTCACTAGGCTAATCCTCCACCTTGCAGTGCTGGCACACCAGGTTCTAGTCCCAGTTGGGGCACCGGATTCTGTCCCGGTTGCCCCTCTTCCAGGCCAGCTCTCTGCTGTGGCCAGGGAAGGCAGTGGAGGATGGCCCAAGTGCTTGGGCCCTGCACCCCATGGGAGACCAGGATAAGTACCTGGCTCCTGCCATCGGATCAGCATGGTGCGCCAGCCGCGGCAGCCATTACAGGGTGAACCAATGGCAAAGGAAGACCTTTCTCTCTGTCTCTCTCTCTCACTGTCCACTCTGCCTGTTAAAAAAAAAAAAAAAAAAAAAAAGCTAATGATTAGGATAATGATGATTGAGTGACCGCAGTTAACCAAATGTTCCCTTCTTCAAGAAAACAAGCCCTGCTGGTGGGAGTGTATATTGATACCTCCTTCTAGAGAACAATCTGGAGACAGGGACTGAAATTAAATACACTTGACCCCTTTGCCTCAGAAAAAAAAACTTTTGCATGGTGCATAACAAGGCCCAAAGCTATTAATCACAGTGTGTGAAGTGGGAAGCTGGAGACAGCAAAAATGTCTGTCACCCAAGGAAGAGATAATAAAATTTGGTGGAAGTTTATCAACTGGGAGGTGCATTGGAGTACAAAGATGAAGAATAAAAGCAAAATGTTCAATTTAAAAATAAGTAACAAGTGTACAATTAGTACAGTATTACTTGTATACTCTACACACACATACACAACACACACACAATAGCGCCATATCTTTGTTACCACACATACACATTTTAGGATACCTTTCCAGCACAATTCACTGGGTTCCTGCAAGGCTCAGAGAGAATCAGAGGTTAAAAGGAGCCGGGGGGGGGGGGGGGATACAAAATAAAACAAGAGGAAAACCTGACACAGTTCAAGATCTAATGAAGCACGTACTCATCCTCATCTACCTAAGGTCCAAACGCAAAAATGAAAACAGGCTTGTTGTACAAATGTTGCTTTAAATACTGGCCCTGGGGTGAGCATTTGGCCTAGCAGCAAAGATGCGTGCATCTCATATCCAAATGCCTGCACTACCACCTCTGACTCCTGACTCGAGTTTACTGCTAATAAACCCTGGGAGGCAGTGATGATGGCTCAAGGAATTGTGTTGCTGCCACCCATGTGGGAGATCTGGGTTGAATTTCAGTCTCCTGGTTTTGACTTGGCCTAGTCCTGGCTGTGGCAGGCATTTGGGGAGTGAACCAGTGAGTGTGAGCATGTACTCTCTCTCTCTCCCCCCTCTCTTTCTTTCTGCCTCTCAAATAAATCTATTTGCAAATTTAAAAACAGGGGCAGGCATTTTGGTACAGTAGGTTAAGCTGCCACTCAGGACACCTGCATCTCCTATCGCAGTACGAGTTGGAGTCCAAGTCGCAGCTGCTCGGCTTCCCATCCAGCTCTACTACTGTGCCTGGGAAGGCAGCAGATGCTAGCTCAAGCACTTGTCTCTAATGGGAGACCTGGACGGACTTCCTGGTTCCTGGCCTTGGTCTGGCCCAGTCAAGGCTGCTGTGAGCATCTGGGGAGTGAACAAGCAGATGAAGATCTCTCTTTTTTTGTTCCTTTTTCTCTTTCTTTATCTTTTTTAAAGGTTTATTATTTTATTTGAAAGTCAGAGTTACCCAGAGAGAGAAGGAAAGGCAGAGAGAGAGAGAGAGAGAGAGGGGTCTTCCATCCGATAGTTCACTCTGAAATCAGCTACAATGGCTGGAGCTGGGCCAATCCAAAGCCAGGAGCCTCTTCCAGGTCTCCCAGATGGGTGCAGGGGCCCAAGGACTTGGGCCATCTTCTACTGCTTTCCCAGACTATAGCAGAGAGCTGGATTGGAAGTGGAGCAGCCGGGACTCAAACCAGGATGTCGGCGCTACAGGAGGCAGCTTTACCAGCTAAGTCACAGTGCCAGCCCCTCCCTCCCTTCCTCCCTCCCTTTCTCCCTTCCTTCCTTCTTCTCTTTCTCTCTTTCTCTCTCTCCTTCCCTCCCTCCCTTCCTTCCTTCCTTCCTCTCTCTCTCTCTCTCTCTCTCTTTCTTTCTTTCTTATTTATTTCTGTAAAGATCTATGTATTTTCAAGGCAGAGTTACAGAGAGAGAGGGAGAGAGAAAGAGAAAGAGATCTTTCATCTGCTGGTTCACTCCCCAAATGGCCACAATGGCTGGGGCTAGGCGAAGCCAGGAACATGGAACTTCATCTGCATCTCCCATGTAGGTGGCAGGGACCCAAGTACTTGGGCCATTTTGCTCCGCTTTCCCAGGTCCGTTAGTAAGGAGCTGGATCGGAAGTGGAAGAGCTGGGACTTGAACTAGAGCTCAAATAGGATGCCAGCATTGCAAGCAATAGTTTAACCTGCTGTGCCACAATGGTGGCCCCTAGTGCTCTTTCTCTCTCTCTGCCTCTTTCTGTCACTCTACCTTTAAATAAATGAATACATCTTTAAAAAATAAAATTAAAAATACACACATAAATACTAGTTCCAGTAAGTCTTCCTGGGCACTAACACTCTCACCTCTCCAGTATGAAATCCTATTTTTGCCAAGGTCTATGCCTCCTTTTTCACATCTGTAAAATAGAGATAATAATATTTGGAATTAAATATATAAAATACATGTAAAGTATTTAGAGCCATGGATGGCACATAGTAAACATTTAATAAATGTTGGATATCATTGCTGTTATCATATTATTGCTATTATTATATAACTTCTTTTGAACAAAGGTAGGGATAAGCTTGAGTAATTCATGTCTACTTCAAAGCAATCTTTGTTAGAAATAGTGGGTGAAGGCAGGCGCCACGGCTCACTAGGCTAATCCTCCGCCTTGCGGCACCAGCACACCGGGTTCTAGTCCCGGTCGGGGCGCCGGATTCTGTCCCGGTTGCCCCTCTTCCAGGCCAGCTCTCTGCTGTGGCCAGGGAGTGCAGTGGAGGATGGCCCAAGTGCTTGGGCCCTGCACCCCATGGGAGACCAGGATAAGTACCTGGCTCCTGCCATCAGATCAGTGCAGTGCGCCAGCCGCGGCAGCCATTGGAGGGCGAACCAACGGCAAAGGAAGACCTTTCTCTCTGTCTCTTTCTCTCACTGTCCACTCTGCCTGTCAAAAAAAAAAAAAAAAAATAGTGGGTGAAGGGGCCAGTGTTGTGGCATAGTGGGTTAGGCCATTGCCAGACACGCCAGCATTCCATGTGGGTACCTTTTCGAGTCCCAGCTACTACACCTCTGATCCAGCTCCCTGATAAAGCAGCAGAAGAGGGCCAAAGTGCTTGGGCCTCTGTACCCATGTGGGAGGCTCATGTGTAGGCATTTGGGGAGTGAGCCAGGTGTTGGAATATCTCTCTCTCTGTCTCTCCCTCTCTCTCTGTAACTCTGCCTTTCAAATAAATAAATCTTTGAAAACAAAAATGAATGCAGAAGGGAAAATGAGTATCTATTCTAGAAAGTTTAAATCAAAAGAAAAAACAAGTTGGGAATGAGAAATGTCAGTTAGAAAATGAAGTGGCTTGTGGATGGAATTCTAATCACCAAGCCATTTTTGTTATGAGGCCGCCTGATCATAGGAGTCTCTGAGCAATTTGATTTTTAAAAGGAGCCTCCTGCAGACAGTTAAAGATCACTGGATGCCAGGGGTCAGTAGGGGAGGGAAGGAGGAACAGACAGAACACAGAGGACTTCCAGGATTATGAAAGTATCTGTGATATAACAGGGATCAGTATACATCGTTATTCATTCACCTATAGAAGAGACACCAAGCACGAGCCCTCACATAAAGAATGACTTTGCTTGGGGGCTGGTGCCGTGGCTCACTTGGTTAATCCTCCACCTGTGGCGCCGGCATCCCATATGGGCAGTCCTGGTTGCTCCTCTTCCAATCCAGCTCTCTGCTGTGGCCCAGGAGGGTAATGGAAGATGGCCCAAGTGCTTGGGCCCCTGCACCCATGTGGGAGACCTGGAAGAAGATCCTGGCTCCGGGCTTCGGATCGGCACAGCTCCAGCCCTTGTGGCCATTTGGGGAGTGAACCAATAGAAGGATGACCTTTCTCTGTCTCTACCTCTCACTGTCTATAACTCTACCTCTCAAAAAAAAAAAAAAAAAAAAAGAATAACTGTGTGATAGTACTGTGTTTGGAAGTTCGCCAGGTGTGACAATTGTGCCACTCTGATACAGGCTGTTGATAGTGAAGAGATCAGTGAGGGGTTGGAAGCAGGGGGCATATTGTACTCTCTGCTCCACTTTGTTGTGAACCTGAAACTATGCTGTAGTTAATTGGTTCAGTGGGTCAAGGTGCTGCTTGGGATGCCCACATTCTGTATTGGAGTGCCCTTCCGGTCCTGGCTGCTCTGCTTCAGATCCAGCTTCCTGCTAATGCACCCTGGGAGATAACAGAAAATGGCTCAAGGGCTTGGGTCCCTGAGACTCATATGGGAGATCCAGATATTGTTCCAGGCTTTGGCCTGGCCCGAGCCCTGGCTGTTGGCGGCTTTACCTGCTTTGCCACATTCTGCCCCAATCTTCCTAAAGTACTAATGTTTCTAAAAGGCAATACACGAAACACTCCATGGGCTTCCCAGCCTGCAGGAGAAATACAGTGTAAATCCCTCTCAGTCCTACTCTCCTCCTTGCTCCTCGGCCCTGGGTAGAGGCCCTTGTTCATGCCTCTCCCTGTCAGTACTGCCCTCCCTCCTCTTCTTTGGCTGTCCAGATGGTTTTTTTTTTTTTTTTTTGACAGGCAGAGTGGACAGCGAGAGAGAGAAACAGAGAGAAAGGTCTTCCTTTGCCGTTGGTTCACCATCCAATGGCCGCCACAGCCGGTGCACCACGCTGATCTGAAGGCAGGAGCCAGGTGCTTCTCCTGGTCTCCCATGCAGGTGCAGGGCCCAAGGACTTGGGCCATTCTCCACTGCACTCCCGGGCCACAGCAGAGAGCTGGCCTGGAAGAGGGGCAACCGGGACAGAATCCGGCACCCCGACTGGGACCAGAACCTGGTGTGCCGGCGCCGCAAGGTGGAGGATTAGCCTAGTGAGCTGCGGTGCCGGCCCTGTTGATTCCTTCTATCAAGGGAATATCTCAAGATATACCACCATTCCATTCCTCAGATGTCTATAAGATTCATTATTTGTTGTTTGTGTGGGCGCTTAATCCTCATGTTCTTTTTGTATTTTCCCTTGGCTATTCTTGTTATTTTCTGTAGTGACAGGTCAATGGAAGCTCCTGAAGGGCATCCAGTCTCTTCCTAATGAAATCACGAATTCATGGAATAATGAATTCATTCTCTTTTGAAAAAGAGGACTTTATGTAGTCTGGTCCATGAATTCTGAAGGCATTTGTGTGTTTAAAAAATTGAAGATCAAGTCTAGACTTTCTTGTGTATTTTTCCTAGTTTTCCACACAAGGCAGCACTATGTAATGAGCCTCTTGTTCTTTTGCTTTCAACCCAATGCCAGGTCATTGCAAGTAAACTCCCCTTTAATGAAACAGCATGTGACTACACATAGCGATTATGATGCCAGAAGCAGAAGTTGGAATACGGAGTGTGAGAAAGGATCCTATGTTGTTTCTAGCAGCAAGAATCTCCATAGAGGGGATAGGGACGTAATTTGGTAACTTCAAAATTGCCATGTAAGAGGTATTTAAAAGATTTGGGAAATAAAATGGGATATTTAAAATTTTCTGAGAAATCTAGAACAAGGGCCGCCATGCTCCTCAGTGACTCCCACTTTGGGGAAATTATGGAACATGCAAGAGGGTGAAGCATGGAGTATCCCTGATTTTGAGAAACTGACAGTTTTTTGGGGAGCACAGGACTTCAACAAAGAAAACAACTATAGAGAGGTCAAGAAGCAACATTAAAGGAAATAAAATCCAACACAAATTTTCATCTATAGAATGTGCATACACTTTACAGATAGTATTTCATATCCTCACTGACCTTTCGAAGAAGGAACTGTCAGTTCCATTTTAATTATTTTATTTATTTGAAAGAGACAGAGATAGATAGGCAGACAGGCAGAGATCTCCCATCTCCTAGTTCTCTCTCCAAATGCCCTTAACAGCCAGGGCTGGGCCAGACTGAAGCCAGGAGTTTGGAATTCAATCCACTTCTCCCACGTGGGTGGCAGGGACTTTATCAAAACCCTCACCTGCTGCCTCCTAAGGTCTTCATTAGAAAAATTCAGAATTGGAGGCAAGGCCAAAACCAGAACCCAGGCACTCTGATACGGCATATCCAAGCAGCATCTTAAGTGCCACACCAAATGCCCATCCCTCATATGAAGCTCAGAGGAGATGAGTAGCCTGCTCAGCATCGTGCAGCTGGCCATCTCCAGAGAAAGGATTTGAATCAGGTGCTGGCGGGCTCCAAAGCCTGTGTTCTTTCGCTGCTGATCCTTCCTTTCTTCTCCTGTGCTGTCATGGATCCTCCAAAGTAACGTTGAAATTATTGTTGTACCTAATTTAACACAGGTATGCAAAACCTGGCAGAATTTTAAGGTTTCTCGCTTTTGCAAAATGGTATTTAAAGCTGTTATAATATTTTTACACATGAAAAAGCAAACAGGTGACAGTAAAGGCAAAATGTTACCCTGGAGCCACCCATTGCTTTGTTGGCTCCCATATAATTAAAGTAATTTCTTTTCTCCCGCAGGCAATTATATGGAGCTAGCAAGATGAATAAAAATAAACTTATTCATGATTTTCTGGAAGTCATTTCAAAAGGTGATGTGGAGCTCATCTGTGATCATATTACTAATGTCCATTCCATTCTCGGAAACCTTGACTTTCAGCACCCAGAGACTGGGAATACACCCCTCATTACTGCAGCAGAAGAAAATCTAACAGAGGTAACACATGGTGTGCTGGGCCCAGGGATAAGTGTTCTCCCAAGCTAAGAATTGTGAACAAGGTTATGCCCCATCTGCACAAAAGAGACATCCTAAATTTAGACAGGTGCCACCAGTCAGTCCACAGATATGCCTGCTGTGTCCAAGGCCAGGGACGAGACTTCCCAGTGTATACAGAGGTGAATCACACAATAATGCCACCCACGAGGAGCTACTGCTCAAATGGGACCACATAAAGGATCCTGAGGTTTTTCTTCTTCATTCCCTACCCTCTACTCCATCAGTATCTGGAACTGAATTTTCTGTTTTATTTTTTTTAAAGGTCTTATTTATTTATTTGAGAGGTAGAGTTACAGTGAGAGGGAGAGACAGAAAGAAAGGTCTTTCCTTCCATTGGTTCCACTTTAAACCTGATGTAGGGAACTAGGAATAAATAATCAAATAATAAGACCTAAAAGGGAAGGAGACTTTGTCCTCCGTGTTTTTTTTGTTTTTTTGTTTTTTTGTTTTTTTTTTTTTGACAGGCAGAGTTAGACAGTGAGAGAGAGAGAGACAGAGAGAAAGGTCTTCCTTTTGTTGGTTCACCCCCCAAATGGCTGCTATGGCCTGTGCGCTGCGCTGATCCGAAGCCAGGAGCTTCGGTCTCCCATGTGGGTGCAGGGCCCAAGGACTTGGGCCATCCTCCACTGCCTCCCCGGGCCACAGAAGAGAGCTGGACTGGAAGAGGGGCAACCGGGACAGAATCCAGAGCCCCAACGGGGACTAGAACCCGGGGGTGCCGGCACCTAGTGAGCCACGGCACCGGCCTTCGTCCTCTGTGTTCTAACTGTATCTCCAGCTCCTAGCAGGGTGGCTGACACATCTAGGTGTTTAATTGATATTTAACAAGAGGATAAATGAATGGGCCGGTGCCGCGTTACACAGATAGGAGAGGCAGTGAGAGAGAGAGGTCTTCCATCCACTGGTTCACTCCCCAATTGGCCACAATGGTCGGTGCAGGGGCCCAAGGACCATCTTCTACTGCTTTCCCAGGCCATAGCAGAGAGCTGGATGAGAAGTGGAGCAGCCGAGACTCGAACCCAGCGCCCATATGGTATGCTGGCACTTTAGGCCAGGGCATTAACCCTCTGCACCACAGTGCTGGCCCCAACCATATTTGTTGAATAAATTACCTCTTCAGGGGGCTGATATTTGGTCTAGCACTTAACACATTATTAGAATGTCTGTGTCCCATACCAGAGAGCCTACCTTCAGTACCCAGCTCTGCTCCTGATTCCAGCTTCCTGGTAATGTGGACCCTGGGAAGCAGCAGTAACGAATCAAATGATTTCGCCTCTGCCACCCACCTGGGTGTTGTGAGAATTGGGAATATGAGTCAGAGAATGGGGGTTATGTTTTTCTGTCTCACTTTGCCTCTCAAATAAATTAAAAATTTAATCACTCCTAAACTATTTGAAACTATATTTGAAACTGTCTCCCTGGACGCACTTGCAGAAATATTTGCAGCAGTCAAGATTATATAAACCTCAATTTTTGGGCTTTATATTCTAAGTTATAGACAATTAAAAAACTTTGTTTTGTGAATTTAACATAAATTACAATATCTAGCCTTTGAAAATAGTATTCAAAATATCAACCACACACGGAGAATTTTTCACCACATTTAAAAAGGCCAATTACCAAATAGTGGCCACCTTTATCTAACTCAGTCCTCCGTTTTTATTCCCTTCTCATTCTCTTTTCCTGTATCATGAATCAGAGCCACATGAGCTCTGAAAATACGGTTAGCACTGAAAAATAAGAACGTTGTGTTGCAGGTTGTTGGGTTTCTTCTGGAAAAGGGTGCAGATGTCACCCTCTGCAATTACAGCAACCTGACCGCGGTGCACGTGGCTCGTTGTGACATCCAAAGGCAGCTCCTGGCTACCAATGGAGTCCAGGCTCCTCAAAGGCAGCTTCTACAGAGTTCATGGCAAGGTGATCTCCAACAACTTCAGCACTTACTGGTAAGTTACGTGGATGTTTGCTTCTGCCTTTGGGTGCTTGGATGGTAAGGAGGGCACAGACTACATGTGACTCCTTTGAAAGAAAATTAGGTTCTTTTCAAATGCAAGCCCAGAAAGTTTCAACCAAGAAATCTGTGCTTGGTGGGGAGGGAGGGAACAGGACCAAACCGGATTTGGGGGTGGCAAACAACACAATGAAAGAATCCAGCAGTGGCTTTTTTCCACCTTCCTACAGCTGGATGCTAGGAGAAGTCCCGAAGCACCCCTGGGCAATGATGTGCCCGCAGGAAGCCTCGGAGGACCGCTGTCAACTTGCTTACACGGCTCCCTTGACATCATTGCCATTTGCACAGTTGCTGTTTCAATCCCTTCGGGCCCGATGCAGTTATTATCTTGCTCTTGAAAAGGGAATCAGAGAGCCTGTGCCTTACATAATAGTTATTGTGACTAAAGAAGTTAAGAGGATACCTTTTATAAAATGCTGCCTTCTTGGGTTATCGATCCTCTTGTTTAGATTTTCTACTTCCAGCTACTTTTCCCCCCAAGCATCGTGTAAGATCATATGCATAATCAAGGGCGTTAATTATTAGTAACCTGCATTTGTCTACTGTTGGCGTTCACTTTCAGAGGTTCTGTCTAGACCACGTGATCTTCCCACTGAAGGGAAATCAATTGCTGCTAGGAAACAGCTTCTTCATGTCCCTATGGTAAAGACACAAACAGACAAAGGAAAATGAATGACATTCTAGTCACATTCAGTACAGTTCAAGGATAAATGTAGCAAAACCAAAGGCCACTTTACATCTCTTTTTTTGTACCAAATGTTAGTCTAAGGTTGACATATATGGTGAACCAAGGCTTAGAAATTTTTTGAAAGACAATAAATTTTATTTTAATGGAAGTTTCAACAGCTGTAATTACAATCTGATTTTTGTTTACACAACCACGTTTTCTGCTCAGTTTTAATAAACTGATGCCCGTAACTGGATACACAGCTTAAGCAACAGATTGGTGTGCTGTTGCAAGACTATTAACAACTCAAGAATTTTTATTGGTTCTAACTAATAATAAACATTGGTATAAGAGGTGATTTCTTCTCAGAGTATGAAAAAAATTAATTCCCACAGCACCCCTCTGAGGTAATATCATTATCACCTGGTTCCCTAGAGAAGCTGAGGTAGAGGCACTGAATACACAGACATGGTGTAAAGTGAAGTAGAGATGGAAATTAGTGGGTTGTTTTGTCTACAAAATAAACAATTTGGATATTTTGGCCTTCCTGTAGTTTTTCAGTGTTGTTTTATTCAAAGTGAATTCCAGTTGCATTGAAGCAACAAGTAACATCTACATATCCACTCCATTTGATACATAAATACAATTTAATGAGCTGCCTTATTATTGTAAATCATTCATTCATTCAAGTAATGTGTGTTAGATACTCTCATAAGTGCCTTTCAGACTCCATTCTAATCATCAAAGCAACCCTAGAAGGAAGACACTGGGTTTCCAACTTTCCAAGTAAGGACTCTGAAGGTCAACAGACAGGGTTGCTGCCTTTTGCTTATAAAATTAGGACACTCAGTTCAATGCAAATTTCAGATCAACAACAAATATTTTTTGTCACTATAAGTATACCCCAAATGAAAATTACTCATCATTTAACTGGATGTCCCTTATTTTACCAAAATGACTTAATCTCCATTGAACAGGGTGCTCCTGATATCACGAACCAGGGAAGCAAAATAAACAGCTCAAGGAGCTGAGATTGAAACCCAGGTTTGTCTTTCAGGCTTCTGTTCTTTCACCACAACACCTCCCTTTCAGGATAGATTTTGAGAAAGAATATATTGACATTAAAATGAGAATTGGCCGAGTAATGACAATGCTGTGATTAGTAACAAGAGCCAGACAGTAAAAACACCATGGAAATAAAGATTTGTGTTTTAAAGGCATCTGAAGAGTTCCTGGACATAAATTTCCCAAACCAACATGGCTTGACCCCTCTGATGCTGGCTGTGAGAGATGTGGACCTGTTTGAGAGTCTTGATATGTTAACAGCATACAGACCTGCGGAGGTTCTATCCGAGCTCCTCAGGCACCATGCGTGAGTATGAGTGGCTGGCCAGCACCTGCCAGCAGGTGTCTATTCCGTTGTTACTTACAGAAATCACATGCCAACTAGATTGTTTTCGGTTACATGAGAGGGCTTCCAAAAGTTTTTGGAAATTTGGCACCATCTTTTAATTCCATTTTCCATGAGCTTTTGGAAGGACCCTTGAATATATCAAATGAACATGCATCATCATAAGAGCAAATTTGCAATTGCAAAGTGATGTACAGATGTCAAAGTTTGGTATATATTATTATGATATCCAACTCTTTATTTGTTTAGGTAATGACTGTTAGTAGTTACTAGGAACATCAAATAATTCTCGAGTATGCAGCAGCTTACCCTAATACACTACTAATTATTTTGAAAAGCATTGTGAATCTATCAAAAGTAGTTTAGAACAGTGATTTTCAGTTATATTAAAATGGCTACATGGCCAGCGCCGTGGTTCACTAGGCTAATCCTCCACCTGCAGCGCCAGCACCCCAGGTTCTAGTCCTGGTCGGGGCACCGGATTCTGTCCCGGTTGCCCCTCTTCCAGGCCAGCTCTCTGCTGTGGCCAGGGAGTGCAGTGGAGGATGGCCCAAGTCCTTGGGCCTTGCACCCACATGGGAGACCAGGAGAAGCACCTGGCTCCTGGCTTCAGATCAGCGCGGTGCACCGGCCACAGCGGCCATTGGAGGGTGAACCAACAGCAAAGGAAGACCTTTCTCTCTGTTTCTCTCTCTCACTGTCCACTCTGCCTGTCAAAAGGAAAAAAAAAAATGGCTACATGCCAAATGCTCTTTTAAGAGGGAGAAGGTGAATAATTTTTCTTTATAAAAAAGAATTGCAATTTGCTACTGATGTTACCTAGGTATCTTATCATCAAGTAAGAACAGATGGTTGAAGCTCCTTCTCAGTATTTCATATAAATTTCATTAAAAAAAAAAAAAAGAGGGGGAGGGCCGGTGCTGTGGCTCACTAAGTTAATCTTCTGCTGCAGCGCCAGCATCCCATATGGGTGCCGGGTTCTAGTCCCAGTTGCTCCTCTTCCAGTCCAGCTCTCTGCTGTGGCCTGGGAAGGCAGTGGAGGATGGCCCAAGTCCTTGGGCACCTACACCTACATGGGTGACCAGGAGGAAGCACCTAGCTCCTGGCTTCAGATCGGCACAGTGCCGGCCGTAGCGGCCATTTTGGGGGTGAACCAATGGAAGGAAGACCTTTCTCTCTGTCTCTCTCTCTCTCACTGTCTAACTCTGTCAAATAAAAAAAAATAAAAAAGAGGGGGAGAGCTTCAAGGACATGAGCTTTTGTAAAAGGATCAGTGAGTATAATGGAATAAAATGGAATTTTGTAGCTACCATAGACTTTTGTGTTAGGAAACAACAGAGGCAATTGTTAAAATTGGAGTTTTCTGGACACCACTCCAAAGACGGTGTTCAATAGGTTTGGAGTGGAGTCTACAAGGCTGGAGATCAAAGGATGCTGTGTGTAGAAACACTAATTCAGGCAGATGAATAAGCTAAGATCCAACAAGTTGAGTGACTTGCTAAAGGCCATGTAGTAGGGCAATGGCAGTATAGTATTTCTTTTGAAATATGACCTTTGATGGAGATAAGAACACAAGAGAATACTGTGACAACGCAGAACACATTGTCCAGTACCATAGCATTAAAGAGATTCAAATTCAAAAGTTTTAGGTCAGAGACCATGATCAACTTGCCCCTTCTCCTGGAACATGACAAATAAAGCAAGTTTTATCATTGTTTTCCTCACTAAAATCTGTTAATAACATTCTCATCATTTATCATTTAGATTTCTCTAAACTGATAGTTTATGCTAAGATTCAATACAATACAGAAAGAGAGCATTCTGAACCATGGTTCATTCCCCTAAATGTCTATTGTGGCTCGGCCTAGGCCAGGGTCAAAGTTGGGAACTTAGCTGGGTCTCCCATGCAGGTGGCAGAAACCCAATTACTTGAGCCATCACTGCTGTCTCTCAGGGTCTGCACTGGCAAGAAGCTGGGAATATCAAACCCAGGTTCTCTGATGTTGCCCCTGGGTATATTAACCACTAGGGTAAATGCTCATTCCCATTATCAGCTTAATTTTGAAGAGTGATTCTATCCTATCCACCATTTTTGGGTGATAAAAAAGCTTGCAGTTAGTATTAGAAAACATAAATAAAAGTTAGCAGTTAGCCAGGTAATTGGGAAAAAAAATCAAATGAGCAATTTAAGATGATAAGATAGCAGTTTATCAAGATATTTTTATCTTTACTTGATTTATGTACCCTTAAAGAATTATGACATTTTTTCTCTAAAGTTGGATGTTTTCTGCAAATCTTAGTTGTTTTTAGAATGGAGCGTGGGCATGGGAATAAGGTATAGATTTATCCATTTCATTCAACATCTTTAAAAATGTCATCCTTTATTTTATACACTTTTAAGTAATTATCTTCAAACTACATAAACTTTTACTTATTTGATGTCAATGGTTTTTCCTCTCATACTGATTTTCATTTTCAGCAAATTTAACTAAGTAATCTTTGATGTTTATTTTATCCTTAGAGATCCCAAACTCTGCGATTTTAGTGGAAAATCAGCAATACATTATGTGTCACAAATAGAGAGTTTGAGGAAACAGCAGTTATTGGACATTCTAATGAATTCTATGCCAAAACCAGGTAAATATTTTTATTCCATGTGTGCAATTCTTTAACTGAAAAAGAGCCCTCTTAGGAGTCTTCCTTTTCCCACATCTGTCTGATGGATTGACTTAAAGGAATCCAGCCTACAGCTGTCATTGAGCAGGCCCATGGTGCTATCAGGCTAATGCCAGCTCCAGACTTCTGAGAGTGGGAAGAATGGTCAGGGACACGTCACTGAAGTCAGAGAAGAGAGTTTGCTGTGAACTTGAAAGGGAAGGGGGGATGGTAAGGGGTTCCCGAAGCCTGGGCGAGATTCGGGAAGGTTCGCTAATGATGGGGAGGAGAACCTGAGCAGAGGCACAGACCCAGTTGCAGGGGAAGGTGCAGTGACAAGCATGCGTCTGAGCAGCCAGTGGCTTGTGAGGGCTGCTTGTCTTTATTGTCGGATGGACTTGTTGTTTGAGGCTTCTCAGCAGGGGACAGGTGTATACCTAAGAAGGTTTCCTGAACAGGTGAGTCTCACTGGGATCCTTGAAAAGAGGAAAGGGCTTGATTTTTGTACTGTAGAAGCAGTGTGTCATGAGTAAGCTTAACTAATCCCTGAGGCTGACGGGAGCCTGGAACCAAACATTCACATCAGAGAAAAGAGAAACAGAAGATCAAATCCATAAAGCGACTGGGGACAGGCTTAAATGTTAGGCTGAAGGACAAATGTTTCCCTCAATAAAATAGTGTCACTGAAGAATTTTAAACCTGAGGACGATGAAAGCCTTGTTTTAGGAAAACTAACCTGTTCTTACTGTGTAGAATGGACTTCAGGGAAAAGGCAGAGATCTCCATTAAGAAGGTAGAAACGCCCATAAAGAGTCCTTGGGTGGCATGTGGTGGTGCACCTGAGAGCGCTGGGTATTTGGGTATGATGAGTCTATTGTGAAAGAACAACTCACAGAACTTCGAGATGTAAAGCTGGTGAAGAAGGCGCAGAAACTAAAGTTGAGAGTTGCATTGAAGTTGATTGTGAAGTTTCAGACCTGGGGTGGGCACTGTGGCACAGTGAGTTAAACTGCCACTTGGGATGTCCACATCCCATATCAGAGTGCCTAGCACTGAGTCCCAGCTTCTCCACTTCTTTTTTTTTTTTTTTTTTTTTTTACAGATAGACAGTGACAGAAAGAGAGAGACAGAGAGAAAGGTCTTCCTTCCATTGGTTCAACTCCCCCAGATGGCCACTACAGCCAGAACTATGCCAATCCAAAGCCAGGAGCCAGGTGCTTCCTCCTGGTCTCCCATGCAGGTGCAGGGGCCATTCTCCACTGCCTTCCCGGGCCACAGCAGAGAGCTGGACTGGAAGAGGAGCAACCGGGACTAGAACCCGGCGTTCACATGGGATGCCGGCGCCGCAGGCAAAGGATTAATGAAGTGAGCCATGGTGCCGGCCCCTTCTCCACTTCTGATCCAGCTTCCTGTTAATGTGCCTGGAAAGCATCTGCTGATGACCCCGGTTCTTGGGCTCTTGCCACCCCCGGGGGAGACCTGGATGGAGTTCCTGTCTCTGGACTTCAGCCTGACCCAGTCCTGGCTATTGCCAGCCTTTGGGGAGCAAGCCATCAGACGGGAGATCTCTTTCTGTCTGTGTTTTTCCCTCTCTGTGTCACTCTGCCTTCCAACTAAATAAATCAATCTTTGAAAAATAAATTAACAAAATAAAGTTTTAGGCCTCAAAAACTGTAGAGACAGAAAGACAACCAACAAAATAGCATAATATTCTGATTTGGTAAAGGTATTGAATGGGGGGATGGGTAATGAGCTTAAAAAACAGTGACTTTGAGAGAAGGTTGGGACTTTTGAGCAGCAACTTTCTGTATTACAGGGATTGTGGATAAGGAGGGGTTGAGGTGTTAGGTTGGGAGTTCTCTGCACAAAGTTTATGAGGACCTGAAAGTGCATGAGATACTTGAAGGACGGATGATGAGGCGAAATTGCAGAGGGTTGAACTGGGCAGGTGTACCCACCTTGAGGTCTCTCTGTGTAAGACCCTCAGCTGTCGGGCTGGAAGAGCGATGGTGCCTCTCAACAAGAAACACTGGAGACAGGCCAGATGAGCATGTCCACTTACTAGCGATCAGGCACAGACTTTTATAGGGTAAGAGGGGGAGAAAAAGCCTGGGGTAGTAACAGCAATTCTCTAGGGCAGAAGGGGCAGCATGCCAAAAGACCCCTAACCAATCAACTTATAGGTCACATAGGCCACGTAGGCCCCTGGGCTCCTTTGTGCAATTGGCCTACATCTGGAATGTGAGAGTTGCTCATCTGGAATGTGGGACTTGCTCATCGGCTCTCAACCACAAAGGCACAGCCACAAGGCTTCCAACAGGAAGGGGGATGGGGGAAATGGGCCTAGAGCTCCGCCGCCTGCCAGCGGCCAGGCTGTGGGGTCCCATAGAATCACCCACACACCCATACGGAGAGATGAGCACCTCGAGACTCCAGAGGAGAAGAGAGACAGAGAAAGAGAGAGGGAGTCCTAAGAAGGAAAGAAGCAGGAAACAATGTCAAATTGGAAAGAAGATTATAACACAGATATGGGGAGGAAGGGAGAAGTTTCAAGGGCAAAATGAAGGCAGAAAATAGATTGCACAAAATAAGAAAGGAAAATATAGTGAGGAAAGGAAGAGCCTGAGTACGGAGTCAATGTTTTTCCACTAAAGGTAAGTAGAAGAGACATTGGGAGAGGGAGTTTTTGTTGTAAAGAGCCCACGCTTACTCGAAGAGGTCAGCATAGCAGAAGGGGATACAGATGACAGCAGTGACTCCTGGGAACTAACTGGGAATCAACTGTTTGTGTTCAGACTCTATAGATTTTTTAAAAAGATTTATTTATTTGAAAGGCAGAATTATAGAGAGGCAGAGGCAGAGAAAGGGAGAGAGAGGGAGAGGGAGAGAGAGGGAGAGACAGGGAGAGAGAGAGAGAGAGAGAGGTCTTCCATCCGCTGGTTCACACCCCAGATGGCCGCAACGGCAAGCTACACCAATCCAAAGCCAGGAGCCAGAAGCTTCTTACAGGTCTCCCACGCAGGTGCAGGGGCCCAAGGACTTGGACCACCTTCACTGCTTTCCCAGGCAATTAGCAGGGAGCTGGATTGGAAGTGGAGCAGCTGGATCTCAAACCAGTGCCCATAGGGGATGCTGGCACTGCAGGCGGTGGCTTTACCCACTACACCCCAGTTCCGGCGCCAGAATGCTATACATTTAATATGGCTTCTAGTGCAAGGTGGGAAGTTATGCTGGGATGAGCTGAGGGCCTTTATCTTTGACAGCTGCAGAGCAAATATCATGTCCAGCTCATTGTTAGGGGTTTCACTTAGCAGCTTTGCCTAAAACAGATCTGTTAACGGCAACTGTTTGAACTGATAACCGTTGATACCTATTTATTTAATTCAATGGTATTTCCCCTTTTACTCACCAGAAACAAAAGGTATGTGATCTAATTTTTTAAAAAATTACTGGGTGGGCTGCACAGCTCTGATTTAACTTGTTAGCTTCATTGTGTTGTCATCATCTGTACTTCCCACAAAGGGGCTGCAGGTAGAGATTCAGAGAAGGAAACTCGTGCATTGACTAGGCCAGCCCTAAGACTTTACTACCCTGGACAAGTCATACAGGTGTTTCACAGTTAAGTGAAATAGACCAAGACACTTTTAAAAAATATATTTACTCGGGCTGGCGCTGTGGCGCAGCAGGTTAACGCCTGGCCTGAAGTGCCACCGGCATCCCATATGGGCATCAGTTCGAGTCCTGGCTGCTCCACTTCCAATCCAGCTCTCTGCTATGGCCTTGGAAAGCAGTAAAAGATGGTCCAAGTGCTTGGGCCCTGAACCCACGTGGGAGACCCGGAGGAAGCTCCTGGCTTCAGATCGGTGCAGCTCCGGCCTTTGCAGCCAACTAGGGAGTGAACCATCGGATGGAAGACCTCTCTCTCTCTCTCTCTCTCTCTCTGCCTCTCCTCTCTCTCTGTGTGTGTGTGTAACTCTGCCTTTCAAATAAATAAATAAATAAATCTTTAAAAAATATATTTACTTATTTGAAAGGCAGAGTTACAGAGAGAGAGAGAGAGGGAGGGAGAGACTGAGAGAAAGGTCTTCCATCTGCTGGTTCCACTCCCTAAATGGCCACAATGGCCTGAGCTGGGCCAATCCAAAGCCAGGAGTCTCTTCTGGGTTTTCCACATGGGTGCAGGATCCCAAGGACTTGGGCATCTTCCACTGCTTTCCCAGACCATTAGCAGGGAGCTGGATCGGAAGTGGAACAGCTGGGACTCAAACTGGCATCTGTATGGGATGCCGGCACTGCAGGCAGAGGCTTAATTTCCTATGCCCATCACTGGCCCTCAAGAAGCTCTGTCTACCATGCTGAGGACTAATCCTCATGAAACAAGAGGGACAATGTCCTTTCTGTGCATGTGGGCCCCTGCAGAAGAGGGTGCCACACCCTGAGCCAGCTGCTGACAGATTTAATGGTTAAAATTTCTTCCTCACTGGGCCAGCGCTGTGGCACAGCGGGTTAACGCCCTGGCCTGGAGTGCCACCGGCATCCCATATGGGCACCAGTTCGAGTCCCAGCTGCTCCACTTCCTATCCAGCTCTCTGCTATGGCCTGGGAAAGCAGTAGAAGATGGGCCAAGTTCTTGGGGCCCGCACCCACTTGGGAGACCTGGAGTGGGCTCCTGGTTCCTGGCTTCAGATGGGCGCAGCTCCGGCAGTTGCGGCCAACTGGGGAGTGAACCAGCGGATGGAAGACCTCTCTCTCTCTCTCTCTCTCTCTCTCTCTGCCTCTCCTCTCTCTGTGTAACTCTGACTTTCAAATAAATAATAAATCTTTAAAAATTTCTTCCTCACATTCCAGCATCCACAGAGATGTTGCATCAAGGACATTAAGAGTGAGGTGACCAGGTTTATATTAAAGCAAAATGTGACTCTTGGTTACATTCAACTCTTCACAGAGCTTAAGGCTTGGTAGGCACTTAGCTGTTGCCTGATTTCCTTTAACTCTCAAAAATATATTATTTGTTCAAAATTAAAGTAACTGTTAATTTTTTCTCTCTTTAAATAATGATAGCTACCACTACAGAGTTCTAAAAATTGTAAGTCATCTATTCCATGGATTTGTCCTGTTCTCATACTTCTTCCTGTAAAAATTATTTCTCTGAAGGGTCAACAGGATCCCAGACCCTATTTCAGGAAAATTTTTGATAAATGGGGCTGATTCTAGAACCTAGAGCTAGCTTTCCTATGCAATTGCTTGAGGTGAATCTTACCAACATATGTTCTTCTGTTTCTTCCATCAGAAACACATGCTGAATCATTGCTTGACATTTGTCATGATACAAACTCTTCTCCAACGGATGTAATGACAGTCACCAAAACTCAAAACATAATCTTGCAAAGCATCAGTGACAGTGAGGTAAGATGCTTTTTTTTTTTTTTTTGGACAGGCAGAGTGGACAGTGAGAGAGAGAGAGACAGAGAGAAAGGCCTTCCTTTGCCGTTGGTTCACCATCCAATGGCCGCCGTGGCCAGCGCGCTGCGGTCGGCCCACCGAACTGATCCGAAGGCAGGAGCCAGGTGCTTCTCCTGGTCTCCCATGTCGGTGCAGGGCCCAAGGACTTGGGCCATCCTCCACTGTACTCCCTGGCCACAGCAGAGAGCTGGCCTGGAAGAGGGGCAACCGGGACAGAATCCGGCGCCCCGACCGGGACTAGAACCTGGTGTGCCGGCGCCGCAAGGCGGAGGATTAGCCCATTAAGCCGCGCACTGGCAAGATGCTTTCTTTAAAGAAGCTAACAAAGGCTGGAAAACCTGCTCCACTTACTGCACCATCAGTGTTACTTGGATATTTTGTAATAATCATAGGTAATAATCATACACTTTAATGCAATAATAAAAACTTAAATCACAGTTAGTTTCATGTCAGAGCAGTAACCCACTAATCTATTCTGAAACTTATACATAATGTAAGTGTGTGTGTGTGTTAGTCATTTGGGGCTACTATTAACAAATACCATAGATTGGGAAGTTTATAAACAAAGAAATGTGTTTGTACTTTTCTGGAGCCTGGATGTCTGTGATCAAGGTGCCAACATGGTTGGGTTCTAGTGAGGGCTCTTTCCAGGTTGCAGACTGCCCGCCTGTCATTGTATTCTCACGTGGCGGATGGAGAGCTGGCTAGACCTATGTGGTCTCTTTTACAAGCACTCTAATATCATCACAGGGGCTCCACCCTCAAGACCTAATCACCTTTGAAAGGCTTCACTTTCAACTACCATCACACTGAGGGTTAAGATGGATTTTAGGAGGATACAAACATTCAGCCCATAACTGTATGTGTCTAATTTCAGATTGTTGCAGCTGAACTCATACCAATTAAATGTAGCTAGTCTTTATGTACGTTAATACTGAAATAGAGATCGTTATTCTGATATAAATTCCCTCATTGGGGACCATAAAGGGGCATCTCGTGTGATCATCATTCTGTTTCGATGAATAACTCCACAACATGTCCCATACAATACAGTACCATACTATACCATACAATACTAGTAACCAACATTGTGACCCATAGAAAATAGAATAATGCCCAAGGTATATAATTGGTAACAGTGACTGCCCAGAAAGAGACCTGGAGATGTACTTCGCATGGTATACTCATTTCTGCCTTTTGACTGTTTTTAAGAATTAATTTAAGGGCTAGCTTTGTAGTATAGTAGGTTAAGCTGTGTGCTGCTTCGAGTCCTGGCTGCTCTGTTTCCAATCCAATTCTCTGCTAATGTGCTGGTGAAAGCAGTGGAGAACAGAGTAGTTGGGCCCCTGACACCCACTTGGGAGACCCAGGTGGAGTTCCTGGCTCCTGGCTTAGTCCTGGCCCAGCCCTGGATGTTGTAGCCATCTGGGGGAGTGACCAACAGATAGGAGTGTTTTCTCTCTCTCTTTCTCTGTCATTCTGCCTTTCAAATAAATAAAATAATTCTTAAAAGAATTTCACTTAGCCTGAATAGTTAAAAATGTTACTACTCTCTTTAAAGGACTTTCAAAAGATTCTTAGGAGAACTATGCATGAGCAGATGGAAGCTCTTTTTCCCTGTGTCCACCTGTCTCTCTCCAGCTTTGTCTCTGTGATGCCTAAATAAATTGATGAACAAAAACACATTTGCTTTTCATTTTCTAGAACATACTTATGCAATTGTCTTTTTGAAAGGACCAAAACTTCCTTCATATTAGTATTCTTTTCATTCACCTCCAGAACTTTCTTTGAACTTTTGCTATGCATTTCTTCTTACTGTTGTTGAAATAAAGGTTGAACTCATTTTTGAGGGCTGAATAGACTCTTCCACTGTTAGGTTTCTTCTCTAGTGCTTTCTCTAGGGTTTAAATGGCAAGCCCCAAGGTTATCTTTCCCTTCTTTTCTTTGAATGGGTGCTTGCTTTTCTTTTTAACTGTCTGAAATAGTTCTTTATAGTGCACAAACACAAGCAGTTGTCATGCTGGGAGGATTGCTCTCAAAAGGCTCTTTATAGACCCTCCCTGGTGGTTTTCCATCTCAAAGAATCTTCTTTCCAAACTTCATTACCTGCAATTTTAAGGTTGCTTTTCTCTCCTGTGGCTTTGGGGCTCCATTGTGTGCAGGTGAGAATGCCATGCTCTATTTCTTGACCACCTTTCACTTTCTGAGTTGTTGTCAGTGATTTATGAAATCCATCTATGTTAGGGGTTTGCTATTCTAATATTTCTCACCTTCACTCAGTATTAGGTTGTTATTATTTCAATTCAACTCCTGTGACACCAAACCATATGTTAGAAAATTCTCACTGTTCTCTCGTGCACAGGGAGGCAGCCTGTCAGGTTTCCCCCACTTGACAATAAACCTTTTCCCTTAAAAATAAAAAGAAAATTCTGAACTGCTTCTGTTTTAAAGTCTTTTAAAAATGTTTATTTTCATCTATTTGAAAGGCAGAAAGGAGGGGAGAGATAGAGAGAGAGAGAGAGAGAGAGAGAGAGAGCAATATAGACTGGTTCACTTCCCAAATGCTCACAACAGCCAAGGCTGGGTTTGGCCAAAGCTAAGAGCCAGGAACTCCATTGAGGTCTTCCACAAGGGTGACAGGGCCCAAATTCCCAAGTCAGCTGCTACCTTTCAGGATGCATTAGCAGGAAACTAGATCAGAAGCACAGTAACTGGGACTTAAACGGGCACTCCAACATGAGGTCTGGGCACCCCAAGCAGCAGCTTAACCTGCTGTACCACACGTCCACCCCTTTTTCAAAGTTTTCATTGTCTTTTTCAAAGATTTATTTACTTCCGTAAAAGGCAGAGTGACAGGGACAGAGAGAGAGAGAGAGAGAGAGAGAGTGTTATCTTCCATCTACTTATTCACCTGGCTGCAACAGCTAAGCGTGGAACTTGATCTGGATTTTCCACATGGATGGCAGGGACCATCTACCATGGTAGTTGGGCCATCTTCTGCTGCCTTCCCAGGTGTATTAGCAGGGAACTGGGTCAGAAGAGGAGCAGCCAGTCGTCAAACCAGCACTCTGATATGGGATGCCAGCTCCGCAAGCGGCAGCTTAACGAGTACAACACACCACCAGTCCCTAGAGTCTTCATTTTCAGGATCACCTTCAAACTAATCCTTTTGTTTGTGGCGTTTATGTGTCTTCAGTTTATTTCAGGGCAGAGATTTTTACCAGGCCCCTGCTGTTGGCACACATCTTTTTTTTTTTTTTTTTCTGTATAAAATGTACAAATTAGGTTTGGGTATCCTTTCTCTTTATTTTGCTGATTGCTATTGATTTCTTTCTTTCTCCTTTTGTTGACATTCTTTGTTTCAAACTGTTCATAGTGCCAAGACTGCACGGAGGTTACAAGCTTGAGCATCAGACCTCAGAGTCTAGCTCTGAATCCTGACTATCACTAGATAGCTGTGTGGCGTTACAAACAAAGATAATCATTCCTACCTTTAGAGCTGTCATGAGGATTAAGTTAGTCAGTATCTGTAAGATGTTTAGAACAGAGACTGGCATCAATAAATGTAAATGCTAATCACCACTATGGATTCTGTAGGTTGGTGTACCACACTCTGCTGTTTTCCTACTTTTCCTCAAGGACCAACTGACAAATGAATGGAACAGCTGAGAACCAGCTATTTATTCAACACTCCCAAATGAGGGCTGCTACTTCCCTAAAGTTTAGCATAAAAATTTTGTTGAATCACTTGATTATATGATATGGCAGAATATATATTATGAGATCACATAGAGTATTCTAGTTTAACAGTATTAACAAAACCATATATACCAAAAAAGAAAAATTCAAATGGTCCATAAGCATCTGACACTCTCCAACTTTTCCATTAATCAAAGTATGTGCGTTCAAGTAACAATAAGGTGGCCAGTCCCATATATATTCATAAAAACAGAGTGATGAGGCGGGACAAGATGTTCTCCCTGATCTGTGAGAACTAATAGAGTACCTAAAAGGAAATCTGTAGAAGCAAAATTGACACTTTGAAAAGCAATGACTTGAACAGCTCTTGTCTTGATAGTCTAGGAACATTTTTTTCTTTTCTCTTTTTCATACTATTTGTTGAACTCTTTATTTAACATAGAGTTAATCATATGTCTATAAAGCCAATTGAAAATAGATCTCAGTAAAAAATAAGAGTGGGAATAAGAGAGGGAGGAGGAAGTTTGTAATTGTAAAGCGTTATAGTTCTGCACACATTCCTATAGATTTACATCTAAGGGTACAGTTTAAAAGCTTGCCATGGCACCCCAAATTCTATTAAGCTGGGTGGTAAAAATGCCATCTTGAGTGTTAAAGTGATCATATAGATAGGATTAAGTGTTAAAAGGTTCATATAAATAAAAAAAAGGTTCATATAAATAAGATCAAGGGTCTGGTAATAATAGAATTAAAAAGGAGCGAATGTTCCACTGTGGGAAGCAGTCTACACAGTAGCCTCATAGAATGACAATCCCTCTAAACAGCACTCTGACCTCAGAATCAGCTCTTAAGGCATTCTGGTCAAGAGAATTTCAGGCATGGAAAGCCCAGATACTGTGGCAATAAAAAAGTCCTACATGAAGGATCTCTGTGAGTGAGACCCCAGTGAAAAGAAGTGGCCATCAAAGAAGGAGGTACTTTTCTCTAAAGGGAGAAAAGTAATTTGTAACAAATAAGTTACTATGATTGAATACCAAAATATTCTAATGGCACTATTAGTGGAAGCTTTTACTTTTATTGTTTCCTATGATAATTAAAGTCAACCTATGATTATTAACATCTGTCCCTGGATTTTCCACATGGATGGCAGGGACCAAGTAGTTGGGCCATCTTCTGCTGCCTTCCCAGGTGTATTAGCAGGGAACTGGGTCAGAAGAGGAGTAGCCAGTTGTCAAACCAGCACTCCATTAATTGTTGGGAATTAATGAACAAAAGATCAGAGATATTTTGTGAGTTGCCATTTGTCTGAACTGTCAGATAAAAGGTATCTAAATTTAGGACAAAGCCTTTTTATTCCACAGTTGCGGCCAGCGCCGCGGCTCAATAAGCTAATCCTCCACCTAGTGGCGCCGGCACACCAGGTTCTAGTCCCGGTCGGGGCGCTGGATTCTGTTCCGGTTGCCTCTCTTCCAGGCCAGCTCTCTGTTGTGGCCCAGGAGTGCAGTGGAGGATGGCTGAAGTCCTTGGGCCCTGCACCCGCATGGGAGACCAGGAGAAGCACCTGGCTCCTGGCTTCGGATCAGCGCGATGTGCCAGCCGCAGCACGCCGGCCGCGACAGCCATTGGAGGGTGAACCAACGGCAAAGGAAGACCTTTCTCTCTGTCTCTCTCTCTCACTGTCCACTCTGCCTGTCAAAAAATAAAAAAATTTTAAAAATTAAAAAAATACATTCCACAGTTGCCTCAAAGAAGTGGCTCCCCCAGATCCTGGAAGCCAGGGAGCCAATTGTCCCCTCCAGACTGTGATGGGATGCTTTAACTACCACTTGCAGCTGTCATGGTTCCAGAAATTTTAATGCACAAAATCACCAGCAACAACTTCTAATGAAAGGACCCTTGAACAACAAAGAATCCTACTAAGAAAACCTTGCTTCTTTAGAGAGTTTGGAGAACTTCTTAGAAATCAAGTTGGCTTTCAACCTGGTTTGTCAGCATAAGGAGTGTTTTCTAGAGGGTAAAAAAGCAGTTTGAGAAGTTTGCGCTATGATTAGATCAGGAAGCCGTGCTAGGAAAAGCTTTAATCGGCTTTGCAGCCTCCGTTCTGTCTGGAGTTCTATCTGCAGCTCCCACAAGGGCATGGCTTTCCATCCCCACCACTGGTAAACGATGCCCAGGGCAGGCAGTGAGGAAAAGATCCTATTCGCTGTGACTGTGGCCGAAGGATTCTTTCCAGTTTCCCACTCTGATGGAATTTGCGGCAGCTTAGCAGCCTGGATTCTGAAATGATAAAGTATAAAATAAGGAATTTCTGTGTGTTTATGTGATTTCAGCTTTGATCTTCCCTTATGATTATGCAATTAATCACATCCACGGCTGTCTGAGCAGGGCGCTCCAGGGGCAGATACTCACCCATTATTTTAGTCCTAAATACTTGATCCCATTTAAAAGGAATCCACGGTACAAAACTTCAGCCATGAAAAAATCAACACTCTGCCCACAAATTAGTGCGTTGAAGAACTGAGCTTTTATGATTTTGCAGGGCTCTGACCTAGATGAGAACCGCAGTCATTCCACGTTTGTTAGTGAAGAAGGAGACCCTGGTGGTGAGCTACAAGGCTGGCAGCCCAGAACAGAAGGTATCTGGCTTTTGTCCTTGATGTGTGCACACAGATAACATTGATTATTTGAGTTTCCCCCCTAATTTCGGCATGCTCAGAGCAGAACTTTGAAAACACAAATGGCTATCAATACCACTCATCATCCTAGCCACTGGTCTGGATCAGCCAATCTGGGCAACCCACATCCTTCATGCATCCTTTATCCTGCCCTACCAGCAGCCCTCTTTCGGCTGGTCCCTTGAAACCACCCCCAGTCCCTGTGCTTTGGTGGATATCATCCTTTCCCAGTTTCTTTCCCCGCAGAATCTCCATCAGCTCCAAGGCTGTGTGCCCTTCCAGAAGCACACAGTTCCTGAGCTGTTGAGGGGAAAGTAGGGGAGTGAACCAGGCCTGAAAGCTGCACGTCTCAGTTGTTTATTTTTCCAGGACTTGTCTGAAATTTTCCACAGCACCCATTGCAAATACATGGGCACTTCCAAAATGTTCATGGGGGAAAATGCAATTATAAATATGTTTGGGGGAAATGTTTTGCCTAGCAGTTTAAGATGCCTGTCAGGATGCTTCATCCCACACTGGAGCTGCCTGAGTAAGGACACTCACCTCCAGCTTCTAATTCTAGCTTCCTGCCAATAGTGTGCACCTGGGAGGCAGCAGGTGCTAGTTCCAGAGCTGGATCCCTGTCACCTACAAGGAGACCTGGACTGAGTGCCTAGCTCCCAGCTTCAGCCCAGCCCAGCCTAGACTTGGATGTTGCAGATATTTGGGGAGTGGGCCAGTGGATGGGAGCTCTATCTGTCTCGAGAGAGAGAGAGAGAGAGAGAGAGAGAGAGAAAGGAAGGCAGGCAGGCAGGCAGGCAGGAAGATAGCCAAAAAGTTAATTTGGGTGCAAAAAGTTTTTGCAATCCATGCATACAAGGAGTCTTCAGAAAGATCATAAAAAATGAGTATGACGAGAAAACAATGCATGGATTTCAAAAAAATTTTTGCACATAAAGGAACTAATATTTTCATTCCATTCTCCGTGCACTTTTTAAAAATCTCTTCGTAGGTCACCCTTGTGCTTAGCAGACCACCAGACAGTAGATTTTCGCTTCGGAAAATAGCAGCCGCCGCTCTTGCATTTGCCCACCGCCCATCCTTACTGTCCAACGTCCGCAGTTTCTCCCCGGCAATTCTCTGGCCTCCATGTCTCACCCTCCGGGGAAGCTGCCCTGGTAAATGCCGGTGCTTCTCAGGCCTCGCGCCTCCCGGGAAGCTGCCATTTCCTCCTCGCCCCCACTCAGAATGTCTTCGCAGACTGCGGGCAGAGAATGACCGAGGAAGAGTTCAAGGGCACTCCACGGAGGCTGGAAAAACTGATTAAAATCAGCCGCCGTGGCCCCTGCTGACCCGTCCTTGTGGTCTGTCTGCCTTTCCTAGACTTCAAGGCCATGTTCTCAGAAGCCTGAGGAAGTCCCAGGCGTCTTCCAGGGAGATGCAGACGCCTTGGCAGTGCGTTGCTGGTCGTTCTTTTCAAGTTGATTTGCAATAGTGTTGGTTTCCGTATGGGAACCCTAACCCCTCTGTGGCATCTCCACTAAGCTCTTGCGGGCCCAGGCTTTCGCGGCTTGTATTTCAAGTAGGAAAGAAACAATTATCTTTCTGATGAAAGTTCTTTCACACTTGATAGAGACTTCAGCTGAGCTGATCACTCTTTTCTGTCACATAGTATGTACGTTGCCGTCATCTTAAATATCCATTTAGATCTCATCTCTTTAGATCCTGTTTACATGTTATTTTAAATATATCCCAAGTTGTTAACTCACTAAGTCCCAAATTTTCAATTCGGAGAGTATTTCAATAACTTTGGCATTGATTTCCAAGTTTCAATAGAGGTCTATTCATTACTCAATTTAAGTGTTGATAGGTGTCCTATATATAGGACAATGGGACATACTAATGTGTGAAGTTTCACACTTTATGGAGGCCTTTTGCATATACCGTGTGACATTTTATTCTGTTGTCAATACACATATTCAGTCAATGCTTGTCATTTGTTCCATTAAAAAGGGAACATCACTAGTTAAAATATGTATGAAATCTGTAATGTTTAGATCTCTCCTATAGACCTTAACATTCTGTATAGAGATCTTAAGTATTCGTGCTGCCTGCATGTACTGTATCGTGGGCTTTTGCAGATCATAATGTGTAAAATACAATTTATGGATTCCCCCCCAAAAAAATCTCTATCTTTTCCTTAGTACAAAAATCTGCCATTTTGCAAAATTTATTCCAGAACATGAGCCCTAAACCTTGTAGCCTAGAAATAGAGCCTGTCAACCTGCTCTCCTCGTGAGCGAATGAACGGCTTTTTCCTAAAATGACTGTGCTTAACATTCTTAATTTAATCTGAATTTTGTTCTAAAGATTGATTTATTTGACAGCCAGAGTGACGGCGTGGGGCTAAGAAAGAAGGGGAGAGGGAGAAATTTTTTTGACACCATGCATGTCCATCAGGATTCTGAGTTGCAAATAAAAAAATTTACTCTGTTAGCGTTAAAAAAGGAGGTTTTTTTTTTAAAGATATTAGAAAGTTCATGAATTATTGAAAAGGCCAGAAATGGAAACTGTCTTTTCATCCACCGGGCAGCCATGACAAAATAGCGTAGAGTGGGCCGCGCAGGCTGCAAAGGTTTGTTTTCCGGGCATTCTGGAGGCTGGCAGTCCAGGATCCAGGTCCTGCCAGGGAGCAGCTCTGGTGAGCGGCTCTCTTCCTGGCGTGATTTGGCTGCGCTGCCCTCACATGGCCGTTCCTCCTTGTGTGAGCAGAGAGAGGGAGCGGGCAACGTCTGCTGTCTCTTCTCACAGGGTCACACTAGTCCTAGGGATCAGGGCCCCTCTCTTAACGCTCTCAAGTAACCTTAAATTCTTCCTGAAAGACCTGTCTCCAAGTACAGCTGCATTGCATGAGGCCTGAGTGTCTATATGTGAATGGGGGTGGGGCACATAAACATTCAGTTCTTACCAGGATTCCAGGTTAGATCTTCAGGAGCAAATCCCATAATTATACCTCAAACTGGCAGCCACTTAGAGCTGGGAATTCAACTCAGACCCATGGGCGGCCGAAACCCAATTACTTTAGGGCCCCCACCGCTGCCTCCCAAGGTTTACATCAGCAGGGAGCTGGAGTCAGGAGTCAGAGGCCAGAATGAAGCCAGGTACTCTGATGTGGGGTCAGGTGTCCTACTGTAGTTCTAGCCATGTGGGTTCTTATCCTGTGACCGTGAAGAATGAGGGGCACCAGCGAAGACGGGTGAGTAAAACAGCAAAGGAAAGCTCCCATAGCAGGAGGGGGTTCCTGAGCAGGAACACCTCTGAGCGGAAGCTGTCTAGGGGCTTTTATTCTTTGGGCTAGGAGGAAGTTAATACCAGGTCTTATGAACACGTTGTTTCGTCCCTCATAACCTTCTCATTGCTGGAGCTGGAAGGGTCCAGCTGTAACCGCATCTCTATCTTGTTTTTGAGCAGTGAGGCATTTTGTTCAAAGCATGTCCCTTTGTATGTCGGCTTGAGTTTCCATCTCTTGGGCCTTTTGGATCCCTGACATCTACCTGAGGCTCCTGTCTCCTATCTCTACCACTATTTGATGTCTGAACCACCAGACCAAATGCCCATTCTCATATAGTTTGTTTTTTTTAAAAGTCTATATTGAGATTCACAATTTAGGGAATTATCAAAACATGGGAAGGATGTCAAGCTATTTTGAACCTTGATGCCCACAAGCCAATCATAAAAGCACATCACTTTGGGGCGGGCGCTGTGGCGCATGGGTTAATATTCCATCTGCAGTGCCAGCATCCCATATGAGCACCAGTTCTAGACCCGGCTGCTCCTCTTCTGATCCAGCTTGCTGCTGTGGCCTGGGAAAGCAGTAGAAATGGCCCAATCCTTGGGCCCCTGCACCCACGTGGGAGACCTGGAGGAAGTTCCTGGCTCCTGGCTTTGGATCAGCACAGCTCTGGCCGTTGTGACCATTTGGAGAGTGAACCAATGGAAGGAAGACCTTTCTCTCTGTATCTCCCTCTCACTGTCTGTAACTCTACCTCTCAAATAAATAAGTAAAAAAAAAAATCTTAAAAAATAAAAAAAAACCAAGGAGAATACACAGGAAAGTAAGATATTTCTGGAGGAAATAATTTTTCTTCATTGAATGAGTTCAACTGGACCAGATTTTAAGTTTCCACTTGCATAATGGCTTCAACACTAACAACAAATTAATGATCCCTCACCGACCTTTTTAGAATGTCATTTTCACCTCTTTGGTGAAGAAAATATGTTTTGTCTGGAGTGAAATATTGCTTTTTTAATTTCGCTCTAAGGTAGCATTTTTGATGGGGTTAATTTACACCTCGTTATGTGAAAAAATGCACTCAAGATAAAGCAGGTGAGTGTTTTATTTTTACTTGTGATAATTCATGTTCTTTCTTGGCCCATTGGGTAAGTTCAGAGGTGTAATTCACAACACCTTAGCCACGCAAACTATTCAAGAGACAGAATCAAGAAAAAAGTCTATGTTTCTAGTTGATTTCAGAGTCAGTATATTCTATACATTTTTTTGTTTTCTATTTGAGACTAACACTGGGATGGCAGCTATTTTTTTTTTTTTTTAGACAGGCAGAGTTAGACAGTGAGAGAGAGAGTGCGCACAAAAGGTCTTCCTTCCATTGGTTCACCCCCAAAATGACCCCCACGGTCGGTGCACTGCGCCGATCCAAAGCCAGGAGCCAGGCGCTTCCTCCTGGTCTCCCATGTGAGTGCAGGGCCCAATCACTTGGGCCATCCTCCACTGCCTTCCTGGGCCACAGCAGAGAGCTGGCCTGGAAGAGGAGCAACCGGGACAGAATCTGGTGCCCAACCAGGACTAGAACCTGGGGTGACTGTGCCGCAGGCGGAGGATTAGCCTAGTGAGTTGTGGCGCCAGCTGGATGGCAGCTATTCTAACAATTTCTTAAAAGACATATTTCTTCTACTCGCCTATTCTATCTTTGTTTCTTGCTTTGGAAAAAGAAATCAATTAACAGACTTTTGATGGATTACATGTGCTTGAAAACATTCTTGGTTTATTCATTCTCCATAATTATAGAAATATAGTAATTCTTAGATATGTGCTTATGTGAGTGCATTCTACTCAGTTTTCTAACTTCCATAGCAAAGGACAAAAATACCCCCCCAAAAATTCATGGGAAATGGAATTAAAAAGATGTTTATTTTGGTGCAAAAGGATTTTTGAAATGCATGTATGTGAGGGTTCTTCAACAACTTCATGGAGAATGCATTTAGAAAAAACTCTGTGTTGCTTTTTGAACTTTTAAAAATATTTATTTATTTAAAAAGCATAACAACAGAGAAAGAGAGAGAAAAGAAGGAAATTTTCTATCCACTGAGGTCTTACATCCACTGGTTCACTCCCCAAATGGCCAGGCCAAAGCCAGCAGCTAGGAACTCCATCTGGGTCTCCCATGTGGATGGCAGAGGCCAAAGCACTTGAGCCATCATCTACTGCCTTCCCAGTTGCATTAGCAAGGAGCTGAATCAGAAATGGAGCAGCTGGGACTGACACTGGTGCTCCATGTAGTGGTTTTAACCTCTGCTCTGCAATGCTGGTCCTGATTTTGCAAAAAAAAAACAATTTACCTTTTTAAGATTAATTTATTTTAAAGGCAGTTACAGAAAGAGAGAGAGACAGAGAGAGAAGGATCTCCCATCTGCTGCTTCACTCTCCAAATGGCCACAACAGCTGGTACTGGGCCAAGCTGAAGCCAAGAGCCAAGAATTCCATTCAGGTCTCCCACATGGGTGGCAAAGGCTCAAGTACTTGGGCCATCACCTGCTGATTTCCCAAGCACATTAGCAGGGAGCTGGATTGGCAACGAAGCAGATGGGACTTGAACCGGTGCTCATATGGGATGTCGGTACCGTAGGAAGTAGCTTAATCTGTGCTATGATGCCCGCCCCTAAATTTATTTTTTAGTTTCATTTTTCCACGGGTGTTTGGAAGTGCCTCAGCCTGAGTGCATCTAGCCTTTGTACCAGTACATGCATTTCACTGACAGTCTAGATACTGGGACTGTAGGCTGTGTTTTTCTCATGCTAACAGGGCAATTGAGTTTCTACAGTCAAGGCTGACTACAAAAACGTCCTGAAGGACATCTATTCTCTTTGCCAGTTGGGTAATGACCTTGAACATATCACCCAAACTCACGGTTATCAGTTTCTTTGTCTCTGAAATGAACAGCTTGGAGTAGATGCTCTCAGTTCCTTCCGACACTATAATTCCCAGCCTCTCATTTCAGTCTACCATGGTGACAGGAGCTTTGAAAAGTTAAACGACACGGACCAGTCCAAGGAAACATCATTTTTAACAGAAGTTCCTTGCTATTGTGTAATATTAGAAAGCATGCAATCAAGTTGTCCTGACAAATATGAAGGAACCTGAGCTGAATATATTTCCATTGTACCACAAATTGTACTGTTGGATGACAGTCAGTAAATTCTGTAATCATTTGCTGGATTTTAAACAAATTTTTTTTTAACGCACTGACCTCAAGTGGTACAGGTACAAAAGTTGAACAATTAAAAAGATTTCACTATGCTGATTTCCATGTATTTGGCAGAGTAGCCAAAGTCCTTTCAAAAGAATAAAAATGGGTTAATTGAGCTAATGATAATGACAATAGTAACTCTCCCAAGGTCAGCCAGGAAGTGGCAGAGGAGGTTGTAGACCAGATCTTTCTTTCTTTCTTTTTTTTTTCTTTTCTTTAAAGAGTTATTTATTTATTTGAAAGTCAGAGTTACAGAGAGGCCAAGAGAGAGAGACAGAGAGAGAGAGAGAGAAGTTCTTCCACTCACTGGTTCACTCCCCAGATGGCTGCACAGCCGGAGCTGTGCCTATCCGAAGCTAGGAATCAGAAGCTTCTTCCTGCTCTCCCACGCGAGTGCAGGGGCCCAAGGACTTGGGCCATCTTCTACTGCCTTCCCAAGCCATAGCAGAGAGCTGGATCAGAAGTAGAGCAGCCGGTTCTTGAACTGGCGTCCATATAGGATGCCAGCACTGCAGGCAGTGGCTTTACCCATTACGCTACATCATTGGGTGCTGGCCTGGACCAGATCTTTCTGATTTCTGTCCTACCCTTATCCTCCTCCCAGACAAAGCTACCTCAGAAAGTTCATGGAAAATGAAATTAAAGGATACATTTATTTTGGTGCAAAAATGTTTTTAAATCCATGCATCTTTTTTTCCTAATACAAGTTGTTTGTGTGTGTGTGTGTGTGTGTGCGTGTGGTCTCTCCTAGGACCACAGTTGCATGTTATTTATATGTTCAGCACAAAGCATATATGTAATAAAAGTTTGTTGAACAGAAAAAAAATAAATGAGTGAATAAACCTTAAAGTACAGGCAACTTTAGAGTGACTCATGGCTGATTTTTGCATAAATTTGCTTTACACATTAAATTATAAGCAACATCAATTCCACAGGTTGGAACTTGCTGTCTTACTGGTTCTAGAGGAAATTATTTATTGTACTTAGACAAGAGATGAGCAAACTTGTAAATATAAGCAGGTTCTTTTAGGGCTACAATAATTACCCCATTTACTTGTCTCACCGGCTCTGAGAGGCAGGTGTTGTGAGTCACTTTACACACTTTCTCCCCACCCACAGCATAGCACTCTGCATTATAGAATTTTATTTTATATTTTTGATCTTTAAACAAGCATTTATTTGGGACCTATCGCAATTCTGGGCAGGAAAGACACAAAGATGGTTAAACTAAGTCCCCAGTTAATGTCTATTCTGTAATCATTAAGAAGAAATTAGCTGAATAGAAACAAATTTCTTCTGCTAATTGCTGGAATTCATCACTATCTTCCTTCTTCTACTACTGTCATGCATTTCAACAGGTGTTGAGATTTTTGTGACTTTTCCAAGAGAGGTCATTCATCCCCAAGAAAGGAGCCAAGATTTCGAAGAAAACAAGTGAGTGGTATTCTTTCAACTATTAGGTAGGGCTTTAAGCCTGCAGGGATGATACTTGTATGGTAACCTACAATTTTAGTAATTCACTCCAAACATTCTAAAATAAGGGTCACAATAGATATTGTGTATCAGGGGCAAGATACTAAATATTTCATCATTACACTGCGGATCATGTGGCCTCTGTCACAATGATGCAGCTCTACAGGTATAGCTCGAAAACGGCCATAGACAATAGGTAAACAGTATTGGATCACAGTTGGTAGTGATCTAACTAAAACTACAAAAACAGCCTGGAGGCCGGATTTGGCCAATGAGCTTAGTTTTCAGAGCTTACTCTAGAGCAATGATACCCAAAGTGTGGGTCCTTGGTCCTGTTGTCTCCATGGCAAGGTTAGTACAGAACATGAAGGGAACCATTTAGAAGGTTGTATGGGGGGGAACAGGCATTTGGCACAACAGTAAAGACATCACTTGAGATGCCTACATCCTGTACGTGTGGGTTCAAGGCCCAGCTCCACTCCCAAGTCCAGCTTCCTGCTAGTGTGCACCCTGGAAGGCTCAAATAGTTAGGTCCCTGCCTCTCCTGTGGAAGACACAGATTGAGTTCTTGGCTCCTAACGTTGGCCTGACCCAGGCCCAGCTATTTAGGGAGTGAACCAGCAAATGGGAGCTCTTTCTGTCTCTGTTTCACAAATAAAATAAATAAATTTAAAATGTGTATAGCAATTTGACAGTGTAGTTTTATGTTCATTGGCCAGACAATGAAAAATTGGGGCTTATATTCCACATGTATGTTTTCTCTAATTTTTGTAGTGATCTGCTTTTACCATAATACACAAAAATATAGGTCCACACGGATTGGAAAATTTTAAAACTGGTCCTTCATCAAAGGTAGTTTGAGTGGCACTGGGTTAACCAAGGACTTTGGAGAGAAAATGGGGTAGCCTTTGATCTCTCTGCTCTAGGAAATGGGGACCAGGAAGTGGGCCGAAATTGAATCCAGGCCAGAGATGCTACTGGGCACTGAGAGCAGAGGAGACAGGGATACGTCGGAGAGTGCAGGGGGTGTGTTCTCCGAGGACACAGCCGTTCCGCTTGGCAATGCCATGTGGAAATAGTTCTCTGACTTTCTAATGATGGCGGGCTGCACTGGGCCCCAGAGAGCCAACCAGTGTCAGCCAAACCGCATCTGCCCTTCTAGTCAGGCCGCCTCAGCGTGCCCACAGCAAACACGCGCGCGTTCTTTTCTCTTCCAAGGGAAGTGGACAGCACAGACCCGAGGACAGGCACGCTGGCCATGCCGCCTCTGCTTCTGAAGGAAGAGCAAGGCTCCCATGAGCTCAGCCGTGCAAACTTGGGCTTCCTATTGCCAAGACCTTGCTCAGAACCAAACATCTCCACGTCCGTCATCCCAGAAGAGGCCCCTCATCTTCTGAAAGGGCAGCAGAGAAAATCTGAAGGTGAGCTGGGCGGTTAATTCCACGGCAGTTTCTTTATTCTTTGGGTCAGCAAGTGTTCATTTACTGTGCCAGGCCCTGGTGGGAATGCTGGAGACTCAGCCCTGGACAAGACAACAGTGCCCCTAGGCCTGGTGGGATGTACATTCCTGGGGGTGGGGGCCACAGGCACTACACCAGTAACCCAGTAACACACAGTGATGAATGCCATGGAGAAGAATAAAGGGGGGTGGGGGGTGGGTTCGAGGCGGTGTCTTAGTCCACTTGGCCTACTGTAACAAAAGACCGCAGTCAGAGGCACTTCAAAACAACAGAAGTTTGTTTCTCACAGTTCCAGAGGCTGTGAAGTTCAACATCCAAGCAGAGGCACATTTTGCTTCAGAGAAGGCCCATTTCCAGGTGCATAGGTGCTTGCTTCTCACTGGGTCCTCCCACAGTGGAGCATGGAGTCCCTTGGGCCTATTTCATAAGGGCACTCAACCCACTCAGGAAGGCTCCTCTCTGCTGACCTCATCATCTTCTCAAGGCTCACTTCTCAATACCAACACCTTGGGAATTCTAATTTTAAGAGAAGAATTTGGGGGCAACACAGACATCCAGACCTGAGCAGGTTGTTTGAGTTTGAGATTTTACGCAGGTTGAGGGAGGGCAGGTGTTTGGCCTAGTAGTTTAGATGCTGGCTGGGATGTCTGTGTCCCATGGCACAGGGCCTGGATTTGAGTCCTAGCTCCAGCTCCCAACTCCAGCTTCCTGCCACTGCAGACCCTACGAGGAAGCAGGTGATGGCTCAGGTAGTTGGGTCCCTGCCCGCCTACCACCCCGTGGGACACCTGGATTGAATTCCTGGCTCTGGACTTCAGCTTGGCCCAGCTCCGGCTGTGTAGGCATTTGGGGAGTGAACCAACAGATGGGATATCTCTTTCTGTGTCTATCTCTCTGCCTTTCAAATAAATAAAATGAAGACGGTAACCTGAGTAAACACCTGAAGAAGAAGAGGAAAAAGCCCTGTGTGTATTTCAGGGAAGAATATTCCATGGAACAAGAAAGGCCATCTGAACTGTAACGGGTTAGGTACAGATTAGACAGCAACATGCTGTATGTCAGAAGAATCAGACTTCAGAATATAATCTAAAACACAAGTTTGAACAACTTTTGAAAGGGTGCATTTTAAATAGGTACAGAATTACAAATTGTATCTTATGATTCCATCTCTCCTGAATTACCTGCATCCTGGATTTAGAATCTAGTTTAGATTATATGTTAGTATTTCTTTTTCTCTGCTGTGTATTACAACTATACAGTATTCCATAGTATGACTGTACCACAGTTTGCATACTCAGTCTTCTGTTGATGGCTGCTTCCACTTTTTAATTGTTATAAAATTACTGTGATCATTCTTTTTAAAGAGTTGTTTTACTTACTTGAAAGGCAGAGTGATGGGGGGGGGAGGGTGGGAGGGAGACAGAGAGAGAGAGAGAGAAAGGCATCTTTCATCTGCTGGTTCACTCCCCAGATGTCTGCATTGGCTAGTGCTGGGCCAGGCTGAAGCCAGGAACCTGGAATTCCATCTGGGTCTCCCACATGAGTATGAGGAACTCAAGTGCTTGGGCCATCTGCTGCTGTTTTCGCAGGTGCATTAGTGGGGAGCTGGATAGGAAGCGGAGCAGCAGACACTTGAACTGGCGCTCTGATATGGGATGCCATCCTCACAACCAGTGGTTTAACACACTGCACCACAATGCTGCTTTACTATGGTCATCCTTGTACAGATCTTTTTGTAAAGATCTTTCTCTTGGGTAAATTCCTGAAAGTAAAAATCTTAGGGTGAGTGAATGTGCAATGTTTAAGAAGCAGCCAGAGCTTTTCCCAAGTAATTGTGCTACCTATAAAGTTTCAGTTGCTCACATTCTCAGGAACATTTGATGTTGCCAGTCTTCTTGAACTTTAGCCATTGTGGTAGACATGTAAGGGTGTATCATTGTGATAGATCCATTTTTTTTTTAAATTTAGTTTTGATCTCAACAATTATATTTCATTTCTAAAAGTTCCACTTGTCTCTTTTCCAAATATTCTTTGTTCAATATTGAGAATGTCTTGTTGTTTTGATGATTCCATCTTTTATTTCTGCACATATTTGAGACACTGTTATTTTTATATGCTGTATTTGATAATTCTGAAATTGGAAATCCCTGGGATCTGAATTTGTTGTTTCTGGTTTCTACTGACTTGTGCTATTGTCAACCCTTTTTCTTGAGGGTTTGGAAATCTTTATTGTGAGCTCATGTTTGGCTGACGTTTATCTGTGGGAATCTTGGTGGCCTGTGAACAGGATGCTTTCCACCAGAAGGACTTGAATATGCTACTGTGAGATGCCAGGATCATTGCTGACCAGAGTCTACCTTAGCCTCATTGCTAGATCCCTGCCATACAACTTCCAGCTACAAGGGGCCCCAGACTTATTAGCCAGATAGTAGCACTGATGCCTGTGTTTCTCCTTGGGATGATGTTGCCTTTGGTATTTACTTACCACTCTTTTAAACTAATCAGCCTAAACCAACAGAAACAAATCTATAACCCAACAAGTTGCATTCATTGGCTTATTGCAGTAAGAGACTGCACACCAGAGGAACCATGATCCATCTCAGCAAATACAAGAAAAAATGGAATAATTACTATGGGATTTGGGGAAGTAGGGTACAATTTAAGTGGCATTTAAAAATTATTTATTTATTTATCTATTTATATTTGAAAAGGAGAAAGAATGATAGGTAGAGATCTGTCATCTGCTGATTTAATGTCCAAATGCCCACAACAGCAAAGACAAGGCCAGGCTGAAGCCAGGAGTCCAGAACTCAATTCGGGTCTCCCAAATGGGTGGTAGGGACCCAACCACTTGAGCCATCACCTTCTGCCTCCCAGCATCTGCATCAGCAGAAACCTGGATTTTGAAGTGAGCCAGGACCCAAGCCCAGGTTCTCCAATATGGGATGCCAGGGGGCATCTTAACTACAGAACAAATGTCCACCCCAGACCCAAGGCCTTATTCCTCAAAATCTACAAAGTTGGCTCTGTGAAGAGTAAAGACATTTGGTTCATTTTCAAAGTAGGGTGTTCAGCTATGAGTAAAAAATTACTAACAACTAGCTAGCAGAACAGCTTGTACTTGTGTGAAAAGTTGCAACCTAACGTAACCTACAACAGCTAGGTTGCAAACTGCAAAAGTGCATGCACCTGGAAAGTCCCAAAGCCGAAGGGCACTGAGCAAATAGAACACTGGGGTGGTTAACTCAGCAAAACTAAAGCAGATGGAGATAATAAAACCTAGCTGACCTCCAGGAAGACTGGAACCCCATAGTGTAAGCCAATGGGGAACCGGGGGAGGGATCCACATGATAGAGAATAAATTGTTTAATGTAACTGCTCTGGGTGTGCCCGCCCACAGACACCTGATCTTGCAAGACCGTGAAAAAAGTCTCGCTTTCGCAGCACTTGCCGAGTCCAAGCCCACGTCCACCCTTTGAGTGAGGTGAGGATAGTGCCCGGAGTCCCAACTCTCAGCAGTGTCTCTTCAGCCTATCTTGCCCCTCTTCCTCAGCAGTATGGTAATCATTAGCTCTACCGAATGTTTTCCATTCCTTAAACAAATACTGTTCTTTCCGCTGGAACATTATGCCATCCTTCAAGTCTTACTGAGATACCAATCCTCTGGGAAGTCTTCCTGAACCACCCCCCCCCCCACACCCACACCGGCTGAATTGCTATTTCTCTGGATCCCCACAGAGTCCTGACACTTGCCATGCTGAGTTCTCACTGTTTGTGTGCCTGTGGTCTACACACAATGGTAAATAAAATGAAATCTGGTCTTTCTTTTTTAAAGATTTATTTATTTACTTGAAAGTCAGAGTTACACAGAGAGAAGGGGAGAGAAAGAGAGAGAGAGAGAGAGAGAGGTCTTTCATCTGCTGGCTCACTCCCCAGTTGGCTGCAACAGCTGGAGCTGCGCCAATATGAAGCTAGGAGCCAGGAGCTTCTTCTAGGTCTCCCACGCAAGTGCAGGGGCCCAAGGACTTGGGCCATCTTCTACTGCTTTCCCAGACCATAGCAGAGAGCTGGATTGGAAGTGGAGCAGCTGGGTCTCAAACCGGCACCCATATGGGATGCTGGCACTGCAGGTGGCAGCTTTACCCACTGCACCACAGCACCGGCCCAGAAATCTGGTCATTTTCAACAAAATGGATGAATCTGGAAAACATCGTACTTGGTGAAATAAGCTAGTCCCAAAGGGACAAATACCATATGTTCTCCCTGACCTCTGATAACTAGCAGAGCACCTAAAAGGTAATCTGTGAAAGTGAAATTGACACTTTGAAAAGCAATGACTTGAACAGCCCTTGTCTTGCCTGTTGAGGAACAGTTTTTTTAATACTATTTATTGAACCCTTTAATTAACATAGATTTAAGCACATATGTATAAATCAATTAAAAATAGATGTCAGTAAAAAATAAGAGTGATAATAAGAGAGGGAGGAGAAAGAGGGTTTGGGAGTGTGTGTGGGAGGGTGGGCACTGTGAAAAGAATCACCATGTTATTAATGTTATAATTTTGAAGTGTATGAAGTTTGCAACTATAAAGCTGTATAGTTCTGCATACATTCCTACAGGCTTACTTCTAAGGGTATACTTTAAAAACTTGCCATGGGGCCCCAAATCCCCTTAAGCTGGGTGGTAAAAATTCCATCCTAAGTGTTAAAGTGATCATGGATAGGATTAAGGGTCTGGTAATAATAATAGAGTTAAAAAGGAGTAAATGCTCCAACATGGGAAGCAGTCCACATAGCAGACTCATGGACTGACAGTCGCCTTAAATAGTACTTTGACCTCAGAATCAGCCCTTAAGGCATTCTGGTCTGGCTGTAAAGCCCATGAAGGCATTTCAGGCATAGAAAGCCAAGACACAGGCAAAAAATTCCTACGTGAAGGATTTCGGTGGATGAGACCCCAGTGAAAGAAGTGGTCATCATAGGTGGATTACTTTCCTCTGAAGGGAGGAGAGAACTTTCACTTTGCTTATGGCCTTGTCTAAATACTGATGGAATTTGTGGCTTCAAAAGGCTTCCAGTTCATGTCAGGAGCCTCAGTGATCACTGACGTCAACAATAGTCACTGTGAACTGACTTCCCATGCAGGACCTCTGTCCTCAAAGAGTTGTATTATAATTATGTCGAAGTGCTCCCAAAAGATGTATCATTCTTGGGTGCTTCATTAAAGTTAAGTTTCTTTAAAAAAAAAAAAAAAAAAAGAAGAAATGAAGTTAACTTCAAGATGCAATGACTTTGAACAACCCTGTCTCCACTGTTGAGGAACAGTTTTTGTTTTGCTTTATTCTGTTATTTTTTTTTACCGTGCAAATTGTTGAACTCTTTACTTAGTATAGAGTTGGCCTTCTGTATAAAGTTAACTGAAAATGGATCTTAGTGGAGAATGGGACTGGGAATGGGAGAGGGAGGAAGAGGAGGGGTGGGAGAGTCAGTGGGAGGGCGGGTATGATGGGAAGAATCACTATATTCCTCAGGTTGTCCATATGAAATGCATCAAGTCTGTAGTCCTTAAATGAAATGTTTCTTTTGGGGGAAAAAAGAAAGGTAAAGAGAGAGGGAGGGAGGGAGAGAGAGAGAGAGAGAGAGAGAGAGACCTTCCTTCTATTGATTTACTCCCCAAATACCTACAACATTCAATGCTTGCCCAGGGTGAACCTGGGAACTAGGAATCTAGGTCTCCTATGTGGTTAGAAGAGACCCAGCTACTTCAGTCATCACTTGCTGCTTCCTAGGGCACACATTAGCAGGAACCTGGAATGGGTGACTGGAGCTGGGTCTTAAACTACAGTGATATTGGATGCAGGTGTCAAACACCCATCCCACTCTACACATTTTAAAAGCTTTCAGCACATACTGCCAACTGTCCTACAGAGAGATACTACCTCTACATTCCTGCTAGAAATCTTTTAGACTAGGTTTCATTCTACATCTTTTAGACTAGGTTTCATTCTACATCCTTCCTGACCAACACTGGATGGTAATAATACATGAAAGGGTTTTTAAATTTAATTAATTTATTTATTTGAAAAGCAGAGTTACACAGAGATGGACACACACACACACACACACAGGTCTTCCCTATACTGGTTCATTCCCCAAATGGCCACAACGGCTGGGGCTGAGCTGGGCTAAAGTCAGGAGACAGGAACTCCATCCAGGTCTCCCACGTGGGTGGCAGGGGCTCAAGCACTTGGGCCAACATTCACTGCCTTCCCAGGTGCCTTAGAAGGGAGCTAGATTAGAAGTAGAGTAGTTAAAACTCGAACTGGCACTTATATGGGATGCTGGTGTCACAGGAGGTGGTTTAACCCACTGTGCCACAACACCGGTCCCTGAAAGGTTTTTTGTTTGTTTTTGTGGGTTTTTTGCTAACTGAGGAGGAGGTTATTCATATGGTCCCACTATAAATAACATGCAGTTATATTTCTGGATTAACTTCTAATATCTTTTCCATGAAAAAAATCTTAACCTCTAAAATGCTCTGTATGAGAGCAAAGATTTTTGTCTGTTGTTCACAGCTATATAGTGCCATCTTCTGGGACAGTGCTGGCCAGTAGACACTCATCATGTATTGAACCAATGCATAAGAAATTGAGGGGAGAGGGTGAAGTGCCTAGGTCAGCTGTGCTGTGTGGGGATGCCTCTGCCCCCTCCTGTTGGAGTCCTCCTCTTAGGTAACTGTTTTTCCCCCGAGGTTGGCTGCTCTACCTCTGTCACACCCTCGTGAATTCTGTTTCTCTGTAAGCAAAAATTCAAAATGACAGCCTGTCCCTACTACAGAAGTATTTTGTTTGGTTTTCACAGCATTAAAAAAAAAACACACACACAAAGAAATAAGAGGGATATTTCACGTAAAATCTGCATTGTTTTGGCTTCTCTTGACAGTTGGAAGATCTAGCAATGCTAGGTTGTCCATCTGGATTAGACTTCATCGGTCAGAGCTGGGTAATGCTGCCCTTCATTTGGGGCTCATGATCTCAATTCACTACTGTCCCTGTTTGTCCCACTTCATCCATTTATGTGACCTGTTTTGACCTTGGAGACACTGGCCAATGTAGATATGGTGGATGGGGTTTAGGGGACCAGTACACCTTTTTGTTAAGAAGAGAAAACTTTTAGGTTTTATTCCACTGAGTAAATCCACCCCCACACCCCTTATGTCCTCTTTCATTTTTTAAAAAGATTTATTAATTTTATTTGAAAGGCAGAGTTACAGAGAGGCAGAGGGAGAGAGAGAGACAGAGAGAAGTCTTGCATCGCTGGTTCACTCCTGAAATGGCAGCAACAGCCAGAGCTGAGCTGATCTGAAACCAGGGGCCAGGAGCCAGGAGCTTCTTCCAGGTCTCCCAGGCGGGTTCAGGGGTTCAAGGACTTGGGCCACCTTCTATTGCTTTCCCAGGTCATAGCAGAGAGCGGAATTGGAAGTGGAGCAGCTGGGATTCGAACCTGTGCCCATATGGGACACCAGCACTTCAGGAGGTGGCTTTACCCACTATGCCACAGCGTCAGCTCCTCTTTCATTTAAAAAAAAAAATGTGTATATTTGAAAGGCAGATTTAGAGAGAGAGAGATAAAGGAAAGATAGGCACAGAGAAATCTTCCATCTGCTGATTTACTTCTCAAATGGCCACAATGGATGGGGCTGTGAAGGCAGGAACTGAGTTTGGGTCTTCCATGTAGGTGGCAGGGGCCCAAGCACCTGGGCCATCTTCCACTGCTTTCCCAGGGGCATTAGCAGTGAGCTGGATCAGAAGTGGAGCAGCCAGGACTCGAGACAGAGCTCATATGGGATGCAGGCATCACAGACAGAACACCAGCCTTTCAGTCTATGACCTATCTAGTTACTTAGCTGTTGGGAGGCAGTTAAACACAAATATTTGCACATTTCTGCACAGTCCAGGCTTCCCAAATGAAAGCCCTAGGAAACCAGCCTAAAAGATGCTTGGCTGGCTGATAAGTGTTGGTGCTTAAAGACCAGCTCCCCAAGAGCTGTTGACTTCCACTCCAAGGTAAGAAAACTTGAAGACATTTTTCTGCTTTGTCTTCAAGACACCTGTTTACATTTTAGTCAAGGTCTCACTTTCTCTGGAGTGAAAAGTGGGACCCCCCACCCCCACCCCCTGTACCACCTGGGTTTCATCATTTCAGGGCTCTTTCCTGTGTGCTGCAACCGACCACACATGCAGGGACACACCTGGCTGTCATCATGTCGCATGTGGGGAACTGTTGCTGTGGATTCATTCTGAGTTGCCAGCGGCCATCTTGGCATGACCTTCTCATTCCAACACAGGGAACTGGCCCTCTGAGTGGTCGGTGTTCTGTCCTCTGACCCAGAGACCGAGTGCTTCCCGTTGGAAAGTACATTTTAGTACAATAGGCCCCATTAGCTGTAAGGAATATGTTCCAAGACCTCCACTGGAGGTCTGAGGCTGTAGCTAGCATCACACTTGATATCTAATATGTTTTTCCCATCCATACACACCTATGACAAAGTTTAATTTACGAATCAGGCACAGGAAGAGAGTAACTAACAACAATAATAATCAAATAGAGTAATTATACCAGCCTACTGTAATAAAAGTTATCTGAATGTGACTTCTCTCCAAAGACTTTTTTGTACTGTGCTCACCTGGTTTGTTGTGATGATATGAGATGATACAGTGCTGAGTGATGAGTTGAAGTCAGGAGGATGATGGTCGTGACGTGGTGTTGGGTCTTACCTGAGGGTTACTTGGAGACAAGCACTGTTGCGACACCCTGACTGGGGGTCTGATAACTGAAGGGCCTCCAAGTGCCCCGTGGGTGGGTGGTGTACACAGGGACGATTCCTGCCCCAGGCAGGACCCAGCAAGATGAAACAAGAATTTATCACGCTGCTACTCAGGTTATGTAATTGAAAATGTATACATTGTTTATTTCTGGGACTTTCCATTTAAAATCTTCAGATCATGAAATTGCAGTGAAGGGGACAACTGTATAAGACAACAAGCCCTCCTAGTGGCAGTAGCCTGAAGTTTTATGTAATCATCCCATACTTGCTTCCATGTGGATTCCGCTGGGAAAAAAACTCTTAATTTCTACAACTGTTCCTTAAACCATGGCAATTAGATGACTCCATCCAAAACCCTGGTTTTCAGAGCATGTTCAATCTACAACTAAAAATATCAATTATCATGTTTTTCTTGTAGAATTTTCTACATCTGATCCAAAGTACAGTAGCTGCAGAATTGAGGTAAGCTTTATTCTAATATATTTATTTGGCTTAAGGATTAAAACCCAAGAACGTTTGTTGTTAGAGGCAAACGCCCCCAAACAATTCAGAACCAAATCCTTAGAAATTATATCTTGGAAAAACAACGAACAACTCACAAAGGGTTTTGAGAGTGGCAAATCATCCCTGGGAAAATCATGCCTTCTCATGTGCGTGGCTGTTCTGCAGTGTTTCCTGTTCTCTCCATGCCCAGGTGCATAGCCTTCATGGCCATGTTGTCAAGTTGCTTTTTTTTTTAACCTACCTAGAAATTAGATGATCCTTTTCATCCAGTGGTGGAATGAGTTGCCTAGTTTTCTAATTGATAAAGCAAGCTTTTAGAGAGATATTGCAGTTCTTTAGTTTTCTTAGCCATCGGTATCCCGTAAGCTGTTGAGGACAAATTATTGATGTATAGGTACTGCTTAGTGTTATACAAAGGAGTTTACTGGCCTTAAGAAAAGTTAATGTGTGTGTCTAGGAAAATGTTTAAGCACCAGAGGAATCTGCCTTTATTTCCCAAGTCAGTGCTGAGAAATGGCAAAGATCACCATCCGTGGGTAGGGACCGTCCAAGTCCCAATCTGTATAAGGCCTGTGAAGTCACTGAATGTGGCCCTGCAGAGGCAACTGCAGGCACAACTTGAAATTCAGTAAATGTGTTGTGGGCTAGTTTGTAAGGTGATCATTTTACATCGCCCGCAAATGCTGTTATAAATTTCCAAATGGCTCTCGGCAGAAAAAAAGTTCCCCATCGACTACACTGCAGTGCATCTTCTAATGCCTGAGCTTCTAGGGTCAGGTTTCTGTTCCTTCCCCCTTACAGGTGACAAGAGAATGGAAGCTACACACAGACTCACGCCTGTAAATACGAGCGCACCTCAACATCTGTGCTGAAAGGGAATTTAAAAATCACTTTATTTTGGTGCCAAAAGTTTTTTTAAATCCATTCATAATTTTTTCATTATGGGCATTTCCACAAATTTTGTGAAGCTCTCCATGTATTCAGATTGAATTAGGTATTGAATCTGTATACGCGGGGTGGGGGGGGTTATAGCATAGTGGTTGCCAAGATGAATATTATACATTGGGTTACACTGACCTCTAGAGGTTCATAGTAATAAAAACTACCTTGGTTTGAAAACAGTTGCAAGGCAAAGGCAAATGCAAAGCCGTCCCGGATTGCTAATTTTCTAGTGCAGACTGTGGCTCATTTGGAAGCCATTCTCCACAATTCAGCACATAGTGATTAGTAGTTATGTCTCAGGTACACATTACTACCAGCCAATAATCCAATGAGCATTGCTAACTGCTCTCTGGGATTTCAAAAAATCTTAAATCGGGAAGCAGGCATTTAGCCTAGTGAGGCACCTGCATCCCACATGGGAGTGCTTGGGTTCAATTTCTGCCTCCGACTTCCCATTCCAGCTTCCTGCCACTGGGGCTTCTGGGGGGAGTTCTGGGGGCAGTGTTGATAGCTCAAGTAATTGGATTGTGTTTCCTCCTCCTGGTTTTCACCATGGCCCACATCCGGCTGCTGCAGGCATTTGGGGAGGAAATCAGCAGAGGAGTATTCATTCTGTCTACCTCTTTCTGTGTCTCACAAATAAATTTTAAAATTTTATTTTAGGCTGGCGCCGCGGCTCAATAGGCTAATCCTCTGCCTAGCGGTGCCGGCACACCAGGTGCTAGTCCCGGTCGGGGCGCCGGATTCTGTCCCGGTTGCCCCTCTTCCAGGCCAGCTCTCTGCTGTGGCCAGGGAGTGCAGTGGAGGATGGCCCAAGTCCTTGGGCCCTGCACCCCATGGGAGACCAGGAGAAGCACCTGGCTCCTGCCATCAGATCAGCGCGGTGCGCCGGCCGCGGCGGCCATTGGAGGGTGAACCAACGGCAAAGGAAGACCTTTCTCTCTGTCTCTCTCTCTCTCACTGTCCACTCTGCCTGTAAAAAAAATTATTTTAATTTAAAAGATATTAATTCTATGGAAAGTTAAAAGAGAAAAGAAACAAAATGGCTCTTATCATGAGGTTTTAATCTTTACATTATATCACCTTCATTCAAAATAATAGAACCATAAATTTTTGCATTTATAATAATCTTGGTTTTAAAAAGTATTTTTTATTGGTTCTAAAAATCTCCTGGGAAGGAAAATTTAATTTTAAAATTGTGATCTCCAAGATAGCTTTGTACTTTAATGCCTTTCTTAAGAGAATATTAGAATATTTTCAAGTGACTTTAATTAAGTTTATAGTTTCTTCCTTCATAGCTTCTTTTCTCTTTCCTTTCAGTTCCCTCTGCCACCATTGTCACTGTTGCCCATGAGATCGGGTGTCTTGACCATTCCCCCAAATTACAAATTTCCAAAGGAGAGACAAAGAAATATTCCAAGTCAAACATCCTTCATTCGTAAGCTCTCAGAGCCCGTTAGTCAATCTGATGCGTTTAGTCCATCAAACAAGCAGCAGGAAGCCCCAGTGAAGGTGTTGGTGGATCAGACTCTCAGGTCTTCTGATCACTCCATTTGGTCAAGAAATATGTGCTCTTTCCGCAAGGCTAGCCATCACAGACAAGACCTGGAGAGGGAGACGAGCTGGCAATCCAAGGAAGTAGACGGATGGGACAACGCTGGAATCTCTGACTTTGAGAAAGGGCATTCTTTGGTGGCCTTTGAGAATTGTAAGGAAGATAATATTCCTACAGATACAGAAGGGAATATTGACCATGGTAGTGAAAAGACAAAAGCAGAAGAGAATTGTAAATATCTTTCGTCAGGAAAGGAAGAGAGCTCAGGAGTCAGAAACTGTGAACAAAATTCAGAAATTGTATGTACCATTCCAAGGAAGCTCCCAGAAGCCCAGCACTCAGGAATAACTCCTAACCAGGGTGAAGAGATTAGAAATGGAAAATCTGATTCAAAAAGCACTTCATTATGTGAAGGTGAAGCAATGGAATCCAATGACAGTTTAGAAGAACTTACTGTACTTAAAGGCTTGACCAATGTAGCCTCTGATGACCCCACTGGGAGAGTCCCAGAAGGTCATGATGGTGTGCAGACAAACATAAAAATATCAACAGCAGGAGAAACCAAACTAGAAGTGAATGGTATGGTGCCTGTTATCCCAATCACTTTCCCAGGAGGTAGAACCCCCAAGGAACCAGCTATAGCCAAACCAAGGCTCCAAAAAAGAAAGGGCCCCATTCATAGCAACAACTTTAACATGCTTGCACACCCAGAAAATGACAAGCATAAGGTGAATATGCATAGGAATAAATTGGAGTCAAAGACCAAAACAAGTAACAGGACACCTCACAATTTCATGATTTCCATTGAAGATTCGATTAAGACCACCACTCATAAAGCCAGCATAAAACCTCACGTTTTCCCTGCTTTGAGACTTGTTGACCCTAGGCCTCAGCAACTGCCTAGATTTCAAAGGATTACGCCACAGATAGAAAAGAAAGAATCAATTCACTGGACCCAGAAACCTACAAAGCAGTCATTTCCTTGCATCTGTAAAAATCCAAGGATAAAAAAATCACAAGTTCCTCTCTCTGTTCAACCAACAGAACCGAGACTGAATTACCTAGATCTTAAGTACAGCGACATGTTCAAAGAAATCAACTCAGCTGCTGATGGACCAGGAATCTATGAGATGTTTGGGACCCCTGTTTACTGTCACATCAGAGAAGCTGAACGGCATGAAAACAAGTATTACCGTGAGATATGCTCAGCTCCATCTGGCAGATCTACCACCAGTAAATGCCGGTCTTCACACAATGAGAGGAGCAGCAATAGCAGAACAAGACTTGCCCAGAGAAGACCACATACCCAACCCCCAAAGGCTTCCCTTGGCATTAAACCAAAGCACAAAGTTTTAATTTCTAAAGAAAAGGGCTGCAGGGCTGTAGGTAGCAACCTCCGAGACACTGAAGATGGTGCTGCTACTTCAGAACCAGATCGGCAGACAAAATCATCAGGAAATGACTTTCTATCTGCCCAAGATGAAGTTCAGCCCACGAACTTGGCTCAGACTCCTGAGAATTCCACTGAGCAGAATGAATTCCTTCCTGGCTCAGATTTATCCCCTGTTGAAGAAGTCTCCGTAGAAGAGTCTACTAATGGAGATTTTTCTAGCAATCAAATACTCACCATGAGCCTTAGAGATCTGCAAGAGCTTGAAGGGCTGCACCAGCAGACCGCGTTTGTCCCCTCAGAAAACAGCTGGGCAGTGCCCAGTGAGAAGGGTTCTAACAAACACATATTGCAAGAAAAGCAGACTACGGCAACTCTTGGTAAAATAAATGCCAGCCAAATGTTAGCTGATGATCTGGAGTTTGACAGCATTTCAGATGACTCTAAAATGTTTATGAGTTTCTCTTTCCAAGAGAAACAGGAAAAGTCCTCTTCCCCAACATACCAACATTGGACACATCCAGCGGATCATGATAGTTTTGCAAATAAGTCAATCACATATCAGACATTTGGAGAAACTTTAGGCGTTGCAAATTCAATTTCCCCAGAAAGTCTGGACTCAGTAAAGAATGAAGAATTGACAGATGAGCTTTTGGGTTGCCTAGCTGCAGAACTGTTAGCTCTTGATGAGAAAGACAACAGCTCTTGTCAAATGATGGCAAATGAAACAGATGCTGAGAACCTCAGTCTTGACCTTGGTGGGAGAGGACACAGCCACAGCATCAAAGAACTGGGCACAGACACAACAAATGTCAAAACACAGGTTGGTATAACTAGAATCAGGCTGGGAAGGGCCTCAGGGACAATCTGCAAATCAGGAAGCATAAACCCTAAACAAACAGTGTCTTCCAGGGGTAAGTGTTTGGTCACAAGGTTGGAGTCCAGGTCCCCTGGCTTTCAGGCTAAGATGTATTCATTATGCTGCCTGACCTCTAGAACGTAGTGGACTCACTCATCACTTACAGTAAATTAACATAGCACAACTACTTAAATAAGTCAGTATTTTATTAGTGATGACATTTCCAATCCGCAGCAGATACTGTTTCAGTTATCAGCCGAGAGAGAATAATAGGCAGAGCATTGCCGAAAGTTAGGTATGTGTGAGACAGGAAGAAATGCACACAGACCCTGTGGTAACTCACCATGTTATTCATATGAAGACATGAAATGTATATTTCTCAAAGATTCCCTGTGCAAGAACATTTGCTCCCAGCTGGTTTATGACAAAAACATGGTTGATGCTTCCTGTGTCTCTGTCCCTGGGCTAATTGGGGGCATAGTGATGTGCAGAACTCAGCCATTGCTCTGAAGGAGGAAGAAGCAAGCTTCCTGGGGGGCAGAAAAAGTTTACAACTTTTGCTACACAGGATGTAGGAGTGGGTGGGGAAGAAGAACATCAATAGATGTAGGTTTTGTTTGTTTTAATTTTCGATGAAATCCATGAGCCTTCCATTACCAAATTTTAAACACAGAAACAGTAGGTCAAGCTGAAATGTTATTTATTGAACTCTAATTCAGATTATATCACATCGTACCCACATGATTTCAGGATCAGGGACAATTATTTTTAGTAGTTGAGTAGTAGCTGAGTTTGCTGAGACCTTAACACACGAGAGCGAGACACAACGTATTGTCTCCTTTTCTACTTCATAAGAATTCCATAGGTACTACAATGTCCTATAGGCACTACAATGTTCTACAGGTACTACAATCATAGATGGAGAAATCTAGGTTTAGAAAATCATGCAGCTGGTGTGTGGTGGCTAGCCAATCTGATTCCAGCCCATACCTTAAGCAATGTGCAATGGGAATAGGCCAACTCCACCCTCTAGGGGGACTTGGTCTCTGCGAGGAAGGAAACAGGGATTTGGGAGATGGAGGTAGGTGTGTGCACACCTCTGTTGTCAGAGATGAGCCTACCATTCCACCATTTTAAACTGGAGAAGCAATCAACAAGCCAGTCACAGAATCAGCTCCTAACTCCACTGTAATCATGGAGTCAAATTCTGGCCTTTTGTGACTATTTCTTCCCAAGCTGTCCTTAGACTTTAGTTTGCATAGAAACATAGCAGGGTGAGCAGGGTGAGTAGGAGAAACACAAATGGCCCTTGGGAGGCAGGTGGATACTCGTGAGGAAGGCACCCCTGCAGGATCTCTTGTTCCTAAATGGCCTTCACGTGCCTCTGCATCGCCATTATCATTTACTTTTTTGAAAGCAGAGTGACACAGAGGAGAGAGAGAGAGAGAGAGAGAGAGAGAGACCCAGCTGTTGTCTGCTGGTTTACTCTGCAAATGCCACATTGGCCTCAGGAACCTGGAACTCAATCCAGGTGTCCCATTTGAGTAGCAGGAATCTATTACTTGAACCATCACCACTGCTTGCCAGGGTCCGTAACAGTAGGAAGTTGGAGTCAGGGCTGGAGCTGGCCATCACACCGAGGCACCCTGACATGGGACATATGTGTCCTGACTGCTAGGCCTAACGCCTGCCCCCTACAAGGTTGTTTCTTTTTTTATTTATTTTATTTTTTTTTAAATTTTTTAAACTTTTATTTAATGAATATAAATTTCCAAAGTACGGCTTATGGATTACAATGGCTTCCCCCACATAACATCCCTCCCACCCGCAACCCTCCCCTTTCCCATTCCCTCTCCCCTTCCATTCACATGAGGATTCATTTTCAATTCTCTTTATTTACAGAAGATCATTTTAGCATACATTAAGTAAAGATTTCAACAGTTTGCACCCCCATAGAAACACAAAGTGAAATATACTGTTTGAGTACTCGTTATAGCATTAAGCCTCAATGTACAGCACATTAAGGACAGAGATCCTACATGAGGAGTAAGTGCACAGTGACTCCTGTTGTTGACTTTACAAATTGACACTCCTGTCTATGGCATCAGTAATCTCCCTATGCACCAGTCATGAGTTTCCAAGGCTATGGAAGCCCCTTGAGTTCTCCGACTCTTACCTTGTTTAGACAAGGTCATAGTCAAAGTGGAGGTTCTCTCCTCCCTTCAGAGAAAGGTACCTCCTTCTTTGAAGACCTGTTCTTCCACTGGATCTCACTCACAGAGATCTTTCATTTAGGTGAGTTTTTTTTATTTTTTTTTTTTTTGCCAAGAGTGTCTTGGCCTGGCTTTCCATGCCTGAAATACTCTCATGGGCTTTTCAGCCAGATCGGAATGCCTTTAGGGCTGATTCTGAGGCCAGAGTGCTGTTAGGACATCCGCCATTCTATGAGTCTGCTGTGTATCTCGCTTCCCATGTTGGATCACTCTCCCCTTTATTTATTCCATCGGTTAGTGTTAGCAGGTACTAGACTTGTTTATGTGCTCCCTTTGACTCTTAGTCCTTTCATTATGATCAATTGTGAACTGAAATTGATCACTTGGACTAGTGAGATGGCATTGGTACATGCCACCTTGATGGGATTAAATTGGAGTCCCCTGGTATGTTTCTAACTCTACCATTTGGGGCAAGGTTGTTTTTAGGAGATCTTTGTCTCAGGAAGTTATACACGCACAATAAGAATGACAGGTTTGAAAGGAGGACTATACTTTATTAAATAAATAAATAATTAAGTAAATGAGGTATTTATTTATTTGGCAGGCAGAATGACAGAGAGAGGTCTTATATATACTGGCTCCCCTTCTCTACATCCCAGTGACTCAGAGTTTATTAATGATCTTCCTTTGTCTCGTTCTTACAGACATACAGCAATGGGTTCAGGATACATGGCAGAGAGGAGCAATTTCTCAATGCAAATGAAAAGAAGACATATCCTGAGACTAGTTCAAAGAATGAAGACTCTATCCTGTGGACCAAGGGTGAGATCCTTGGGAAGGGAGCCTACGGCACAGTAAGTTCAGTACTTCCTACCAACCCACCCTACTCCACCATCCTCTCCACTCTGCATCTGCCCACACTCATGTACTTAGCACTCTTTCAATTGAAAGAGAAACCCCAACCCAGACTGGCTTGAGAGAAAGCACATTTGTTGCCTTATGCAACAGAAAGATCTTGAGTAGGTAGGGCTCTGTCCACAGGTGGTTTCAGAACCCAAACAATGTCATATCATTTGCTCTCATTCTCGGGCTCCACGTGGTTGTATAATGGCTATTGCATGTCCAGCCTCTCACTCTCCCAGGTTCAAGTTCAATGAAAAAAAGCTTCTCTCCCTCCAACAGCCCAATATGTTCTTGGGAGTTGGGAGAGTCATTGCTGGGTAGAGAAAGAAAAAAGTGTTCCTTACGTTTTGTGAATTGCATGTTAAGACAGTCAAAAGTCTAGTACTTTGGCTAGTATTTACATAGATGTAAACAGAAGACTGGCCTCCAGAGAAGTCGTGTACAATTTCTCTCACTGGGGACATTTGGGGACTCAGGGAGAAGGTGGGAAGACATGAAACCACTGAGATCGCATCACAAGAGTGACTGTCACCACCAGCCTCCTTGTCTCTCCATAGAGCTTTAGAGCTGAACTAACCCTATCTCATTTACTTGTTGAGGAGCTTTCCCAAGCCACTATCTCATGCAGCCATTGGCTAATCCTCTGCCTGCGGTGCTGGTACCCCGGGTTCTAGTCCTGACTGGGGCTCCGGGTTCTGTCCCGGTTGCTCCTCTTCCAGTCCACGCGCTGGCCGTTTGGGGGGTGAGCCAACAGAAGGAAGACCTTTCTCTCTGTGTGTGTGTGTCTCTCTCTCACTGTCTAACTCTGCCTGTCCAAAAAAAAAAAAAAAAAAAAAAAAAAAAAAAAAAATCCATGAGGCAAATACTATGACCTCAGTTTCATTTTAAACTTTTTTTGGTTAAAAATGATTTATTTATTTATTTATTTATTTGAAAGGCAGAAATACAGAGAAATGAGGTAAATGAGGTTTGAGAAAGAGAGAAAGAGAGCTCTTCCATTCACTGCTTCATTCCCCAAAAGGCCACAACAGCCGGGACTTTGCCAGGCCAAAGCCAGTACCTAGAAGCTTCCTATGGGGCTCCCATGTGGGTGCAGGGGCCCAAGCATCTGGGCCATCCTCTGCTGCTTTCCCAGGTGCATTAGCAGGGAGCTGGATCAGAAGTGGAGCAGCCGGCACTTGAACCGGTTCCCATACGGGATGCTGGCACTGCAGGCAGAGTTTTAACCTTTTATGCTACAGCGATGGCCCCTCCTCAGTTTTACAGATGCAAAAAACTGAAGTCAAACAGGTCACGCAACTTCCCCAAAGTTGTACAGCTCGGAATGGGGAAGCCAAGATTCTAACCAATCCAAGGCATTAGACTCGAAGCCCATGTGGTATTCATTCCCCATGCCGCTCATCCCCATGCTGGTGCTGCCGAAACACTGCATTTGTTTAAATGTTTTTGCATTTGGGTAGGGGTGTATCGACTTTGAAAAAAACAAGGACATGGGAGGAAGGAGAGTGAAGTATGTCACATGAGGCATTGTGTAAGCCAGTTGTGTCATCTGGATTTAATGAGGTACACGTGTGTTTCTAGGTATACTGTGGTCTCACTAGCCAAGGGCAGCTAATAGCTGTAAAACAGGTGGCTCTGGATACCTCTGATAAATCAGCTACTGAAAAAGAGTACCGGAAACTTCAGGAAGAAGTAGAGCTTCTGAAAGCACTGAAACATGTCAACATTGTGGCCTATCTGGGGACGCGCTTGGAAGAGAACACTGTAAGCATTTTCATGGAGTTTGTCCCTGGTGGCTCAATCTCGAGTATTATAAACCGCTTCGGGCCATTGCCGGAGATGGTGTTCTGTAAGTATACAAAACAAATTCTGCAAGGCGTTGCTTATCTCCATGAGAACTGTGTGGTGCATCGCGACATCAAAGGGAATAATGTTATGCTCATGCCAACGGGAATCATAAAGCTGATTGATTTTGGCTGTGCCAAGCGTTTGGCCTGGGCAGGCCTAAACGGCACCCACAGTGACATGCTTAAGTCCATGCACGGGACTCCATACTGGATGGCCCCAGAAGTCATCAGTGAGTCTGGCTACGGAAGGAAATCGGATATCTGGAGCATTGGGTGCACTGTGTTTGAGATGGCCACGGGAAAGCCCCCGCTGGCTTCCATGGACAGGATGGCAGCCCTGTTTTACATAGGAGCTCATAGAGGGCTGATGCCTTCCCTGCCAGACCACTTCTCAGAAAACGCAGCTGACTTCGTGCGCATGTGCCTAACCAGGTAAGAAGCTGGAAACAGGCTGGGGGGATGAATGCCCAGGGGCTGTGAACAGCAGACATCCGCCTTGCAACCAAGGGCCCAGTAAAACCTCCGTTTTGGTTCTGAAATCAAGTAGGCAGTGATTTGGTGCTGAGAAGATCATCACCAGGCAACGGGCCATTGTGCCCGTTGTTGGAGCAGGGGGCAGGGGGGCAGGGCCTCAATTGCACATCTTATCAGGCCCTGACGATACTTCTCAGATCAATGGGTTTGCAAAGTGCGCTAAAGATCTACTTATTCACCACCTGGATGTCTTCCTAGGGACTGGCTCTGGTGAGCTGACATCACCTTGCATTTAAGTTGAGGGGAAACATTTTGAGCCAAAGCAGCAAATCTCAGATTAGAAAGTTTCAAGTGTCAAGTTGGGGAGTATTTGAGGAAACACAAAAGCCCTAGAAAATTGCCTGCTTTGCCGTTCCTTATCCTCTTTCATTTCCGCGGCCGAAAATTCTGGGTAAAATGTTAGAACGATGAGGGATCATAGAGACAAACTAGTGGTGTGGTTTTCAAACTTCGACTCAGGCATCCTGTGCTCGCGTGGAATCTGAATTCAGAGACTGAAACATAAAAAAACCCAGAAAGATGGTTCTGGTTAAAGTGTGTGTGTGTGTGTGTGTGTAGTGCAGAGATCGAGTTGTGTTGGGGTTTCTGGGCCCCTGTAAGAAGATGAGAGCAAAACAACCCATCTACCTATGTAGGCGTGATACCTAGTTACAGGACAGCAAGCCTGAGGCTGCACCTTAATTTCCTGTCTTTGAAGGAAGTGTGTGATTTCTTATCCCTAGATGAAAACCCCAGCACCCTGGCTTTTAGCAGCCACATGGAGCAACCCCAAACTCCCAAGAGGTTCATTTTCCCATTCTTTTTCTTTTTTTAAAAAAAGTTTTTATTTATTTGAAAGGCAGAGTTACACAGAGAAAGAAGGAGAGGCAGAGAGAGAGAGAGAGAGAGAGAAGGAGGGAGAGAGAGAGAGATCCTCCATCCATTGATTCTATCCCCAAATGGCTGCAGCAGCTGGAGCTGGGCCTATCAGAAGCCAGGAGCCAGGAGCTTCTTCCAGGTCTCTCATGTGAGTGTGGGGCCCGAGCACCTGGGCCATCTTCCACTGCATTCCCAGGCGCACTAGCAGGGAGCTGGATTGGAAGAAGAGCAGCTAGGACATGAACTGGCCCCCATATGGGATGCCAGCAGTGCCTGCCACAGTGCCGGCCCCTATTTTCCCTTTTGGAATGACTCTCAGAATCCACAGGTCTCCCTGTCTGCCAACGGATGTACCTCTCTCCCACCTTGGTCTCCCTATGAATTTTAAGGCCAGTAGCAATGCCTGCCAGGAACAGAAATGCACTTGAGGAAGCAGTGAGAAATCAGTGTAGATTGGGGTGAGGGACAGGGTCTGGCTGCTGGCACACTGAACATTGTGGGAAGTCAGGCCAAGTTCAGCCTTGCTGCCATAGGAGTGAAGAACGTGGCGCTATAAAGGATTCGGGGTAGAAAATACACTGCAGGCGCCCAGAGCTGGGACTGCTGATGGTGTTGACGCAGTGGGATTGTAGGAGAGGGATTCCAGGACTTGCTGATGGAGGACTGGATAGGACTTCTTGGTTGTCCTATCAACCAGCTGCGGATAATGGGAAAAATAACAGAAAGTTATGAGCATAGAGCAAAAAGTTGAAAAGGGCCCCTTTCATTGAAAGAGACACTTGAACTATGGAATTGGAGCTGAGGAGAGTCATTAAAATTGGAAGCTCTTATTTAAACATCAGTATCAAGTCAATAAAGAGGGGCAGTGAAAAAACCGAGAGGGCTGAGGCAAATGATTTTGAAAGGGTTTGTGGGTAAATCACGGAGTCCTTGTGGACCTGCAGAAAGGAAGGGTGGGGAGGAGAGGCGGAGTTGCTCTAAGCTGGAAGAACCGAGAAGGCAGAGTTCCGGCAAGTCTAAGCAGAGACTGTCTTGGGTGGGAGGAGCTAGTACTGCAAATGCCACAGAAGCGACTGGGAAGAGCTCATTTTGTTGGACAGCAATGTTGGCTCATTTACAGTGTTATCTAGAGGACGGTGTCTACAGGTGAGTGGTTAAGAATTTAGGAGAAGCCGGCGTTGCGGCTCACTAGGCTAATCCTCTGCCTTGCGGCGCCGGCACACCGGGTTCTAGTCCTGGTTGGGGCGCCGGATTCTGTCCCGGTTGCCCCTCTTCCAGGCCAGCTCTCTGCTGTGGCCAGGGAGTGCAGTGGAGGATGGCCCAGGTCCTTGGGCCCTGCACCCCATGGGAGACCAGGAGAAGCACCTGGCTCCTGGCTTCAGATCAGCACGGTGCGCGGGCCGCAGCACACCGGCCGCGGCAGCCATTGGAGGGTGAACCAATGGCAAAGGAAGACCTTTCTCTCTGTCTCTTTCTCTCACTGTCCACTTTGCCTGTCAAAAAAAAAAAAAAAAGAGAATTTAGGAGAATAATGAATGTTGGGGGAAAAAAGCTACTGAGCTTGACTGTATTAGCGACATTGGCAGGAATAGAAGAAATACGGTGGCAGTCAGGCGGCAAGGAAAGGACTTTTGAAGACGAGATTTTGAAGTTAGGAGAAGGGGCCTCCAGATGGTGAGCGGTTTGTGCTTTGAAATAATGCATAAAACTGAAATTTTTGAATTTTAAATTTTTTATTTCCATTTTTAAAACTTATTTTTACATTTTTATTTCTGCTTTTATTTCCATTTTTACCTTTAAAATGATCTAGTGGTCAATTTGCTTTTACAATTATCAAAAGATAGCCAGAGTTAGAGAGGCAGAGGCAGAGGCAAAGAGAGGCCTTCCATCCCCTGGTTTACTTCCCAAATGACTACAGTGGCTGGAGCTGCACCGATCTGAAGCCAGGAGCCAGGAGCTTCTTCCAGGTCTCCCATGAGGGTGCAGGGGCCCAAGGACTTGGGCCGTCTTCCACTGCTTCCCCAGGCCATAGCAGAGAGCTGGATTGGAAGTGGAGCAGCCAGGACTCAAACCGGCCACCCCTATGGGATGCTGGCACTGCAGGTGGCGGCTTTACCTGCTACACGACAGCGCCGGCCCCACAGTACATTTCAACATCTTTTAAAAGTCTTTTCAATTCTGGACTCACAATAGCTACAGATTTTTAAACTACAGTGCACTGTTTAAAAGCTTATATACCGGGGCCGCTTCTGTGGCGTAGCAGGTAAAGCTGTCGCCTGCAGCACCAGCATCCAATATGGCCACCAGTTTGGGTCCCAGCTGCTCCACTTCCGATCCAGCTCCCTGCTAATGGCCTGAGAAAGCAGTGGAAGAGGACCCAAGTCCTTGGGCCCCTGCACCCATGTGTGAGACCCGGAAGAAGCTCCTGGTTCCTGGCTTCGGATCGGCACAGCTCTGGCCATTGCAGCATCTGGGGAGTGAACCAGTAGATGGAAGACCTCTCTCTTTGTCTCTACCTTTCTCTGTAACTCTTTCAAATAAATAAAAATAAATAATAATAAAAAAATTTAAAAAGCTTGTATACAGAGGAGACTTCAAAAAGTTCATGGAATATACTCATTAAAAATTATTTGATAGATGTTGCAGGGAGATGGGGGAGATAGAGAACAACAGAGAGCTCCCACCACTGTTTCACTTCCCAAATGCCCTTAATAGTTGGGATTGGGAGCTGAGAAATCAATCCGAGTCTCCCACATGGATGGCAGGGACCCAAGAGCTTGAGCCATCGCCTGCTTCATTCCAGGGTGCACACTCACAGGGAGCTGGGGAATTGGGAGCCAGCCAGGACTCAACCCCAGGCACACCCAGCCACTCCGCGTGTGATGACAGTGTCCCAACTGCCATCTTAACTGCCAGGCCAAACACCTGGCTCCACTTTATTTTTATTTTTTAAGATTTATTCATTTATTTGAAAGTCAGAGTTACACAGAGAGAGGAGAGGCACAGAGAGAGGTCTGCCATTTGCTGGTTCACTCCCCAGCTGGCCACAACGGCCGGAGCTGCGCTGATCTGAAGCCGGGAGCCAGGAGCTTCTTCCGGGTTTCCCACAGGGGTGCAGGGGTCCAAGGACTTGGGCCACCTTCCACTGCTTTCCCAGGCCATAACAGAGAGCTGGATTGGAAGAGGAGCAGCCAGGACTAGAACTGGCGCCCATATGGGATGCTGGCGTTTCAGGCCAGGGCTTTAACCTGCTGCGCCACAGCGGCACCCCCCCCCACCCCCCGCCCTTATCTTTTAATTCCATTTTCCATGGATGTTTTGAAGCCCTTTGGTATGTTATTTAATTTTCCTAAAGAATTCAGTTTTTATTGTTGTTGCCATTTTATTGACAAGGAGAGTATGGACCCCTTGCTTAAGTTAAGGACGGAACCGTAGCCTGTCAGAGGCCGGGCCTGCAGTATTAAACTCTGCATCTCAGCCACGCAGAGCTCACGGCAGCCACGTGACACTCTCCTTCTAAGACTTGTTTCCTTCTCAGGGACCAGCATGAGCGACCCTCAGCTCTCCAGCTCCTGAGCCACCCCTTCCTGAAGAGAAGCCACTGAACATCCATCCGGACCGTCTTCCCAGTTCCGCCGTAGATGCTCTGTTATTGCTTCACTGCGGGGAGTGACGGTTAAGGGACCTTTGTTTGCCCACCGGGAATTCAAACTAACCCAACTTAACCAGATCCTGCGGCGTCACTAACTCGGTTTCGTGCTAGCTTCCAGAAGCCTTGGGTGTAATTACCCATGTGCATGAGAAGAAAATTTTCTTTAAAACAGGGAAATTTATTCCAGTGTTTACACTAGTCTCTCTTGCTTTATACTTTTCCTTTTATTTTTGGCCAATTTCAATGTCATGAGTTTAAAATAAATTGTAAAACACCTTTTGTTTTCTTGCTTGGTGAGTAGACACTTAATTCTGGCAAAGGAGACTAGGGGAAGGCTAGGAAGTAAATGACGAGAGAGGCCAGATTGCTTACACGGGCAGCTATCCTAACTTTAAATCGCCCAGGAGTAGCTAAAGGCCTTGGCAGCTCGTGATCAAGGGTCCCAGCGCTCCTCAGAACTCTCCCAGGAGTTGGAGCATTTAAGGTGAGGCCACAAACCTGAGGCTGCCTTCCCTGCAATGAGCTGTAGTGTGATTTCAGGACTCTACCTGTTTGCACACTGAATTAGGTCATTAGCACATTTAGAACTAGCTAAGCCTGAACCAGATGGCAGGACAGGAGCTGGGGACCTGATAAAGGGAGAGTGGCTCCGCATAGTTTTCTCTCTGCATCTGAACAAAACGTCATCTGTGAGGTCACTCTTCACACACATTCATTTTCAGAATGTCGGCAAACCTTCCAGAAGTGCGACCTGTCAGGGCTCTTACAAGTCCTTTCCCTTTAAGTGGGTGGGCTAAACATGTTTGCTGAGGTTTCTGCTACTGTTGACTTCTCTGAAGCTGTAACCACATTCTTTTTTATTGGCTGCCATCACATCAAGAAGGCACAATTACAAACCAACCTTAGCTGTCCTCCATCACAGGTATCAGACTTTGTCAAACTCCTTTAGAAGTTCTGGAAAAACAAACGTGAAATACAGTCAAGATGAGGTCAAAACAGATTTTACTTTGGCCAGTGTCTAACAATAGGTGGGTCTTCGGGGGTGTTATCTTAATTTCTTTCTCTCAAATTTGCCACTTTCTTTTTTCACATTTTGTGAGCAATTAAGAGATGTGTTCCTTATTTTGCTTTTTTATCAACAAGACTCAAAATGTAATTTTGTGAAATGAGGGCTTTTTTTTTTTCATTTTGGAGACATTCTCTAAAAAATCTGAATGTTATACCGAATTTTGGAGTAGTTCATTGTTTACGTGCAAGCCTTTTAAACTCTGTGGGGAAAAGGCAGGGAGTGGACTTGTTTGTATGTTATGTCCAGATCTCAGGAAGAGACCATGAGGCTGGTGTCAAAACCTACCCTCTGTATTAATACCTAAGAAGACTGACTACAACTTTGGAATTAACAGAGTATTTATTTGAAAGGCAGAGCATCCTCCAGGGAGAGACACACACAGAAGGTTCTTCCATCTTCAGGTTTACTCCCCAAATGATGGTTTCAGCAACCAAGGCTGGACCAGGCTGAAGCCATGAGCCAGGAGCCAGGAACTCCATCTGTTGGGGACAGGTAGAAAGAGAGAGAGAGAAAGAGAGAGAGAGAGAATTTTCACTCCCCAAATGGCCCAATGGCCAGGACTGGGCCAGGCAGAAGCCAAGAGCTTCTTCCAGGTCTCCCATGTGGGTGCAGGGGTCAAAGGACTTGGAACATCTTTTGTGGAATACCCAGGTGCATTGCAGGGAGCTGGATCAGAAGTGGAACAGCTGGGACTTGAACCGGCGCCCATAGGGGATGCTGATGCTTCAGGCCAGGACTTAACCCATTATGCCACAATGCTGGTGCCCAATGCTGACATTTTTACTAGGCAGGCCTCAGTTCCAAGAGCTTTCTGTTGTTTTTGTGACTCATCCATTTTAAGATATGAGCAGTTGTTTGGTGTTACATTCTCCATTACCATTGCCAAATGTGTGTCTCCACCACAGCCTCCTTTTGGAGAATGTGGGTCTGCAGGGAAAAGGCACATTAAACTCCAGCTGCTGTCTGGGATTCTGGGATGGTAGTATTACTCTGCCTTTACTAGTACAGAACACTTGTATGGTTCACAGCTAACCAACCTTCTCAAGGCTATCCACCCGATGATCTTTATTTTTTGTTTTTTTTTTTTTTTTTGTAAGTATGATTTTTAAAAGATCCATTTATTTATTTGAAAAGAGTTAACAGAGAGACAGGACTGACAGAGAGCTTCCATCTGCTGGCTCGCCCTCAAAATGACCACAAAAACAGGGTCTGGGCCAGGCTGAAGCCAGGAGCCAGGAGGTTCTTCTGGGTCTCCCACGTGGGTGCAGGGGCCCAAGTACTAGGCTGTCCTCTGCTGCTTTCCCAGGCACATTAGCGGGGAGCAAGATCATTCGTGGAGCAGCTGGGACTCAGAACTGACCCCCAGGTGGGATCCTGGCACTGCAGAGTGCAACTTAACCCAGTGCGGCACAGTATCAGCCCTGGCTTGTCTGACCTGAGCGATCCTTTCTTTGCTGCCTTCCAGATTGAGTTTATAAATGATACCAACTGCATCCTGAAGTTTTCCTCAAAATACCATGGAAACACTGACAAATTCACTGGCCCACACTGTGATTCCAGGCTCTTGCCCCCACAGAACTCAAAGCAGCAGTATAAAGCAAGAGCAGGATATTTAAGTGTGTGGGCCACACCACATGGAAATATCTGTCACGAGTGAGCCAGAGAGCTGCCTATCGGGGGCTGGAGAGGAGACATGAAAGGTCCCCAAGCGTGATCAAGAGCAGAAGGGCCCCTCCTACATTATCAGTCTCTTCTGATACGGAGTAGTGCTTACTGCATATACAAAGTGGGCCGTCTGGGTGGAGTTTGGTGTGCCTGAGGCTTTCTGGCACCTCCACATAGAGCTTAGCTTCCACGTGGCCACCATGACATCTCCTCCTTCCATGGCAAAGTGGATGTATTGGATCTACAGGTAAATGATCAGTTGCAATGCATGACTGGCTACACTTCTAGCTCATTTATCCCTAACTCCCTACTATCACTTACATGGTGTGAAAAGCTTGCCAGTTTTCACTTAGCAGTACTGCCATCCCCCTCCATGAGCATCATGAACAAATGACCCGGTTTTCACACCCCCCCATTATGCTGTGTCCAAACTCAACCACAGACCCCTTAATCCTCCCAGTAAAATTCAAGAGTACTGCTACAGTGTCTGCTTAGGTTTGTTCTAGCATTGCACTATTGACACTTCTCAGTGGCTGAATTAGGGGAGCTGCCATCACACAGGGTTAGCTCTGGCATAGGCAGTGTGGTGGCTCATTGTAGGGGCACTGCCAACAGCCCTGGCTCTTGGTCATCAAGCAGTTCTGAGACTAACCCACTTCACCTGCTCAAGGAGCAGCCAAAAAATCTTTATCACCTGCCAGACCCAGTCTTCAGCTCTTATTTAAGATTTCATTTATTTGCAAGGTAGTTAGAGGTCAGTCTTCCATCTGCTAGTTCACTCCTCAAATGGCCTCAATAACCAAGGCTGGGCCAGGCCAAAGCCTGGATCCAGGAGTTTCTTCTGGGTTTCTTATGTGGCTGCAAGGGCCCAAGGGCTTGGGCCATCTCCCACTGCTTTCCTAGGCCCATCAGCAGGGAGCTGGGTTGGAAGTGGAGCAGCTGGAACTTGAACTGGTGCCCCATGGGATGCCAGTGTTACAGGTGCCTGCTATGCCACAACACCAGCCCTTATTAATTCAGCTTCAAGTAGCTATTTAATTGCAGGTGCTGAGATTTTTTTTTTTTTTTAAAACACCCTTTCATGGCAATTCTGACTTTACAGTTCCAGGGGTAGGCAGCATCTATCATTAACGTTAGTTTTGTGTATGCCGAAACATTGTGAAAAGTTGACAGCCAACAGTCCCCAGGAAAGGCAACATACTTCCTTCTGTCAGAGCATCTCGAAGTTGTCAACTACTAAGGCTCAAAGTTATCCAGAACTCATTCCTGCATTGATTTGAAAAACCAAACTGGTGAGTACACTCCTGGACAGAGAGGCTCAAGCAAGCTCTCAGCAGTCTGATAAGCACCCTCATTAGTGAGGTGGTGGGAGGCAGGAATATGTAGATATACTAGTGCTAATACATGTGATGCCTCTCATTACACACTGAAAACAGCAGGGGAAAAAAATAAGCCACACACCTGGATGAACACTGCAGTTACCTCTGTAAAAAGTTCTTAAGTAAAACCAAAAACAATCAATTTATTCTATGCTAACAGGACAAGTCTTTACTGGTGTAAAAACAGATTTCCTAATGTGACTTAGACACTTATTTTACACTTGGGCTTAAGATTCATTTTGGAGGAAGTAACTTCGTTATTCTCATTCTCTTTTAAAAGTTATTCCAGTCAGTTGTCAGTTTTATGTTCTCTTGAGTGGAAGGTCCAGGAAACCCAGTGGGGAGCGGAGCTCGGATCCACCATTCTTGATGGATAACTCCCCTTCCAGATAAGTAACTACCCCTAGCTTTTATGGCAACGATCCAGATAAGTGAACTACTCACCTTTTATGGCAGTGACCCAAGAAGTTAAACAAGAAAAGCCTAAAATACTAATCATAATGAATCTATTTTTAAAGTTTTTATTAGAGTCAAGGAGAAATTTTCATTCTGCTGTTTCACTCTCCAAGTACCTACAACAGCCAGGTCTGGGCCAGGCTGCATATAAGGGCGAGAAACTATCTGGGTCTCCCATGTAGGTGGCAGGGGCCTACGTACCTGCTGCATCATCTGCTAATGTCCCACGCACATTAGCAGGAAGCTAGATCCAAAGAGGAGGTGGGACCCCCCCCCCCCCCGGAACTCCAACAATTTAAGTGAATTCTGGAACAGTAGACATGTAGTAATGCATTCAAGCTTGTTGCAGGGGGACTGGCCCTCTTCATTACATTCAGTATCCCCAATCTACTCTTCAGATGTTCCTAAATCCCAATGATTTTATCTGGCCCTCCCTGACCACTCAAACCATAACCTCACACGAACAGGCACTGACAGTTTGCAAAGGTCAAGGCAAAGTAACTCATTCAAGGTCATTCTACCACTAGGTTTGTGACAGGAATGTGGTCCACCTGATCCCAGAGGCCATACTCTGGGCATCTGAAGCTATTTCAATATTAATTATATCAGAAATCTTACTTCCCGCATTTCCCAGGGATCCAAAGTTGTTTCTGATTCACATCAATTCAACAAGACATGTTAGAGCCTTGGATTTCTGGTGTCCATAAACAAATTTTATTAATAATTGTATAGATACTGAGAAGCTGAAATTCAGTGACTGATTCATGCCATACACACATATTCCTGTTTTCAATTCAATTTTCTATCAGCAAGCAACCTATTCAATCGTCCTTGGTGGTGGTGATGGTGGAGGGGTTTGAGTACATTCAGAAAATGAAATCTCAATCACTGTTAACAACAAATGAGCACACACAAAGCAAGTTTTTCTAATCATGTGGAGTGGCTTGAAACACACACATCTTAGTTAAGAATGTATTCCTGACTTAATATAGTAGGAATGTACTCACTGTTACTTAAAACAGGCAACCCAAATTAAACAAACTATTAAACAAGTACCTATATTTGGGGTTTTTAGGTGAGGCTCCCTCCCAAAGCTAGGAAATTAGCCCTCAGAATTTACTTTTGTGATTAATGGATCACAGTGAACAAGTCACTTTTATGACAAAAGAATTACTCCTAGCCATGCAGCCGTCAATGTATCTTGCTTATTAAAGTACCCAATCTGTCAGGCAGAACAGATTATGGTGAATTACAGAACAGAAAAAGGGAAGTCACAGGCAAAAGCTGGCTGGGCCCAAACCGACGACGCGGAGTGAACACACGCATGCTCTCCATGCTACAACGCTCTGAACGCTCCAGCCTCACCGGCAAGATCATCTCTACTAAAGGCGGATGCTGTTTCAAGACTTAGAAAACAAGCAAATTTTGGATTTGGCTTACATTAGTTACAACAATGGAGCTACTCATTGATTTGAGATGTGATCAAAGATCTTAACTTCCAAATTAACCTATGAGACTTGGAACTTGGTTCCTCCAGAAGGCAGGGACAGAATGTGCTGCTTTTCCAATGTAACAAACCCTGTATAAATCAGTGTTGCCTTAAACAAACGGGCAGGAGTCTTGAACTTGGTTAATTCAAGTCTCCCCAGAGTATGGGAATTGCTGATTCTTCATTTGGGTGAAATGGAGTTAGAGTTAGCAAACCCTACTGCTTCTCAAGAAAGCCTCTTGAGAGAGACTGCCACCATTGAGAAAAATACTAAATCAAATATATTCTTAATAACAAGAATGTTCATAATCTTCTCAGCAGATACCCTAAAAATCACCTGGCAAAAATTTAAGGGCAGTAGCTGGTGAGAAACACTACTTTGTTTAGACAAAAACTGGGAAAGGTGAGCTCTTTTAAGAACAATACTGTCTTCCTTTACCCTTGTCATCATGCTTAAACAACAAGCAGAACAACCCACCACCCTTACTTCCACAGTAAATGCAAAACCTTGAAGTATCTACTCAACAAAGTATACTTGCATAATATTAATGCATATAAATGCAGTGGTTTATTTCTAATGTTGCTTAAGGAATACAAATTTGCAATTAAATTCTCAAATATAAAAGAAATGTGCTTGAAACCTTATTTTAAGGCAAGAATGTCTGGTAACAAAAACATTTTAAATCGGTTCTCTGAAGTAAATGTCAACTACTCATTTCTTTAGTTTAAAAGGTATCCTACATGACTACAATGTCAGTACAAAGTATTAATATAAGCAGCCCTTCATCACATTCCTGAAGAAACAATACCTCTTGGTAGAAAACTTTCTTTAGTGGACTCAACCTAATAACTTTAACCATAACTAATCTGAATACATAAAAGGAAGATCAAGATGCACAGGTGATCCCTCCCTAAGGTAAACCCAGGGCTGAAGATGTGGCTTTTCAGAACTTAAGCACTTGCAATCTGGAAGCTTTGCAAAGGTTTTACCACTGAAGGACACTGCTGCCATTTTTCAATGCAGACCTCTGAGAATGTTCTGTGAACAAATACCCCTTGCTTTGGTTCTGAAAATGTATTTTAAAGTAGCTAAGGCAAATATTTAAGGGGCACGAGAGCTCAGTATTAGAAAACTTGTTTAAAGAGGTAGAAGTAAATAAAGCCTGTTTGTGACATGCTTCTGCATAAAGGTAACAAGTCTGTGATCCTGGGAAAACACAACTTAAAAATGAGTCACTCTTTTATAGGATGTTTAATGCTTTTTAATATTTTTTTAAAAATCTCATCAAAACGTTATCACCTTAACAGTACTTTGCACATATGGAATTTCATCCCTAAATCTGATGACACTATTTTGGTTTATTTATGGCTACTTACAAGAAGACTCACATTAATCGTGCTCATTCCTCTGAGTCTTTTTCTTTGGTAGAGCCTAATGGGATGAGGCAGATTAACTCTTTTACGCAAATGAGATGGTTAAAGCAAATTCATGGTAATATGAATAAGGGTTTTCTTTTAATGGAAATGAAACTTCAGTCTCCATATTTATCTCCACTGTAGTTTTGGAAGCTTAATATCCTGTTCAGAGGTTAAAGAGTTTGAATAGCTCACACAATCCTGTAAAAATTAGAACTGGCTGCCCTTTAATAAATAAAGTAATTGTAAAGAATTACATTTACAGAGTGAAAAGTGAATACATAGCATTTCAAATTCATTTTGGAAGTACTAATAAGTACTGACCCATAACAATATACACTAGCTACCTTTTTAACTGTCCATCATTAGCACCAATAAAGATTCAACAAAATTACCTTTATTCCCACATCTCAAAAAACAATTCTGCAAATTCTTAGTGAAGTTTAACTATAGTCACAGACCTTAAATATTCACATTGTTTTCTATGTCATACTGAAAATAAGTTCACTACTTTTCTGGATATTCTTTACAAAATCTTATTAAAATTCCTGGTATTACCCCCAATTATACAGTAGCACAACTGCCCTAATGTCATTTCACATGATAGCTCTGTAGAGGTTTCACATCTAAATTACCAAGAACAAACCCCTTCCCCCCCTCATCTTGTACTCAGCTTAATTCTACACTAGTCCTTGGATTATGTACCACTGTAAAAGAACTGCATCAAAATTACCATGTTTGTGGATACAAGATTATGCCATACAGAGCAATAAAGTTACATATAATGACAGAGAATACTCAAGTTATGCAAGACAAGAACAAACGTTAGGACATGCTAGCTAGGCAAAGGCCCTAGAAAGAGCTCCTAGTATCCCAAGTTCAAATAACATTGACAAAACAATGAACAATTCTCTTAAAAAAAGTAATAAAGCTACTGGCAAATTAGGTAATTACTAAATAAAAGTAAAGCACAAGATCAAACTCTCAATATTTACAACCACAACACACTTGAGTAAAATTACAACTGTGCACGTTATCAGTGGCTTTGTAACAAAAAAATAATTCATATACACAGAGGAAAAAATAAGACAGTTTTTAAGTTCAACAGAACTTGAATCCAACCCATCCCAAAGATACTCAACAGCTCCAAGATTTACCAGAGAATAAAGTCAAGATTAACTGATAAGCAAGAGCTGTATTACTGGTTTGCTTAAGTCAAATTCAAACAAGTCTATAGCTTTATCAGAAGTCAGATGACTGTGCAAACTTGATGTCAACAGGAATATTCTGAGATGTGCAAACAAATGTAAAACCTCCACTAGTGGCTTTGTCTGGAGGCTGACCAGTTTTTACAGAGCTTCCTGATAACAACCATAAGCTACAAATACAGGTACAATGCACAGTGATCTTTCCTTTTTATTTATTGTTAGAATATAAAAGAATTGAGAGAGCATAGGTATAATTTCATTTTTGTAAGGAAGACTGCATTTACCTGAAAAAGAAATATGGCATCACACACAAACACGCATCAGGGGAGGAATATATTTAAGAATATGGTGACATTCTGAATGCTAAAAGAAAAGTGATCCCTGTTTACTGGTAATAAAATATGTAGTGTTAAAGTTCTTTAAGAAAAAAACTAACTCTTCACTATGTAAATAAGTCTTTGTGAATTTAGTTTTCAAATCACAGTAATCCACACAACCATTATTAACAGCTCTGTTTTATAGCACTGCAACAAGCCAACAAACATTTAAATGCACTTCACATCAAGAGTATGTAAACTTTTTTTCCTCTTCAAGCCTTCAGAAAACTAGGGGCTATTTCAGTAGCCTATCTGGTCAGAACCGCTGAAGGCAAAAGTTCCATGCCTCACAGTGTAAATGACCATACCATGTGTGGCACTGTACACCCATCTGGTAGTGAAGTGTCCCCCTTCGGTAAGGCCTAGAGTTTAAGGTTAACATGAAAAAGTGCCACTTCTGTTTTAGATTAGTGATGGACTCTGACAAGAGAAAATAAAGTTATTCTGTATATTGTTATACTTACAAGCAGCTCCAATCCTGAGTATTTATGGTAATATCTAAACATACAAAAATGTATGTACATTTTTCTCCACTTTCTTGTAAACAGTTGTCAGTATACTGTTTTATCCCTTTATCAATGAAACATGCAAATCATACATACAAATATAAATATACAAAAGAAAACAATTTACACTCATTCAAAAGCCAAGCAACAACAAAAAATAGCTACAGTATTCAAATTATAAATAACCAATGCTTGAGGCAGCTTATATTCCTAGAAGCAGCCAGCCATTCATCCTAATGTTCTCAGCTGCAATTGTAGAAATATTGAGTTTTGCACCTTCCATGCTTTTGCAGTATTTATAACACTATCATATGTGGAGATAAAAACTTGTTTACTATAATCTCTTCTTTTCAGAATGAAGAATAAAGCAGCACTTACAAATATTGAAGCAGTGGCAGCAACAGCAGGTGTTACCACTGCTAGATCAGGAGGAAGTTTTCCATTCCAACAATTTTTAAATTAAAAAAAAGTAAAGAAAAAAGTGACCTAAACAAGTGATTACATGTTCATTCCTTGGGCACTGAGCAGCGAGTCCAGCATGTCGAATGTGTCTTTGTAGTCCATATGCTGGCTGCTTGTACTGTACTCATGATTGCCATCAGGACCGTTGGTCTCCACTGGCTTCTTGTCCAGTTTCACGAGCGTGCTGAGATGTCCGTAGCCCACCTGGTATGTGACAGGGGGAGGAGGGGGTAAGGGATGGTTAAAAACAGAGTTGTGAGAGGATATATACTGCTTAACAGAGGAGGAAGAACTAGATGAACTACCTGAACTTTTGGAACTTTTGCTCATTTTGGAGTGATGGTTGTGAGATGCATCGTTGACATGCAGCTTCTTCCTTGAAGAACTGGAACTAGAAGAAATGCCATCACTGCTCAGGCCAACAGGACTCCTCAGAACAGTGGGTGGGATCCCATCAGCACTGTGTTTACTGCCACCGCTGCTGCTGCTGCCACTATGTGAATGGGAATGCTTGTGACTGCTGGTGTGGTGGCGGTTGGAAGGGTGCTCCTTGTGCTTCTCCTTATGGTCTCTGCTAACATGCGGGCTTGAATGCTTGCTTTTCCCACTGCCTTCATCAGAAGAGCTGTGTCTTTCTGAGGACGAGACTTTTATCTTCATCTTCAGCTCTTCTTTGCTGGCACCTTTGTCAGTGGGCGGTATTGGAATCCGTAATTTCAGCGAGCCACTCTTCTCCTTTTTATCTGCCATGTATTTCTCAGGTTTCTCAGTATTTGTGATGGGAATTTTCATTTTAATGGGAGATGTTACAGAACTGCTGCTGGCTGCCTGTGACTGTCCATGTTTGTGTTGCTGTTCTACCTGGGAAGCTATATAATGATCCCTTACATCAAGATCAAGAGTTTCTAGCTTACGTTTTTCTCTGTATTTATCTAAAGACATTTTCTGAGGAATTATTCCAGGAGTAGCAGAAATTGGCCCATGGTGTTTACTGCTCCCTGTTTTATGAGAATATTCTTGCTTAACAGAATGATCAGAAACTTTGTCAGGTCTGTGATGTAATCCTGAATGCAGTGATACAGAAGGTCCCTGCTGGAAGTTGATGTTGTATTGGCTACCAGACAAGGATGTCTCCTGCTTCTGTGAATAGAGCTGCTCGGTCCTTGCTGATTCTTGATGTTGAGGCCATTCTTGGTGTGATGACAAACTGTATGAGGTACCTGGCATTCCTGTTGCTAGCACTGACAAATTATCAGATGTATGGCTGTCTTGAACAGAAATATTTCCTGAATTTAGAGGTACTGGCGCAGGAAATGCTGATGTAGATGGTTTCTGGAAACTTGGGTTGGTAGGCACACCAGTGACACTATCTACTAAAATGGAATTCTGGACCAAAGATGAACCAAGAAGTGGTGTCTCTGATACTTGTCCATCTACTTTTGGTTTCTTAGCCGCCTGATTAGCCTATTTAAAACACAAAAGGGCAGTGATAGCAAAGGAATTTAATACAACATCTCTTTGCTTATGAACATTCTATATTAAATATAAAGAAATAAGACACCTGGGATTCAAAATTTTGTTGCCAGTAAATAAATGTCTTATTTGGAGGAATAATGGGAAGACTATAAAAAGCTGAATACTCTGGTTTTAGAATCAGGCACAAATGAAATCTTAGCCCAGGATTTCAGAAAGTAATTTAACTTGTCTAGGCTCTAGCTTCTCCATTTGTAAATTCAATAGAGTATTCCTGACATAATCACTGTGACAATTAAAAAGAAAACGTATAAGGTACTTAGCAAAGTCCACTGGACATGACAGTTGTATAATCTAGGAATGCATGTAGGTTATGATACACTATAATTATTTATGAGAAAGTTCATTTAACCAAATTCAAATTGTTTAGCTATAAAGTTATTAGATAAGTGACAAATTAATATTGTGTTACATCCTGCCAATTCTCTTACCCTCCAGTTTCGAATCTTCTTCAACCTACTAGGCGTTTTCTCCAATATTTGTAGAAACTCATGTGTTAGCTCTAAAAATAAAATTTAAATTTTAAAACTTAGAAGGTACTTTTAGTATTTAATTCTTCTCAAGGCAATACTAAAAAGGGACTCTAAGAGCTCATCTACTTCAGTTATCCTTACAGTCAACCTTGAGTATACGTAGAAGTAGATACAACTCTGAACTGGTATTCTCAAAGTCTCTGGAAATTGATTAGCACAAAAAATAATCTCTACCAAATAAAAAGTCTCTATTAGGCAGATACAGCAATATTTGTTACAGGCAAGATGTATCAACAGATCCTTAAACATCAGTGAGCAAAATGTTTTATGAAAAAAAGGATATCTGTATAATCCCAATGTGTCTTCCCCGAGATATTTAATAATTACAAAGAAAAACATAATAACTTTACAGTGGAGAGAGCCAGCAGACACCATCTTTAACCAACTATCATGGTTGTCATTTCCTTGGAAAAGACTTATCAATGTGGTATATACCCCTTGCTAGGATGCATAACAAACAGCACAACCTACCATTGAAGTTCTTTTTTTTATTTTGGCCAAAAATGCATAATTTCTTTCTTTCTTTTTTTAATTCATTTGACAGGTAGAGCTACAGATAGTGAGAGGGAGAGACAGAGAGAAAGGTCTTCCTTCCGTTGGAACACCCCCAAATGGCTGCTACGGCCGGCGCGCTGTGCCAATCCAAAGCCAGGAGCCAGGTGCTTCTTCCTGGTCTCCCATGAGGGTGCAGGTGCCCAAGCACTTGGGCCACCCTCCACTGCCTTCCTGGGCCACAGCAGAGAGCTGGACTGGAAGAGGAGCAACTGGGACTAGAACCCGGCACCCATATGGGATGCTGGCGCCGCAGGCGGAGGATTAGCCAAGTGAGCCACGGCGCTGGCCCCTGCATAATTTCAATGATGAGAAAACATGAGACAAATCTCACTTCAGGAACACTCTAAAATAATTATCTTCCTAAGTGTCAAGGTTACAAAAGACAAGACAAGACTAAAGAACTGTCACATACTAGGAAACTAAAAAGGCTTATCAACTAAATAGAACACAAGATACTAGATTAGGAAAAAATAAGAACATCTGAACTTAATCTGGTTTAGTAACCAGTATTATACCAATGTTAATTTCCTGGGTTTGGTAATTATGTAATATTAGGTAATAATAAAAAAAATTCCTCCACCTATACACAATAACATACTTCCTACTAATCAATACTATTAACGTATCAGCAAACTACCCTGGTCATAATTTTTATCAGTTCTCTTAAATTTAGATTTATAATGAGATGATCCATTCAAAGCAGTGTGGCCAGGATGAACTATAGTTTCATAACTCAAAATAGTATCACTAATAGTTACTGACTACTCTCAAGATATATATTAACATTAATCAAATGATTTAGAGTATCACTTAGTAATGCCAATAAAACCCCAACAGTGTGGAGGGAACATCTGCCAAGAGACTACAGACTCATTTATTATTCTTAAGCAGTAAACTTCTCTGTAAACTATTCTAGGCAAATTTTAAGACTGACAATAACTAAAAGAATACTGATTTGGTCTCAAAGAAGCATTCAACATGCAAAAATGTCACACTAGTATGTTATATGTTTACAAGCATGAAAGCTATCTAAAATTATCATATGACCCAAAATTTAACTATCAGTTTTTACGGATGTAATTTCCTTGATAATTTCATGGCTGTTCCTTACTAAAAAGTCTCAGGGGGCTTTTTGATCTAGTTAGGATAAAACAAAATGTCTAAACCTCCACTTTTTAATTTGTATAAAAAAAGGGCAATTTTTTTTACTTTACACTAGTAAATGTGGTTAGTAGAAGATACTTTTGAGTCTAACAGTAACAAATTGTTTTTATTCAATTTAATTAACAGCTTAATTGTCAAACACTAAGCATATATTAACCTCTTAACAAATTCTGGTAGACAACAGACACAAAAGCTTGTTTTTTTTTCCCCTTTTCTTAAGTATCCTACTATATGAAGCTTGATAGCAGAGGAACACAATAATATTTCAAATAATCTAATAAAAAAGCAGAGAAATGCAGTATGATGCTTAAAATAAGAGACCCTTCTCCTTCAATACTAACAAAGAGAACAATCTAAAATACAAAACCACATATAAGGACTCATTCATTAATTGTAAAAAAGAACCACCTCCCCATATACACCCAAAACCCCTTACAGCTAGGTTGTGGATTATTTAAGTAAACAATAGCAACAATAATTCAGTCATCATTATAAGATTCAGATATATCTTCACACCTTAAATATTAAGTTACTTTTTTCTTTTGGTATGTGATTAAAACAAAATAGCTGCTTCACAATATGCTGAAAGTCTTAAACGTGTTAACTTTACAAGATTCCTATTTCATTTGCTTTGCAAATAATGAACTTGAATTTTTTCAGAATGATGCAGAGGGATCTTTATGGCTCCAGTTATGTCAAAACAATGAAAACCGTTATCTATGACCTAAACGCAATGGCAGAGTACTTCCTTTTTATGGGCTTTATTTCAGCATCGTGTGTATATGCTATTCTGTTTTAAAAAAGATTTATTTATTTGAGAGGCAAAGTTAGACACGCATACACAGACACAGGGAAAGATATGGGTGGAGGGAGAGCAGGGGAAAGAGAGAAAGAAAGCAATCTATTCTTATTTAAGACTGATGTTACTTTAGTTACTGACTACAGAACATAGGAAAAAGACTAGAAAAGTCCCCATTGGTTTTTAGATGTCACTTCAACGGCTAAAGATTTCCTTCCTTCAGGGTGAACCCTGAAAAACTGACCATTTAAGGGAAAAAAACAAGTGGTGGCAGTAATAGGGCATTACACTAAGAGAAAATTCTGAGAAAAAGATGTTTTTACAAAATAATGGGAACCAACAAAGAAGCATTATTTCACAACAGAAAGCAGGCAAAAATACAGCCACTTGGGCTGCCTCCTGTTTTTGTAAACAAATTTACCCTGCCACAACTCTGCATTTATGAACAAATTATGGCTGCTTGTAACAGTAGAGTCATGTAACTGAAACAGAAATCTTAATGCTCAAAAACTCCTAAACAGTTATTGAATCCCAGTGCTCTGATACGGGATGTCAGTACCTTAACCACTAGGCCTAACTCCCATCCTACAGATCTCTATTTTAAAGAAACATCAAAGATATTACTGAAAAGGCCTCATATCAAATCTACTCACGCTTCTCACTTTATGAAACAGTTAACAATAATCTACATTACCTGACTGATGTCCAAGAATCTGCCACCTCTGATAGCTACCTTTTCTTAATTCTCCATCAGAGAAATTTCTTACTGGGAGACTGTAAAATTCTAATTTACAGAACTTATACCCTAATTTTGTCTTATCTATTCATTTTTTTTTTTTTTCAAAAGAAGAACTTCAAATGGCCAACAGACACATGAGAAAATGCTCAGGTAGACTAGCCATCAGGGAAATGCAAATCAAAACCACAATGAGGTTTCACCTCACCCTAGTTAGAATGGCTCTCACACAGAAATCAACAGCTAATGCTGACAAGGATGTTGAAAAAAAGGTACCCCAATCCACTGCTGATAGGAATGTAAATGAGTACAGCCATTGTGGAAGACAGTATAGACATATTTTAGAAAGCTGAAAATATATATATCATTAGGAATTTACCCAAAGGAAATGAAATCAGCACATCAAAGAGTTATCTGTACCCCCATATTTATTGCAGCTCAAGTCACAATCGCTAACATATGGAATCAACCCAGATGTCCACTGACTGATGACTTGATAAAAAAATCATGGCATTTATACATTATGGAATACTACTCAGCTATAAAAAAAGAATGAAATGCTGTCTTTTGCAACAAAATGGGTGCAACTGGAAATCATTAAACGTAGTGAAATAAGCAAGTCCCCAAAAGACAAACACCATGTTTTCTTGATCTGTGGTAACTAATAGAGTGCCAAAAATATAATGTATAGGCATGAAATTGACACTCTGAATTACTTAGTGTAGGGTTAATCTTATGAGTATAAAGTACACTGAAAGTAGATCATTGTAAAAATTAACAGAGGGGATGAAAGAGGGAGGAGGAGGAAGGGTGGGAAATATCACTATGTTCCTAAATCTGTATATATAAATTACATGAAATTTGTTTACCTTAAATAAAAAAATAAAAAATTTATTTGAAAGTCAGAGTTACAGAGATGGAGAGACTTTCCATCCGCTGATTCACTCCCCAAATGGCAACAATGGCCAGGGCAAAGCTGGGAGCCAGAGTCAGGAGCCTTCTCTGGGTCTCCATGTGGGTGCAGGGGCACTTAGTTCATCCTGTACTGCTTTCCTGGGTGCACTAGCAGGGAGCTGGATTTGAAGTGGAACAGCTGGGACTCGAACCAGCACCCATAGAGGATGCTGATACTACAGGTGGCAGCTTCATTCACTATGCTGCAGTGCTGGCCTTTTGTCTAATCATATTTGATACCGTAAGGCAACAATGGCACTAAAGAACACAAAAAGTTTCCTTGAAAAATTAGCTTACTGCTTCACATCTTATACCATTAATGCCTGACTTTGGACCTATACTTTTTTTAAAATTTATTTTATTTATTTGAAAGGCAGTGAGAGAGAGACTGGGAAAGATAGGGAGAAAGAGATCTTCCATTCCCTGGTTCACTCCCCAAATAACTGCAACAGCCCGGGCTGGGACAGGCAGAAGCCAGGAGCCTAGAATTCCATTCGAGTCTCCCACATGGGTGGCAAAGGCCCAAGGACTTGGGTCATCATCCCTTACTTTCTCAGTTGCATTAGCAGGAAGCTTGATTGGAAGTGGAGCACTGTCAAACCAGTGCTCTGATAAAGGATGCCAGTGTTCTAAGTGGCGGTTTAACCTGCAGCATCATACCAGCTGGAGTCCACACATTTTAAATTCAACAAAATTATACTTTAAACACATATTCTTGTCCTATCAACTACAGCATTTTAATCTATAAACTTTTTGTAAAAGTCCTGTAGGGGCTTTAAATGGTCAGTAGTGGTTAATTGTTAAATCATTATGCTTGTGATTTTAGAGTCCTTATCATCTTCTTTTTTTAAAATAGAATTATTGAGAATTTCCAGGCCGTCCCCCTGCCCCCCTTTTAAATGTTTATTTATTTATTTCAACGTCAGAGTTACAAAGAGAGGGAGAGGGAAAGGGGGAAAGGGGAAGAGGGGGAGAGGGGGAGAGGGAGAGAAGTCTTCCATCCACTGGTTCACTCCCTAGATGGCTGCAACGGCTGAAGCCAGGAGCCAGAAGCTTTCTCTGGGTCTCCCACATGGGTGCAGGGGCACAAGAACACGGGCCATTTTCTACTGCTTTCCCAGGCCCTAGTAGAGTGCTGGATTGGAAGTGGAGCTGCTGGGACTCAAACTGGCGCCCATATGGGATGCTGGCACTGAAGGTGGCAGCTTATTAACCTGCTATGCCATAGTGCCAGCCCCTAGAGTCCTATCTTCAACAAACACAATAGATGAAATGGGGGTGGGCCTTTGACATAGTATTTAAGGCACTGCTTGCCAAGTCCCAGCTCTGCTAATGTCCACCCTAGGAAGTAGCTGATGACGGCTCAAATACTTGAGTCCCTGCCACAGATGAGATAGATCCAGAATGAGCTCCTGGCCCTGCCATAGCTGTTACAGCATTTGGGGAGGGGAGTAAACTAGGGGATGGAAGACTTCTCTCTTTGCCTTTCAGATGATAGAATATAAACACATTTTTAAAAACATTAGTAGAAAAACAATCTTTAGTAGAAAATTTAGCAGAAAAACAACTGTGATATACATGTGTGTAGGTATGTGCTGCACTGGGTGGACCAAATGGCAATGGGTAATTAAGAATTTATTATTCTTAAAGCTTATATAAAGTACATAGGCCTTTCCCATAATAAAAGTTAAACAAATGTTCTAATAAAAAAATTAAAAGATTTCTTCTCTCTACTTACCATCTAGTAATTCTAAAGTAACAGTAGGATCCACATATTCCCACCAATGCTTTCCATCAGTTGACACTGGAATCTCCCAATTGGACCATTTGCAAGCCAAATGAATGCACACACATGCTATCACTGTTGGTTTGTACTGAAGACAGAAGGTAGTAAGATGCAGACTGTTGTAGGGCAGATTTGAAAATGGAGAGCCACAGAAATTCAAATATGTAAAACAAAGAAAAACATTTACCAGTGAGATTAAAGCAAAAACAAAATTACAGAGAAAACTTTTCTTCTTAAAATCTAGAGTACAAAATCTTACTTTATTAAATTAAGGGTTAACAGTTACAAAATATATTATAACAAAAATTTTATTCTTATATCTAAATTCAAAGTGTTTTAAAAAACAAGAGGAAGACAGTATATGAATATAAATATAAAGTATAAAATATTAAAACTTTTTAATAATATTTTTATTCTGTAATGCCAAAGCAAAAATACAAAGAAAAAGACTATCTGTAAACTAAATAAAGTGATTTTATGTCACATGATGATGAGGGATATTATTTGATGTGGCTGAACACACAGTTCTCTAGTAAATCAAAAAGAATATAACACTTAACTAGGTAAACCTCTGTCTTCTTTTAGCGAAGCCACAAGGAAAACTTACCTTTTGCCAATCAACTTCAAAGTTCAATGTTGCTAAATACAATGTTGCTAAAATGTTCCCACTATTTACTAAAAATTGAGCACATAACATGCCATAGCTAGCCTTTTCTCACCACTGTTTTTAACTGAGGTCTTTTCCTTTTTACTCAAAATTCTTAGGGACAGAGGTTAAAGCCCAACAATGTAAACCTGAGAAAATATATTTGCATTTGCCAGAGTACATTTTAAAATAGAACTCAGCAAGTGTCACAAGAAATTAAGAATCAACCGAAACTGTTTTGGTCTATTCTCCTCAAACCACTTCAAAAACAAATTTAAACCACCAATATAGTCAGTCTCAAAGAGAATTTTAATTAGATATGAAAGGCTTCAGTGCCATTTCAGAACTGATGAAATGCTGACTGATCAGCCACAAACACATACAATTTTTCATGTTATAAAAACTTTATGTAAAAATTGTATTTATGCAAACTCAGGTATAGATAGAACTTGACTACTTCTAATTTACTACTAGTGGGTATTATCTAGAAAAAAATCCTATGTTACATAAATTTTATTAAAAAAACTTTAAAGATTGGATCAATGTGAAATTTAAAAAAAAACTGTCATTTAACTATAATTGTAAACTAGAAATAGCTTTATACTTACCAAGTTGCTCGAATTTCTACGTTAAGTTTAGCTCTTTGTAATCTTTAGCTGTTATTCAGGCTACCAATTTTAGACTTATGCACTCACAAATCGAGAATATGTCATCAGAAAGCACCACTACACTTCACATTGTGCATTTAACCCCTCTGTGCCCAAAGTCCCTTGTACAATACACCGCAAAGCAAACAGGAAGGTACCACCACAGTAGATGGTCCAGTCTCCTGTTGCAACAAGGGTAAGAGACACATTGAGGGGGCCCTGCATTAAAGGAAGCTATAGTGTGCTACAACAGTGCAACAAAGAGGGTCAGGATAACAACCTGTTGGTAGCCATGAAATAGGATGTCTGTGCCAAATCCTTGCTTGCTGTAAGAAAAGAAAAAAAAAAACGAAGACAATACTATCAGCGTTAACGTGCTACCATCAAAAAGTTCTCAACACAACAAAAACTTCAAAGATTTGTACACAAAAAGTAAATTTTACTTACTACTTACAAATATCACAAGAGCGCCATCATTTTCTATACTACTGAAAATCTTCAACAACATTCACTCAAATGTTTCTTGCTATCCCCCAAAGATCTGAGAAACAAGCCGATTTGCTTTTAGCTAGCCAGTTACAAGGGCTAAACTTGTTACTAAGTTAAGCATCTAGTCAGCTAAAAGTTGCAATAAAGCATTCTCCTGGATTTAAAAAAAAAAGAAGAAGAAGAAGAAAAGATTTTTGAAGTCTAATACAAAATACAAAGAGTTGCCTGCCAGACTTATTCCTCAGTCATCATATTTAAGTTGCCTTAAATACTTCCATCAAAACAAAATAAAACCCCCACCCCCCAAAACTCAAAGCACAAACTGCTAATTTTTTCATGCTTACATTAAGCGTCAACAGAGAATAAGCAAAGTAGAAACATAATAAGGGTGTTGACATAGGAAGCAATTACTCTTTTTTTTTTTTTTAATTATAGACTAATTAAAGGCAACACTAAGAAAAGATAAGGGTACTCTAGGGAAAATCAGAATGTTTCAACACAGGTCCCCAACAGAAAAAAGTTACCTTGCTTCTTAAGACTCCAGTCTCCCTCCCCTTCTCCTGAGTCTTATCCTTCCCAACAGCAACACTCTTGCTGGAGTTCCCCCATGTTCCCATTAACATTCATAATCACGCTCACCTAGCATCAGTTCACATCAACTCCACCCCTCTCTAACAGGCCTCAAATTCCTTCCCCACTCCTATTGGGTTTTTGTTTGTTTGTTTTATTCATGGCACCTGTAATCCCTGTTGCCCCATGTGGATCATCAAGTAAGGTTTTACAAAAGGGATTTGGATTTAGCAGAGTTGTGCTAAGGAAGAGTATCAAAGCATCAGATGTCTTGGAGGCAGTGTGACTTAAGTATGGCATTCTTTCCTGGTGGGGAGGGAAGGAGAAATCACAGAAGTGAAAGGTCCCTGTAAAATGACATCAGCCAGTTCTGTAGCAAAGTAGCATTATATCAACTCTCTCATCTCTGGAGGGAGGAAAAAAGGACTTTAAAGAAATCAAGTTTATTTACCACCCTCCTCCACCCCCTGAATCAAATGAAATATACAGAGAAGGAAGGAAAAGACAATTCTAAATTGCCACAGTAATTTTCACCTTGGAATATATCTAAATTCTATAATCTATAAACAGTTACTGAACAGAGAAGAATGGAGGGGGGTAATTAATGTTCATTTGTTAGCTGAAAGTTGTAATAGAGGAAAGAATAAAAGACACCAGATATGAAAGAATATTTTTAAATGGTGATATAAATGATCATTACTGGCAATGTTAGTCAGACAAAATGAAATTAAACATATGCATGGTTTGACTTAAAGAATCAGTCACATTTTAAACATTAAACAAAGAAACCCCTCAGATTTAAATATTTCATTTTGGATGATGTATCAAATCTGTAGTTTTGGTAAATGTTTTAATTTAAAATTTGTTTGGCTTTTCAAATTAATGAATTTCCTGTCTCTACAGTCTTTAGATGTATGAGAACATGTAAAAAAATATTGAACTTTGGATTTAAAGAAGTTGATTCTAATTTGATGAGTAAAAATCTGGAATCCAGTTGTACTTAATATATATAAAGAATTTTAAAAAGACATACAAATATCTTTCTGGCTTTCTTCATTAGGCTCTCAATTTAAATAAACTTAAATAGTTCCCTGTCATTCTTAAAAAGCTCAGCTTAACTCTTTTCAAATTTTCAGAACACAATTACTTTATGTTTTTTCAAAAAAAATTCAACACTATAGCTATTTATATAATTCTATACTATACTGTAATATTGGAAATGAGAATATACCATAAAATATATACAACCACAAACCGGAATTATAATTATGTTCTAATTTACACATGATAATGTATGCTACTAAGAAAAAAAATAAATAGAATTTTAGGAATCTAGTTTCTAACACTGGTATCAGAGTTTTTTCTAAAATGTAGTCATTAACACAACAAAATATTATTTAGGTTTTAAATGAATTCCAAGTAGGATGAATAAAATGTGAGAATATTTAATACTAAAAACAAGGCCTTCAACCTATTTTGCTTAGGATAAATCTAAGACTGGTGGTAAAAGAATAAAAAAACTGCAAAATTTCACTTTCAAAAAAGAAGTAACAGGAAAAAGACACTAAAAGTTCCAAGTAGATGCTCTGAGTACCTAACACTTCAAATGGGCAACAGCAAAGCAGATAAGCAGTACAACACGTACCTGTGTAAAAAAAATATTTCTAAGGATACCACAATGGATATATAGGATTCATTAACAGGTGTAGAAAAATGTACCTCATGCTTAACAAGTCCTAAGGTAAACAATACCAAAACTTCATACTTCTCGATATAAGGTTTAACAGACACATCACAAACTGCATGTATTATGTTTTACAATTATTTCTCCATTTTAAGTCATGCTAAAGAACTTAAAATGTATTATATCAATTTTGTTCAATGAATATGGGACATATATTCCTAAAAATGAGACATAAAAAAATGTGTTGAATGTGTTGACAGAGGCAATTTTTATCTGAACAATTTGAGGTTGGCCTCAAAATTTTTAAATTGTTGTCACTTTTATAAAGTAAATTAAAGTTTGACAGAAACCAGACATTAGTATTACTGTTTGCACCTCTGCACCAATGGCCTATATCTTAAGTATTAACTGAAGTGGGACTAGTGTAGCCAAATGGGGGATGGAGAGAATCCTAATACTTGGAAATCCTCCAACCTTTTTAGTGAAATGAGTTTCTCACCTAAGTTGAAAGAAGCTAACATACCAGGCAGAACCACAAAGAGAGAAGTACATGAATAAGTAGATGTAGAATACCAAAAGAAAAACAAAACAAAAACCCAAAAACTTTAAAATGACATTTCCCCACTTTAATAAAATCCAACAAAAGACAGAAAACAAAATAAAAAACCACAAAACATCCAAATCAAATATAGATGGAAAAAAACCACTAATACTTATCTTAAAAGCTTCAAAGATCACTTACCTCTTACTAACTGGGTACATTTCACCACATCTGTGTGTGGGTGTTCAATGGTGATCTCAAAACCTGAAATGATAAGCACTTTTTTTCCCCAATCATTTACCATTACAATATTGGCCTGAGAAACGCCATTCATGATCATAAATGTGTAATACATTCTTAAAAAAAATTGGAGACAAAGTTTTAAATCTTCCTCATCACTGGCATGCTCATTATACCTCCAAAGATAAGAAACAACTTCTTCTGAAGTACATCTCAATTTTGAAAACAGTTATTTAAAGTTCAAAGACTGTATTTATCCAAAATTCTGAATCATAATTAATTAATATCCTTAAATTAAAACTAGTTCCATAGTTTAAGCACACATTCAACTTAATATTCTGTACCTTTCAAAAAATGTGAAAAGAACACTTTTTCTAAATGTGTTAGGTAACAGCAGCAGTAATCAGCTTTTAAATCATACAGTCTTAAATTTTTTATGATACATTAGAACAAAGGGTGTCAGTGAGTTACCTTACTAACTCTACTTCACTAATAATTAAATCAGAGGGCAAGTAAGATTCTTTAAAGCCCAGCTTCTAACACCACTAACACCAAAGATGAAATGTTGAAAAGCTTCCAATATCCAATCAACCCTCAGGTATGGCAGAGTTTCTGCTTTTATTAGAAGTAGAAGTCATATGTAGTGCCTTCAGAAGCAGTAAATGAATAAAATCCTAAAAAAAATAGGTAATATGGATTCAAGAAGATTGGTGTGTGCTCTATTTATATTTCTACTATATTTCAACATAAAATATTTTAAATAAAAACACAGGTATATATTCTAAATTTCAATGTTTCCCTTAAAATAATGCCATTCTTCCTCTAAGCTTAAGAATGTATCATAAACATGAGTTTGACATAATTTTATGTAATAAACAATTCTTAATCATTTCACAATAATTTCATTTTCAACTTTATTACATAAATGCCATTGCTTTTCAAAAATTTCTATCTTTATGTAAAACAATAATATGCCAAATTTATTGGGAATAAAATTCAAAAACTTTCTAGGCCTTTAATTAAAAAAATTTTAGGTAAGTTATGTTTCAAACAAGCTACTTTTGTAATAAAAAGAATTTGTCATGATGGGAAGCTGTGCTTTATCACACTTCTATTCAACTTTTGGGAATAGAGGAATAAATAACAAAAACAGTTACAAATCCACAAGTTTACAAAGCTGATCACAGGCTACAAATTTAAATTTAGATTTCCCCAAAGCCCATGTTTTTCCTACCATGCCCTGCTAGGTTCTCCTAGAAGACTTTAGACAAGTCATAACCTTCTTGGGCTCCAGTTTCCTCAGCAGTAACACGGTGAAAGATTAGTGTAAATGAATCTTACCCTTGAAAATGTAACTTTTGGAAAAGGATGATCAACATTTAAATAGTTACTATGTCACATTAAACATGATGTGACATTTTCATTAAATACCGACTATAACTCTAAAAGAGCAGGGACTACCATTTATATTTGTCTACATCACAATCACAGGCAATAGCCTAGAGGGCCATTTTACTCTCCAGTGCAAACCAGGTTGAAGCATTATACTTCAACTATCTGAAAGCCTAAGAAATCAAACTGCAGGCTATGTTTACCATTCAATTAAATCATGTCAAATGAAATGAAATGTTAGAAAACTGGTTTCCTTATTTTAACGAGGTAATAATACTGTGATCCAAAACCTGTTTTAAAATAATGTTTTTCAATAATAAAATCATTCTAGAAATTTTCATTTTTTTATAATATTCCATTGAAGAATACAAAATAACAACTGGCATTAAGTACATACCTAGTGTTTGTAGCATTATGGTTTCAAGTAAAACCAGTTCTTGTGTCTGTTGAAGGTAAGCCTGCCAGATAAAAATGTTAAAACGTGTAAGACAAACATACTAGATCACAAGACATTACATCTCACAGCAATTACAGACTGACTGCAAAAGAACCACAGCAGCTTGGAAGTACGGGGGAAACAAAGTGAGAATGATAGGTCAATCTTCTATAACAAGTCTATGAATTACTTTCTAAAATAGAAAATATAAATATAGCAAAAAAGGAAATAACAAGCTAAAGATAACAGTAATATGAAAGGGGACAAGTTAGCTGAAAAAGGGACATCTACCCAGGCACTGCTGCTTCTAAAGTCACATTAAGGACAGAAGCACCAGCCCAAATGAGAACATTAAACTGAAACTTGCCTTCAAGGAATAAGATTACAAATATACTCTAGGACATTTCATACAGCAATTCCTTCAAAGTCACTGCTAATTCAGTGTTTTCAGAATTAACTTCCTTTCTTTAGGAAAGACAAATTCAAATAAAAACTGAAATCACCAGACTATAAGAAAAACATTTAAGATATAAAATACCAAAATAATATATCATACAATATATCCCCATGGAGACATAATCTGAAGAAATTATTCTCTTACTGGAAATAAAGGAAATGAAAGTTTTCTGCTATTCCATTCTTAGTAAGATCATGACAACTGATCATTACATGTAAATAAATATTCACTTACATGAGAATATACCGCTAATTCAGAAAATAAACGGGCCGTTTACTTCTTCTCCACTTTGAAAGGTCATTGGCTGACTTCCCCCGACTCTCCCTTTTACATTTATTTATTCAGGAGGCAAACAGACCAAAAGCAAGAGTTCCCGTTTGTTGGTTCATTCCTCAAATGCTCACAATGAAGCTGGGAGTGGGGAACTGAATCCAGGTCTTCCATGTGGCTGGCAAGAACTCAAATGCTTGGATATAGTGCCTACCAGGGCCTGCATTAGGAGGAAGCTGGAGCTCCTCCTATATGACAAATCAAGAGGATCAGGAGCTGGGGCCAGGAATGGAACTCAGAATCCAATATGGGACACTGGCATCCTAACTGGTGTCTTTAACCACTAAGCCAAGAGCTGATTTTTAAAACAGATTTCTATGATTTGAACAACACTCCCTAAGTATTCAATAAGTTAGACTATCTTTGAATAATCACAAATCCCCTATTATTTAATGGCTAGGCTACATTAATGTTTCACTCCATTAAAGCCAATATCTACAATAAAAGTTGTCATTAATAAACCAGACATACTTCCATCAAAGCTTCAACTAAACTAGACATTAAACCCAAGTCAAATTGAATTACTATAATCTGGTAGTCGTTCCCTGGGTAAAGGTTTTCGATTAAGCAACTCACCTATAATAAAGAATGCTAGAAAAATGATTTTAAAGTTCCATTAATTGTAGCTTCCATTTTAGATGTCAGAAAAATTTTAAATGGTACTTACAAATAAAGTCTACTAATATGGTTATAGAGATGTTCAAAAACTAGCATTACTCTTCAGAAAAACTAAAATGTTAAAAAAACACTGCTCACAAATACATAGTAAAATGTATATATCAGAGAGGCTGGAGATGTGGCAAATGTGGGTTAAACTACCACCTACAACAATAGCATCCCCCACAGTCTCTGGTTTGTGTCCTGGCTGCTCCATCTCCCACCTATCTCCCTGCTAATGTTCTTGGGGAAGTAGCAGAAGACAGCCCAAGTGCTTGGGCCCCTGCCACCCATGTGGGAGATCTGGAAGAAGCACTGTTGAGGCAATTTGGGGAGTCAATCAGTGGACGATCTCCCTCTCTTCCCATCTCTCTGTAACTCTACCTTTTGTAGAAACACATAAATTTTTTTTTATAAAAGTATACATCAGAATGATAAGTAGTACTTTATATGCATTAATAATGCAACAAGGGGCTGGTGCTGTGGCGCAGGTTAATCCTCCACCTGCAGTGTTGGCATCCCATATGGGCATGGGTTCTAGTCCCAGTTGCTCTTCTTCCAATCCAGCTCTCTACTATGGCCTGGGAAAGCAGTAGAAGATGGCCTAAGCACTTGGGCCCCTGCACCCACATGGGAGACCAAGAAGAAGCCCCTGGCTTCTGGTCATTGTGGCCATTTGGGGTGTGAACCAGCAGGTGGAAGACCTTTCTGTCTCTCCCTCTCACTATCTATAACTCTACCTCTCAAATAAATAAATAAATAAATAAAATCTTAAAAAAAAAAAAAAGGAATAACTTCAAAATTCTAATTACTGTTCTAGAGGTAAACTAGAATTTTTTCTACTCTCATCTGCTAACAATTTGATTTCAAAGATATTTGCTTTGTGGTCTCAAGAACACTTATAAATCGAGGTATATATATATATATATATATTTATAAAAAACAGGTTTGCTGGGAGGATAAATAAAAATACATATAACACTTTGAAGTACCTTTGAATCAAAGCCTGGCAGCACAAGGAACGCAACACTGATTGAACTGCATTTTTATTAAGCCTTTATTCAGAAAGTTTCAGATTTACAAAACAAAAATCAAAATCCAAATTTTTACATACATCACATTTAGTATCCAGCAGTGGCTCTAGGGGATGAAGACAAGCATGTGCTACTTTGATAACATGTTCAAGTTTTCGAGCCTGTTCTTCCACTTTTGCAGCCAAAAATAATGCAGTAGGTGATATTATCTGCAGAAAACATAAAAATTTGGTGATTCAAAAACAAATACATTTTGAGAAATCCCTCTACTTTCCAAGGGGGTGGGAGGTGTGCAAGGAAGGACTGAATTATTAATATTATGAACTGTGTTACCTATGACAAGATGGATGTAAGAGTTTCAATAGTTATTAATTAAACTAGTTATCTATCTCAATCTATAAAATCTACTTGTTTTGAAAAGGGGAGAAGATTTTACCTTAGCTAAGTAAGAGAAAGTTTAAGGATTAATCTACATTATAGACAAAAAGGGAAAAAAGGAAACCTCCAACAAAATAATGCCATACTTTAAAAACAAAAAAGATGAAGAGTGAATAAGCACAGCCATTACACTCTCACTCTTTTAGGCACACAGTCACCACTTCCTAGTGTCCTTTTAAATCAAGCAATGAGTCACTGTTTGGCTAAGAGCTACATAATCTTGTTTAAGGGGTGAAAAAGGAACTACAGGGCAAAGTAAGAGAATCCCACAAATAAAACTGCCAACATAATGCCTTTATTATTTCAATAAAGTAGATGGAAAACTAAGGTAGGTATAAATGTAAAATAAACCAACAGAGCAGAAACACTACCAAGTGGAGATCCAGAAATCAGTAAGTTCTTTTAGTTTAGTACATTAGTTCTTTGGGTAGAAGTATAAAAACACAGCACTACAAAGACACTAGGACAGGAAAACATCAATTCTGAAATATTTATTCAAAAACTTAGTAATAAACCACTAATTGCTGATCTGGAAAACAGACATACTTGAAATACAACTAACATTTTTAAGTTACATGCATGAAATTTCATGGAAAGGTGACTTCTAAATGATCCTCACTACATCCTAGGATTACTGATTACTATAAAGAAACGATGCCAAAATGAAGGTGGAAAGAGGCATAAATTATGACACCATAGGAATTAGGTAGTTAACACCGAGAGCATTTCTGATACAGGTAAGGAGGATCCTTTCCTCTGAGAGGAAAGCATTTAAAACATGACATGAAATTTGATCACTGGGTTTTGGATCTGAAACTGACCTGTTCTCTAATCTCACTGCACTTGTAGATGAGTAAATGGAATGAACATGACTTCAAGAAGTTCTTTTCCTATTGCACAAATCTTTAAAACAGACCTAAAATCAAGTGAGGTAAACTCTCAACAATCAGAAACATTTCCTTGAAAGCACTAAATACTTTCAACTTATTTTGTTTTAAAAATTAAAGTTATAAAATTAAAAGATGGAAAACAGTAACTTAGTTTGGAAGTCACTTAAACACGAAGATCCAGTTGTTTGTGTCTGCATCTAGCACTGTTTGGCTTCTATTCAGTTTGTGTGCTTAATGAATGAGATGTGAATAATATATATATATAAAAGTAACAGTAGTAAATTCAAAGTATTCCAAAAGCCAATGTCAACATCAGCAATTAAAAGAAACACTCCATAAAATGAAGACAATTTCCCACAATCCCTCATTTATTATCTCATTTCACATGTAAGAGGGGAATGGCTAGTCCAGTCTTCAAAGCTACAACTATTTATCAAAGAGCAAAGCAAAAGTGGTTCAATACAAAAGTCAAATTAGATTGAAATGTAGTAATTTCTATCATAACTGACAGATGATCCAGAACTTCTTAGTTCACTGAAAGGCAATTCCCTCTTCACACTTCTCAGTACTAGCGGCAACTTGGTACCTAGAAACACTTTCAACCTGCACAGGTCTTCTCCTTAGAAGAGTCTCAAAGAGAACAAAGAATGAGTTCTGAGGATTCTAGAATTCTACAAATATAAAAGCATCCAGGGAGCCAAAGTATTGGTCTTCAGGGTAGACTCCTGGTTTATTTCCCCACACTCCCCACAGAAGTCTTTTTATTCCCTCTAACAGGACTCAATTCTCATCCTCCTCTAGTGGAATACTAATACTCAACACTCTTCCAAAGTTCCTGGCGAAATCCACTAACTCCATTCACATTTCCTCCTCTACAGCCTGCACACATTTTACTCCATCAGGGCTGTAAAAACAAAACAAAACAAAACACCTGTTTAGACAATTACTTCATGAATATCCATGTGAGGTTTTAATTTTAAGGATGAATAAGCAAGGTGATAAAACTAGGCATTACTGATTTTTGTATGGAAAACTGATTTTGTTATGTAGCTTGAAAGAATTTTCAATGTTCTGGACAGCAGAAATACTGCTAGTTGTCCTGTGGATTTTAAAGGTGAGTATACCTTTGAAAGTAACAACAGGGGCCACCACTGTGGCGTAACAGGTTAAGCAGCCGCCTGCAGTGCCAACATCCCATATGGGCGCCAGTTCGAGTCCCAGCTGCTCCACTTCCGATCCAGCTCTCTGCTATGGCTTGGGAAAGCAGTGGAGGATGGCCCAAGTCCTTGGGCCCCTGCACCCACGTGGGAGACCTGGAGGAAGCTCCTGGCTCCTGGCTTTGGATCGGCGCAGCTCCGGCCATTGCGGCCAACTGGGGAGTGAACCAGCGGATGGAAGACCTCTCTCTGCCTCTCCTTCTCTCTTCATGTAACTCTGCCTTTCAAATAAGTAAATAATCTTTAAGCAAAAAAAAAAAAAGTAACAACTATTCACATGTGAACTTGGTTTAAACCCCAAGAATTCCTATCACCATTAATGGAGAACAGTTTGGTTTGAGTGACCAATTATAAATTGGTAGTTTACTATGGAAAGGAATCACGCAGTTTCTTAATCAGATCACTGTTGATACTTAAGTTTATAAACTTTCTCAAATTACAAAGAAAATGAAGGGAAGTTGATTTTTAAATGGTGTCCAGAGTTTGTTACTGTAATAGATGCAAAACTTTTTCAACTATTCTTGAAATAAGACACATTTCTACAGATACACCACACAAATCATGGAGAGGGGGCGGTAGAGATGATGAAGCCAGCTATAATACAGGAATCAGACTGTCTCATGGAATCCTGGCTTTGTTATCTGACTAGTCTAGGCAAATTATTTATTCTCTCTGTGTCAGTTTCTGTATCTGTAAAATGGGAGAAACAGTACTTGCTAATCAAGTTGTAGTGAGGACTGAATGAACCAATATATACTAAAAGCACTCAGAACAGTGCTTCAACTAATAGCAAGTATTTATTATCATTGTGTTAAAAAAAACTTAAAAACTGTGTATTGTTGGCTTTGATTTTAAATTTAAGAAGTCATTTAAAAGTTTATTTAAAAATTTACTTCTTGGCCACCTTTTTCCTTCTGTGGTTAAACTTAATTCTTTAAATATTCAGTTTCAGTGCTAATTAAGCATATCTGACCATTGGAGTTAATGACACCTGACATTAATTTAATGATTTACACCCATATCCTTTTTCCCCTTCTCCTTTTCTACTCTTCTGTTGCCATTCCTACCTCTTGATCTGACTCCCTCCCTTCTCCATCTTTTCTCCTCCTGCCCATTCCTGGCCCTTGTGTCCCCCCTTGTGTCCCCCTTCTGTTGACATTCTTCACTGTCCATTGCTGATTTCAACCTTAATAACTGGAGACAAGGACAGGTTAAATTAACAAAAACCTAGGTAATTCCTAAGTCACCAATGATGGCTGTACTGGTCAGTTCTAAATGAATTATTCTAGTTTTTATTCCTTTATTAATCTTGTGCCTGGATTTGTGTGTACGTTTGTACTTAGTATCTAGTCCTATCTGTTTCATTACTTTTCAACTTTAAAGCTCTTAATCCAAAAAAGCCCCAAGAGAAGCAAATAAAAAAACCTTCAAGTTCGCTTTCTATTTGATATTAACAAAAGGCTCATTGTAGTCTGTTCTTGTGTCTCCTCTTTATGCCATGAGCCATTTGCTCCCTACCCATTAACCACCCTAAACATCTAAACATAAGATGTTTAGCTGTCTAATGAAAATGTGGGCAATTATTTTCAGTATCTTTAAAAGGGACCCACTAAAAAATACCCAGCAAACTCCGGTTGTCACAGCTCAAAATTTGGAAATTATTTTTTCAAAACTATAGTTTTGAAAGTGGTAGTGGTATCACTTTAGTATAGACTCACAGACAGAAGATCTTAGAATATGAAAATATAAGTAGAATTTTGATGTAAGGAAAGACAAGGGAGGTCCAGTCTCCAACAAAGATAAAAAGTAGAGTAAGTCAAAAGGCCCAGTTATTAAGAAAGAGCATTTTGCTCAAACTAAAATCTGTAACTTTGCTGCACTGAAAACAGAATTATAATTTTGCAGATAATGTCATTAACCCAGCCTGGTGTTTTAGTTGTTTTGTTAACCATATAATTATGTGTGAATGAAATATTGACATGTAAGAAAATCTGTGTTGAGCATAAAAATAAAAACAAGACTGGGACATCTTAATTACATTTAAAATAAGGCTGCTTTAATGGAGGCTGAAAAATACTGAAAAGCAGTACTGATTAAGAGATTTTCAAAGAGTGACCACATTATAGTTAAAAGAGTATATTGAGGGGCAGACATGGGAATGTATTGGGTTAAGTCACCACTTGGGATGCTGGCAATCCATATAGGAGAGCCTGGGATCCCTGGGTTACAGTCCCACCTCTGCTTCTGATCCAGCTTCCTGCTAATGTGCCTAGGAGGCAGATGATGCTGAAGTACTTGAGTTCCTGGCTCCTAGCTTCCTCCTGACCCAGCCTCAGTTGTAGCAGGAATCTGGAAAGTGAACCAGCAGGTGGAAGAGCTATCTCTCTCTGTTGCTCTGCCTTCCAAATACATAAAAATGAACAAACATTAAAAAAAATCCAAACAGTACACTTAATATTCTTAATATGAAAGTACCTTAAGAACTCCATGGAAAATGGAATTGGAAGATTAGGTTTATTTTGATCCAAAAAGTTTTGAAATACATGAATACAAGGGATCTTCCAAAGAATTCATAGAAAATGTGTATTATGGAAAACTGTATGGACTGCACCAAAAATAAACTTACCTTTCAATTCCATTTTCTATAAGCCTTTGGTAGTACTTTCATATGATCTTGCATTTTACAAGTTATTTAAAGTATACTTAGCATTTCATAGTTAAGTCTCTACTTTCCATTATATAGGCATAGCACATACTAACCCACAATAAACAGTCAAAAACAAGACTCTCATATACTATTGTGAAACAAGAACATTAACACTGCATAGGTTTTCAAATATTCTATACAAGGGGCCAGCATTGTGGTACAGCAGGTTAAGCAGCCACCTGGGACACTGGTACCCCATGCGATCACTAATTTCAGCCTTGGCTGCTACATTTCCAATCTCCTTGCTAAAGTGTCTGGAAAAGCAGCAAAAGATGACCCAAATGCTTGGGCCCTGGCCATCCATGTGGGAGACCCAGAAGTAATTCCTGGCTCCTGGTTTTGACCTGGCCCAGTCCTGACCATTATGGACATTTGGAGAGTGTATCAGCAGACAGAAGATCTGCCTGTCCCTTTCTCTCTATACCTCTGGCTATTCAAATAAATACACCTTAAAAACAAACAAAACCAGATCTTACAAAAGGCCACCTCACCTCTCTTATGATGGCTTAGTGAAAACAGTAATACTTTCCAAATTTATACACAGATTCAATGTAACCTTTATAAAAATCTCAGCTGTATTTTTTGCAGAAACTGACAAGGTTATCCTCAAATTCATATGGAAAGAAAAGGGATCCAGAATAGCCAAAACAATCTTGCAAAAGAAAAAGTTGGCAGATTTCTTGAATGTCAAACTTACTACATGAAGTTACAGTAATCAAGGCTGTATGAGTGCAGCCGGCACTGTGGCGTAGCAGGTAAAGCCACAGCCTGCAGTGCCAGCATCCCATATGGGTGCTGCTTTGAGTCTCTGGTTGCTCTTCTAATCTAGCTCCCTGCTAACGCTCCTGGGAAAGCAGCAGAGGATGGCTTAAGCACTTGGGGCAGTGGGAGACCTGAAGCAGCTTCCACTCCTGACTTTGAACCACCCCAGCAGAGGGAGGATCTCTGTTGTTTCCTCCGCCTTCCTTCCCCTCACAGGCCCCCTTCCCTGTAACTCTGCCTTTCAAGGACGCATAATTCTATTTCTATAATGGACGCATAATTCAGAGTCGAGAAGTAAACCCTTATATTTATGGTCAACTGATTTTCAATAAAAGTGTCGACACAATGCAGTGGGACAAAGATTAGTCTTTTTAACAAATTGTGCTGGAGCAACTGTATATTTGTATGTAACAAAATAAAATGAACCTTTTCCTTTACACTACATACAAAAACTAACTCAAAATAAATGAAAGACATAATATAAAGAATGCATAGAATGGTTGATTCCATTTCACAACCACCAGGATGGCTATAAAAAGATAATTTTAAATGCTGGGGGATGTAGAGAAATTAACACCAAACTATTATTATTGTTTGTAGGATGGTAAAATAGCATGCCTATTTTGGAAAACAGTTTGGCCCTTCCTCAAAGTGTTTTCAAAAAGATTACTGGAATCTAGAGTTACTATATAACTTAACAATCTTATTCTTGGGTATATGAATATATCCAAGAGAAATGGAAATACATGTCCAAAATAAATAAAATACATCTTAAAAAGGGGGGGAACTTCTCAGGTTTCTAGTAAGAGGAGAAACCATATTAAAAAAAAACTTATACATGAATGTATATAGCAGCATTATTCATTACAGCCAACAAGTGGAAATTAACCCAAATTTCCATCACCTGATAAATGAAAGATGTACAGCTGTAGCACAGATGAAATAGTATTCATCATTAGAAATGAATAAAGTGCTAATGTGCTACATATAACATGCATGGGCCTTGAAAACATGCTACATAAAAGGCCATATATTGCAGGATTCTATTTATATGAAATGTCCAAAAGATGAAACTATATGGAGACAGAAAATGAGTTAGTGGTTGCCCATTGCTAGGAAGGGGAAAAGGATAGGTTGTCAATAGCTAATGGGTACAGGGCTTCTTTTTGGGTGGATGAAAATATTCTATCTTTAGAACATGGTGATGGTTGGACAACTTTGTATGCACATCCATTTATATATCCTAAATATGTGAATTTTATGGTATTCAAATTTAAATAGATATAATAAATGCACACCAGCAAAGGAAATCTCAAGGAAGTCAAAGTCTAATCAAGCATTACAAATCAAGCATCACTTTCATTGAAAATCAGCTGACCGTATACAAGTGTGCATCTTAATCATGTATAACTTTACCACACATTTGCCAATTTAAAACTTGAATTAGTACTCATTTCTTAAACAGTGGTTAACTTTTCACATTTCAATTATGCAAGTATTTCAGAAAATCATTTATTTGCGTGCTTGGCTAAGAAAAATAATTTGAACAGATTTATAAGTCTACCTAGAGTGAACCAAACAATTACTAGACATTAAAAACATCAATTATTGAGCCACAACAATACAAAACACCATTTAAAGGTTGCCCCACATCCTCACAATTTCGTTTCCCTTCCCTCTTGGATTTTTTTTTTTAAAGTTTTGTTATTTATTTATCTGAAAGGCAGAGTGACAGAGAGCTACAGATTTTTCCATCTGCTGGCCTACTCCCCAAATGTCCTCAACAGTCAGGGCTGAGCCAAACTGAAGCCAGGAGCCAGGAATTCCACCCAGATCTCCCACCTGAACAGCAGGAACCCAAGTACTTGTGCCATCCATATTCTATTGTATTCCAGGAACATTAGCAGGAAACTAGATCAGAAGCAGAGTTGGGACTCAACACAGCACTCAAGACTCAACACAGCAACACAGGATGCAGGAGTTCCAAGCCAAGGCTTAATCTGCTGTACCAAAACGCCAGAACCTCTTTTTGGCTATTTTTATTCAAGCCTGGAATTATATCAGTTTTCAGTACCTTCAGATTCTTGACCAGAAAAGAACCATTCTATCATCCAAAGAACCCTCATTTTAAAAATGTTTAAATGTGCAATTTGTCAGGAGAAGAAATTACTGTATTGCGAATCCCAAAGTCATTTTATTTGTTGATGGATACAAATATCTACTTAATACAAAAAATATTAAATGTGTTTTCATGTTTTCCCATTTAACCCTTCCAAATTTGGTATTTTACATTGATGTCACATCTCAATTCAGATGCTAATATTTCAACAAAGTGAAACACAGTCTTACCACAACAAAGTTGTATTTAATGGGAAATTATTTTATTTTGAATTTTTAAATTTAAACTAAAATTTATTATAACAGTACAATAGCCATATTTCAAATAGTTTAATAACCACTTAATGGCTTATCAGACTAGACAGCCAGTTTTAAACCCACAGTTGCCAATCTGAAGAGAATGAAACATGAAAATATACCATGAGAAAAATTTTTATAGGTTATTACAAAACAGTTCAAACTGATTATTGTCTTTGGCCAATTCTATATTAGGCAGACAAGTTTAAAGTAAACCATCAGTATTTTATGTCTCATCCACTACAATGTATGTCCCTTAGGGAAAGCACTATTCCTGTCTTATTTGTTAAAAAAAAAAAAAGCCTCCTTATCTGTCACATTACTATGCACTCAATGTCTGTGAAATAATATGGTCCCACTATCATGTGAATATATAGCATACAACCATTAACTTTGTATTCTACAATTTTAATGCTGAACAAGTAACTGAACTGTTAGTTCTCTCTCATTCCTTTTTCTGTATCAGATGAAATAATTAAAAAAAAAAAACACTTTATTTATTTGAAAGGCAGAATTAGAGGGAGAGATCAATCTTCTATCTGCTGGTTCACAAACCAAATGGCCACAAGGCTGGGGCAGGGCCAAGCTGAAGCCAGGAACTGCATGCAAGTCATATTACGCTGCTTTCCCAGGCACATTAGTAGAGAGCTGGTTCAGAAGGGAAGCAGCCAGGTCTTGAACTGCTGGCGCTCATATGGGATGCTGGTGTCAAAGGCAGAAGCTTAACCTGCTGCACTGCAACACCAGCCCTCAGATCAAAATAATTTAGAGGAAAACTTCACATGATATTTATTTCTTTAAACAGGGTCACAAAAAGAGTACTTAATATTGCCAGCTTTACAACTAAAACCTTAACTTATTTAGGTGTAAAAGATTAGATAAATGCCCCAAGGGCGCTTCAATTAAATTCATTTCTTTTAATTCTGCTTTTACAGTTGTTGAAGCCCCTCCTATTGTAGGGTGGTAAAGAGATTTCCATCATTTATTCTTAGTGCCTAGAATGTGTATACAATGTTTATATTTGAATAATGATCTGAATTCTCACTTTAAAAATTAACCGATTTTAGACGCTAAAAACAGTACTCCTGAAATGGTCTTAAATATTTAGTCATAAACATGAGTTCAATCTTACTCTTTAAAAAAAAAAAAAGTATTTACTTATCTGAAAGGCAGAGAAAGAGAGCCAAATAGATCCCATCTGCTGTTTCACTCCCCAAATCCCCAAATACTTGGGGCCAGCTTGAAGGCAGGGGCTGGGAACTCTATCTGGTCCCCCAAGTGGTTGGGAGGGAGCCAGGTACTTGAGTCATCACCTGCT